TGTACAGGGAGGCAGGAAGAGTCCCTGCTGGCTTGATTTTTCTTTTTCTTTTTCTTCTTTCTTTCTTTTTAGACAGTGTCGTGCTATGTCTTCCAGGCTGGCCTTGCTCTCATTATGTAGCCCAAGCTGGCCTCAAATTCGTGCTGACCCTCCTGCCTCAGCCCCCCAGGTACTGGGATTACAGGTGTGCACCCTTACACCTGCTCACTGCACGCTTGATTATAAAGTCTCCACAGCATTCATGGGAGATGAGCTCGAGATGCTGGGAGCCAGACAGATCCACACCCCAAAACACAGCAACAGATGTGGGTGCACCGAGGTGGTTTTAGCCGGTGATTTTAGCTGCAGGAGCAGGATTAGGGATGCCTTCTTCCCAAGAGGGAGCCATCAAAGTGTTCAAGAGAGTCCTGAGAGGAGCCTCTTGGATTCCAGAGGCTGCAGTTTGGAGGGAGGGGCAGGGGTGTTACTGGGTGCCTGCAGCAGCAGTGACATATGGAGGGTGACAGTACAGAGGTCACTGGGGGTTTTAAGGTAGTGGCTCAAGGCTGAGGCCAATATTTCAGTGTTTGTGTCAATGACTGTGGTGCCTCCATGGGAGCCTGGGAGTGACCAGTGCTCCAGCCTGGGCTCTAGTCCACTGGGAAAGTCCTGCGTCCAGAGAAGCCAAGGCGCTCTATGAGTTTAGGTCAGGACATAGAGACCCTGGGGCTGACAGGAACAGCTGCTGGACTCTACAGACCGGGTTATAACATTTGACCTTCTGATTAAGGGCACACTAATATAAATAAAAAGTTAAAAATAAACTCTTAGATAAACGCTGAAAGTCTTATTTAAGTTTTTTAAATAAAAAAAAATCAAATAGCTCTGAAAAGATCCCACATAAATGAGTACATTAGTTTCTGAAGGAAACTACAAATTACTAGAGAGCTGGTGGCTGTGGGCAACCCTCTGCACTCCTGTTGTTCTGGGCACACAGTTTGCACTCACAATGGGCCAGGCCATGCTCTCCCCAAATGCACTAGTGAAGGCCCTTCCTGGCCTCTCAGCTCTGGAGGCTCCTGTGCTCCCTTCTCCTGTCGGGAGCTGTTGGGTTGGAAATTAGCCACATGTCCATGGCTGGGGCACGGCCATCCCAAGAGCCCCTGGAGCGAGCCACGGAAGTCGCTTCAGCCCAGGAAAACAACCCTTCCAGACCATCCGAGCACTGGGCTGCCAGGCAGTGGGCTGAAGCTGACACCATCCTCCCGAGTGCACAGGTAAATGTGCTACGGTGGGTGAGCAGTTCCTTTCCTCCCCTGGGAGAGTAAGGGGGCGCCAGGTGACCCCAGCTTTGCCTCTGCTTTATGTCCTCATCTTCTCGAGGTCCTTCCCCCCGGAAAATCTAGCGCTGCTGCATCCTTCATTGCCAGTCCCTCTAGTATGTGCCCCACCTGTCCAGGGCCACCTTCCTGGGTCTGTCTGATACATCCTTCTCTTTCCTCATGAAACCAGCCACAGGAGTCACGGCCCACTCGAACTGGAGGTGATGTCATCTTGAGGATTTCTCTGTTATTTTTCTTTTTTGAGACAGGTTCTCCCTATGAAACCCAGGTTGGCCTCAAACTCACGGCGATCTTCCTGCCTCAGCCTCTTAAACACTGAGATTACAGCTGTGTGCCACTACATCTGGCTTCATTTTGAGACTTTCGGCTTAATCAGATCTGCACAGACCTTGTTGCCAAATGGGGTCACATTCACAGGCACCAGGGGTTAGGACGGGGCTTGTCTTTGTGTGTGTGTAGGGGGGGCTGTAGTCAATTCACTACTGTGGATAACCAAGCCCTGGAGAGATGGAGTCCGGGGGACACATGCTTGATGTTGCCCAATCACCAAATGTTGATGTTGCCCAATCACCACACGTCCCTTCCCCTGTGCCGTCAGGAGGCCCTGAGGGGCGGGAGAAGGGCAGGCCTGCTGCCAGCCTTTCTTACGGCAGGAGGGGCCTTGGTGAGGAAGCTTCCGGACAGCAGGAAGCACATCCTCCAGGGACACACAGAGAGACCAGGGAAGCCCTCAGTGGTCACTCGAGGAGGCTCCCGCCTACCTACTGGGGCAGCAGACCTCGGTCAGTGGGCTCTCCAGAGTGAAGTTAATGCCAACTTGGGGGGAGGCACAACTCAGATTCAGCACCCCGGGGCCAACCTGAGAATCAGCCAAGCATCTGCCAAGAGGAACCCTAACGCCCTCCTACCCTCCCCTGCCCCCCTCCCCAAGTGGGGCCTCCTGCTGAGCCACAGGAGCCATCAGAGGCCCTCTCACAGCCATGTCCTCCTGCCAGGCACAAGGTGGGTGGTCCCGGACAGCGGTCCCATGGAGTTACAGGCAAGGTGTGTAGATGAGATCTGCTAACTGGGCTGTCCAGAGCCTGTGAGCGCATCTACAGGGTACCTTTGCAAATTTTAAAGGGAAATCTGTAGAATAAAGCCCTGCAAAAGGGCAGGCTGTCCCCTCAGCGCAGTGTTTTGAGGATGCAGCGATGGATGGTGAGGTCAGAGCACTTCTGGGGAAGGTTCAGGCTAAGTGAAGCACACCGAATTAAGGCTGGTAGAGGGAAGCTTGTGGGCAGTGAAGTTTTTGCAGTCAGACAGGATTAGCAGGGTCACCAGGCTTCGGGAGAGGCCTGTACATGGGGCTCCAGAGTACAGCTGCCCACCAGCCCAATTAGGGGTCCAGATTCCTTTTTCCTCCCTCTCAGCGTAATCTGACGCTATTTGGGGAGGCATGGCCGAAACCTGATCCTCCAACCCAGGGCTCCGTTAATGTTTAATCAGCTAGGATCGTCCGATGGGGCTCCGGTGGGGTGATCACCCGGCCCCCGGGCATCGAGCGCCCACATCCTAGAAGGCTTGGTTGGCATCGAGGCCGGGTCTCTCTCGCCAGAAGGGTCGCGCAGCTTCTGTGGCCCGGTCCCCGTGCTGCTGCGATGCGCACCCGCGGCCCCGCGCCAGCCTGGTGGCCGATGCTGCTGCTCCTGATGCTGGGCCCCGCACCAGCCGGCGCCCAAGCCCGGGACTCCGAGGACGGTGACCACGAGGGGCTGGCTTTCGCCTTCCCGCCGGAAGAGGACGGTCCGGCCGAAGCGGCCCCGCACGTGCCCACTGCCCCCTTCCACCGCTGCTCCAAGGTGCGGGCCTCAGTTTCCCCGTCCGCGCGACAGAAGGACCCTGCCCTCGGTCCGGCGCGGTGTGGGGTGGGGCCGGAAGGCCGGGCTGGGGAGCGCGGGTCTGGGGGCGGGGTCGGCAGCTCCTGGGCCGAAGGAGAGGACAGCGGAGGCAGAGGGGCTGTGGTGCTGGGCAGGGACTGGTGCCCTGGCCATTAGGACCTGGAGGCCACACTCGCCCACGCTCACAGCCGGGCACCTGGGCGCCTGGCCCTGGGCCTTGGGGTGCGAGGCCGGCCCGGTGAGAACCCTGCAGGTCCGCAGAGGTGTTGGGGCCCGGTGTGCTGGGTGCAAAGCTGGGGCGGACCTGGCCTCGCCTCTAGTTGTGAGGTGCTTGAAAGTTGCTTGAACCTCGATGGGAAGGGAGACAGACCACCGTGGGAATGCGGACTTGGAGCTCTGGACCCACGAGTGACCCCCAGATCAGGCCTGGGCAGAGGCCGTTTTGCAGGAGATGGTCATGTGCCAGGCTGGGTGCAGTCTCCTGGTTCTACCCTCTTTGCCCGCCCTGGGTGCCGGGATGTCAGGCTGTTCTCTGAACCTTTTGCTTTCTACAGGGAGAATGTGGGTTGTGGTCAGAGGACTTAAGGACATCTCCTGTAGCCATCCCCCAGAATGACGGTTCCTGAAGTACTGACGCCCCACCCCACAGGGGCTTGAGTGGACCTGACAGCCCCAGGACCAGTGCTAGGGTGTTGTGCCCTGGAAGCCTGGCACAGGAACTTCCTTAAGTCTGCAAGTTCATTCATTTTGTGGGCATTGAATTGAGGATGAAAATTGCTTATGTTGTAGTCACACCCAGCGGAGAGAAGAGGCGGACCTACCCACACCGTGGTACATTAGAACCTGGCTTCCAGAGCTCTGGCTCTACTGCAGAGTATCTTCCCCATACATGGAATTTTCATTTGACAGAGGACATTTTAGATGGATCTTTGAGGCATAAATAGGAGGCCACCAAATGCCGTTGGAAGGAGAATTGATTTTGGTGGGGGAGGGCATAGCACAGACAGGGGTAAGGAGCGTGGAACATCTCTGAGTGGAGGTTTCTGTAACTGGTGATGGAGACTCTGACCTGCACTGACCTGGAGCTTCTGTGTGCTTACATACTCATGCTTCTGCTGTGGCAGTTACGGGCTCTGCCTTCTGTATGCCATTAGGAGCTCTCTGAGAGCAGGTGTGGTCCAGCACCCATGGGCTCTGAGGCCCTCTTCTGTCTTGAGGCCACGGGGAGACACCCAGATGAGGGGGCGAGGCTGCTCCTTTGACTGCACTTGTCCAGCTTCGGGGGTGCTCTATGCCACCGTCTCCCCGGCCTCTCCACGCCTGTGCTGCGGGTACAGTGTGGTCCTTGTCACCCAGAGGAGATAATGAGGCCCAGAGAGGTTGTGTGGCTCACTCAGGGCTGCGGAGCTTGTGACTTTTGGATCTGGGATTCGAGGCTACATTTTCTGGTCCCACAGAGAAATGAGTCTTGTCCTTGGGAAGAGGGGTCAGGAGCCAGGTGGGCGGAGACGAGGGTGCCGATGGGCTGGGGACGCACGATTCCCTCTGGGCTGGGGCCTCCAGGACAGCTGGGTGTGGCGCAGCAGGAGGCTGCGTGAGGTGCAGCCCTGCGGCCTGCTGTGGCCCAGTTGCCTGCAGCTGACCGTGCTGGGCCAAGGGCAGCAGCCAGCACGTGAGGATTCTGTGGTCTCTGTAGGGCACCGCATCTGTTCCGCTGAAACCCTAGCTGCCCGTATGGAGCGGGCTGAGGACCGCGCAGGTGCCCTGTTGTGGCCTAACGCCCCACCCCTACCCCCAGGACGCGTGGCGTCTGCCTGGCACCTACCTGGTGGTGCTGAAGGAGGGCACCCACCGTGGGCAGACCAAGCACACCGCGCACCGCCTGCAGGCAAAGGCTGCCCGCCGGGGCTACGTCACCACAGTCCTGCACCTCTTCCACCACCTGGTCCCTGGCTTCCTGGTGCGCATGAGCGGAGACCTGCTGGACATGGTGAGCTGCCCTTAACCGCACTTGCGTGGCCCTTCCTGGCTTTGGTGTGTTCTCATGGAGACCGAGAGGGGACACGGCACACGGTGTTGCAGCCCTGCGATTTTAGCTCGGGTGCAGAAGCCTGTGAACCTGGCTGCAGTCCAGAGGTCCTTCCACCTGCACCTGAAAAGGATTCCAAGCCTGGTCTGGGTGGTACATGTCCCTAATCCCAGAAGTCTAGGAGGCTGAGGCAGGAGGGTTGCAAGTTTCAGTACAGCCTGGATAACTTAGACTCTGTCTCAAATTTTAAAAGACAGCTAGGGCTATAGCTTAGGCTAAAGGCTCCAGATTCCATCTCCAGTACTGGGGCGTGGGGAGCAGGATACCAAGGTACAGATAGGGCCACACAGACATCAGGGGTAAAGGTGAGGTCCAGCCCAGGGGTCTGCCTGCAGAAGCGCATGAGGACAAGCCCCAGGTCATTCCATAAATCCATGACGTGGGTTGCACATTTCCTATGAGCCGATGCTTGGGGGTGAGATACCTCTCCTGGGTTAGAGTGACCCTGCTCCCTCCAGCTCACCCCAAGTCACAGGGCCGACAATGACCTCTGGCCTCCCTGCTGTCCTCTGCCCTACACGTGTGCATCCATGCACATCTTAATAGTCCTTCCTGGTCCTCTAACTGGCCAGCGGCACAGGGTTGTCATTTGCACACCAATTCCCGGTGTAGCTGCAGGCAGTGAGGCCCAGAATGGGACAGTGTCTCGCCTGAGGCCACACAGCACGTACCTGGCAGGGTACTGCCTCAGACTTCTAGCTCACTGCATCCCTGCACGGGGTTAGCTCAGGGCAGCAGGCTGTGGCTGAATGACCATGTGCCAGGCTGTCCTCACGGAAGCCAGATCTGGGCAAGCCAAGGAGCCTTGTGGACACTGAGGCACCCAGCGATGAGTTGGGCCTCAAGGAGGCCGGGTGAGGGGAGGGCTGGTGGTGTCAGTTCCTGTCAGTGTCCCCCAAGCTGAGCTCGGCTGGAAGCCTCGTGCTGTGCTCCTGTCCACGCAGCCCACGCCCAGCCCCTCTGGGCTTTCCACAGGTGTGGGCTCTTGGTACCGGGCTGGCCGTGCGGGATGCCCTGTCTGGTAGAGGGGTGAGGACACCTGCTCCTGGTCCTGGTCCTATGTCTGTCGGCACCGGGGTGGGCGTTACCTGTGGGATGCAGGAAAGTGACAGGCTTTTGGGGTGTTGGAACAGAGCCCCCTGGCTTCTGCAGGCTCTGCGGCTGCCACTCGTCCAGTACATCGAGGAAGATTCCTCTGTCTTCGCGCAGAGTGTCCCGTGGAACCTGGAGCGGATCCTCCCTGTGCGGCACCAGGCAAAGGAGTACAGTGCCCCCAGTGAGCACCCTGGAATGGCCCCCCCTGCCCACTGCCCCCTTGGCCCTGTGTCCCCCACCCTGTGAGGGACCTGGCTCCCCCACTGACCCTCCTCATGTCCCTGCCTTGTCGAGCAGTCCACCCTGCCTCGCCTCCTCTTGTTCCAGAGGAGTACAGGCCCCGTTTGTCTTCCTCCTGGCTGGTCCTGGCTGTCCCTTCTCCATTCGGAGTAGCCTGGTTGGCTGCCCTCACCCGGAGAGGCTGACTTGGATGCTCACCATGGTCCTGTGGGGTTTTGAGGCCTGGAAGTGGAGCATCTGATGGCGAGGGCACCTTTTCTTGCCTTTCCTTCCTCCTGGTGGCCAGAGTGTCCCTGGCTTGTGGCTTATGACTGTCATCTTTGCCTCCATCCTTTCTGTCCTCTGTAAGGACCTGTATCAGGGGCCATGGCTGCGGTAGCTGGAGACCCCTAACCTGATGACTGCTGCTGTCCAAACAAGGGCACGGCACAGCTCTGGGTGTGTGAGCATAGCTTCCTGGGGCCACCGCTTGTCCTGCCCACTCCTGGGAGATGCCACACTGCCCCAAGGGTTAGGGCCCCAAGGGGTATGAAGAGCAGGGGGCAGAACCCGAGTGCAGAGTCTCCTGGAGTGTGGGCGGGGGGGGGGGTTGGCTGGAGGAAGGCTTCCAGGAGCGCTGGGTTTCAGAGAGAAAGGGTGGGCACCTTGGTGCCATCTGGCTGGGCCTGAGGGCAGACTTTTCATTCACGGGGTACAGATGTGACTTCAGCACTGCTGAGCGGCACGATCTCGGACCTGCTGCTGGCTCTCGCTCGGAGCCTCAGGGGGTGGCAGGGGTGGTCTGGGAGGGGCAGGCCAGCTGTGGTAGTGAGGCTGAGGGGGCAGGGAGGTGCTGTGCTCGCGCTGCCTCCTCTCCTCATTCAGCAGTAACTTCTGACCCCGCCCTGCTGCTGCCCTGAGACCCCGCTGGTGGACAGCCTGCAGGGCTCTGTGGGCATGGCTGAGGCTGTCCCTGTGGCCCAAGGCTCCTCCCTCCTCCTGCTGCTCCTTCCAGCCCAGCTATGTGGCCACCCTCAGGTTCTCCCTGCCTTTGCCTGGGCCCCTCATCTGTCTTGTGCGGTAGCCTGCTTCCTGGGGAACCCCATTTGGTGGGAAACTCAGCTTCTTGGGGAACCTCACTTCCTGGGGAACCCCATTTCCAAAGCAACCCCACTTCCTGGGGACCCTACTTCCCAGAGAACCCCATTTCCTGGGGAATACCACTTACCCAGGAGAAAGGGTGAGTGTGTGGCAGGCTTTTGGGGGACTCTGTAAGCTGGGTCTGGGGGAAGCAGCCCCTCTCTGTTTGTGCTCTGGCCCTGTGCTGTCTCCCCCGGACTGAGCTGGGAGAGGCTGTACCCGGGCTTATTGCTCCTGTTACTTGTCAGCTGCATTAATTTAGTCCCTGAGCCGGCTACCACACTCCCTGGCTCCATCCTTGCCACTGACACGTCCTTGGGCAGGTCCTCTCCCTGCTGCCCTGTACACAAACATGTGTGCAGCTGAGAAGGAGGCTCTGAGTAAGATCCTGCGTGTTGGCACGTTTGTGGAGCCGGCTCGCACGCACAGTGCTAACTCAGCATCTGGTTATTCCCTCCTCTCCACGCTGCCGCCGGCGTGCAGGTCACCCAGTGACGGTGTACCTCTTAGACACCAGCATCCAGAGCGGCCACCGGGAAATCCAGGGCAGGATCACCGTCACTGACTTTGAGAGTGTGCCCCAGGAGGACGGGACGCGCTTCCACAGACAGGTGCGCACCCTCTACCCCTGTCCTGGGCCTTGTGGCCGCACCCCCGATGGTCCTACCCCTCCCTGGCTTTCAGGCTGTGGGTGTCGGTCCATCCTGCCCCTTGCGATATGTTGAGGAATGGTGGCCTTTCATGGGGTCCTTGTGTTTCTTGAGCAGGCAAGCAAGTGTGACAGTCATGGCACCCACCTGGCTGGTGTGGTCAGTGGCCGAGATGCGGGTGTGGCCAAGGGCGCCGGCCTACGCAGCCTGCGTGTGCTCAACTGTCAAGGGAGGGGCACAGTCAGCAGCACCCTCAGAGGTGAGTGGGCCTGGCGTAGAGGAGCTCAAGTCCTGGGAGCCCTGGTGACCGGGGAGCCTAGGGGGCCTCGGCCCAGTGCTCTGGAGGGCTAGAGCTGGCAGAAGTCAGGAGTGCACATGGAGAAACTGAGGTTCCAAAGGGCAAAGGCTCAGCCCAGGCACTCCCTTAGGTCAGGTACTTTGCAAGAGCCCACACTATTCCCCTCTCCAACACCTGGACACGAGGCGAGTTTGAGGCCAGCTTGGGCTACACAGTGAGTTCAAAGCCAGCCTGAACTGCATAGCAAGACCCTGTTTCCAAAATAAAACCAAACAAAATAGAAATTCTGTCCTCCACTGTGCTATCTTAGATTTGATCACCTGAGGTGATCTCGGCAAGTTTCTTCATCACTGAAGCCCAGAGTCTCCCTGGCTTGCATGTCTGACAAGGCCCTGTGGTCACTGTGGGCTGGCAGACTCTGTAGAGGGGCTGGCAGCAGACTTTTGGCAGCTTCTGTGGGAGATGCAAGCCAGCCTGCAGATAGGTATCTAGGAGATTACACTGAGGGCCAGGACAGTGGCCTGTGGGCAGGGAAGAGGAGGTGTGTCTGGCTTCCAACATCCTGCTGTGACCAGACACCAAACAAAGGACTTGCATACCTCGGCCCTGGGCCAGAGCGGGTGCCCTGCCGAGGGGACACAGCTGGAGCTGGAGATGTCACTGGGGAAGTTGCTGGTTCTGGGCAGTGGTGGGACCCCCTCATCGAGCCCCAGGCCTGGGACAGACCTATGCAGCCCTCCAAATTGCAAAGGCCCAGGGGCTACTTGTGTACCTAACTGGTCCTTGCACTCCCCTGTCCTGGCACTGGGCTTGGGAGGGAGATGAATTGTGAAGTCTGAGCCAAAGGCCGGATTCTTCCTCAGGAGCTTGGCCTTTTCTCTTTAGACTTCAGCTGCTGACTGGGGTCCATTTGGGTTACAACACCCATCTGCTTAGATTAGATGAGTCACCCAGAAAAGCAGCTTACTCCCTGGGGGTTGGCCCCCTTGGCACCACCCTCCATGCCTAAGAGGAGGAGGCCGCAGGGGAAGGTGCATCTCTGGGAAATGACATGGCTTTGTCCTCCCAGGCCTGGAGTTCATTCGGAAAAGCCAGCTGGCCCAGCCCGTGGAGCCGCTGGTCGTTCTGCTGCCCCTGGCTGGTGGGTATAGCCGCACCCTCAACGCCGCCTGCCACCTCCTGGCAAGGGCAGGGGTGGTGCTGGTCGCCGCTGCTGGCAATTTCCGGGACGATGCCTGCCTGTACTCTCCAGCCTCAGCCCCCGAGGTGGGTACCGGGGTGCTGCCCCGTGGTGGCCACTGTCCCTCCTGAAGGTCTTTTGTGTGCCGCACCCCAAGGTTGGGACCTGGTGCCTGCTCCAGCCTTGTGGAGGGACAGAAAGGCACCCCGGTTCTCTCCTGTCTTTGTGTCTCCTCTCCAGGCACCCTGGTGCTCGGCCTAATGCACGGCCAGCCCAGCCTGTCCCACCCCATGGATCTGCAGGCTTCCCTCGCCTGCAGCCCTGCCCAGACCGCATAGTTCCCGTGGCAGGGGAAAAAGGGCTGGGGGCACCGGGGTCCACAGTCCGCATCCCATCTGCAGTGCCCGATGCCTGCTGGTCACTGGGCTGTGTGAGCATGGGACAGGGCCCCGAGGGAGCACGGGCAGCACTGTGGGGCACCAGGTCCCCATCTGCTTGATGCCCCAGGGCGCCCACTGTGCATCAGGCTCTGGGTGTGAGGGCTAGGGGAGGACTTCCTGGCTGCGCTCAGGGCCTGGCAGCCTGGCGCTAGCTGGTAGGGAGGTGCAGATGTCACCCTGTAATTCCATCCTGTGGGAGAATAAATTAGGAAGAATTCTGGTTCTCACCCAGCCCAGTCAACCTAGCAACTCGCCAAGACCCAGCCAGCCTCCACATTTATAAAGGGCTGGGGACGCCGCTCAGTGTGAAGGGCTTTAGGTTCAACCTCAGTACGCCAGCAAGTGAATGAAAGATGGTCTGAAACCTGTCAGCCTCTCCGCTTGCTGCTGTGGCCTCCCCATGGCACTTAGAGTGGGACTGGCTTGCTGTTTGTCATGTGTCTTCCCACAAGACTGTGCCTTGCCTGGGGGCCTCAGGAATGCACCTACATGGTGGGAAGTACAGGGGTGGGCCAGGACAGAGGCACTAGAGTTCTTCCCAGAGTCAGAGTTACCCTAGTAGGGGACATTTAGGTGGGATCTATAGGGGTGTGTAGGAGATGGCCAGCGTGGCTGGCGAGGTCTGTCCATTCCTGCAGCCTTCCCTGATTGCTTTTTCTGCCACCCCCCTCCTCACTTTTTCAGGTCATCACAGTTGGAGCCACCAATGCCCAGGACCAGCCAGTGACCCTGGGGACCTTGGGAACCAACTTTGGCCGCTGTGTGGACCTTTTTGCCCCAGGGGAGGACATTATCGGGGCCTCCAGTGATTGCAGCACCTGCTTTGTGTCACGGAGTGGTACATCACAGGCGGCTGCCCATGTGGCGGGTCAGTCACCTTCCTGCCTCAGCCACTACAAGGCTCACAGCCCCATGGGCAGACAGGGCCTGTGCCAGAAAGCACAGGTGTGGGCAGCTGCAAAGGTCATGGGTTGGTCAGCTTGCTGCTCCTGGGCCAGTACTGAGCAGAGTGGGGGGAGGAGGGAGGCTGTGTCCTGCAACCTGACTTCCTTCTGAAGGCCCCACCTCCTGCCCTCCACCACCTCCAAGCACTGCTACAGGCTGGGTACTAAGCCCTTAGCACTAGACCTTTGAGGGACATGGGAGAGCCAGACCACGGTGGTTCCCTCAGCAACATTCAGCTATGGGGTAGGAAAGCGCTTGAATGGAAGGGCTACAGAGCAGTCAGGGTTCCATCAGCAGGAGCCCAGAGGAGGCACTAGTACTGAAGGGGCAAGGAAGACTTCCTGGGGAGGGTTAGCTGATCTAGGCTTTGAGGGATGAATAGGAGTTGACCAGGGCCTAGCAAGCATGATGTCTTAGTGGCTGGCTTTGCCTTGACCTGGAGCTGCAGGTGGTCTCTCTCTTGAAGAGCAGTGTGGTCATTGGAGGCCTTAGTTGGGAAGGAGGGTGATGCCACCACCGCCTCTGACTGCCCTATCCCACTCAGGCATCGTGACCATGATGCTGACAGCCCAACCCAAGCTCACACTGGCTGAGCTGTGGCAGAGACTGATCCACTTCGCTGCCAAGGATGTCATCAACGAGGCCTGGTTCCCTGAGGACCAGCGAGTGCTGACACCCAACCTGGTGGCCACGCTGCCCCCCAGCACCCGTGGAGCAGGCGAGTAGGGTGGCAGGGTAGCCAGCCGACAGGGGCCTCAGCGGCCCTGGGAGGGCTGTCCCCAGCAGGAGCTGAGCCGGGGCTGCCCTCCGGCTCCTCCCTCACCTGGGCCTGTTGCAGGGGGGCGGCTGCTGTGCAGGACGGTGTGGTCAGCACGCTCAGGGCCCAGACACACGGCCACTGCCCTGGCCCACTGCACCCCCGGCGAGGAGCTGCTGAGCTGCTCCAGTTACTCCCGGAGCGGGAAGCGGAAGGGCGAGCGCATCGAGGTGACCTGCCCAGTGTGGTGTGTGGGGTGGGCTCTTGGCCAAGGCCCTGGGTGCCACAGGGACTGCGGGCAAGCCATGCCCATGTTCCAGAGATGCCATGGGGCAGCACGAATGGGGCCCTTGGGGTCAGTGGTGGTAGCGCAAGACCAGACCTTGCACCCAAGCTGTCTCTAGAGGAACTTCAGGAAACCCAGAGCCGCCCACTGGCGGAACAGTGTGTCCAGGCAGGTGTGGGGTCTGGTCCCCAGGAGGTCAGGAACAGGGCTGGGAAGGACTGGGGGACCCTGCTGCGGTGCGTCCTGGTAGAGCAGGTTTCAGCCTCTGTCTCTGGCCACAGGTCCTCAGGGGCAGGCGAGTGTGCGTGGCCTACAACGCATTTGGGGGCAAGGGTGTCCACGCTGTCGCCAGGTGCTGCCTGCTGCCCCGGGCCAACTGCAGCCTGCACACGGCCCCAGCCAGGGCTGGGATGGAGCCCCGTGTGCACTGCCACAGGAAGGACCAGGTCCTCACAGGTAGGAGGCTGGCCCTGTCCCTGACACCTCTGGTCCAGTGGGCGTGGTACACGGGGGTGACCAGTCCTGCTTGGGTGCCTGTGTGCCCATCGCAAGCCAGGAGTCTGCATTTCCAGGCTGGGAACCTGGTGGTTGGTTTTGTCTTTCTGTCTTGGCTTCCTTCTGCCTCAGAGGCAGGGGTGGTGTCTTAGGGTGGTGGCAAAGTGGGGCCACCCAGAGCAAGGCCTGGGGTGCTGGGTGGGCCTCACAGAGTGGGCGAGGAGTGACCTCAGGCTGGAGCCACTCAGCTCCTCAGCAGTCATGCATGCAGCTTACCAGCTCTGTACCTTGCTTTCCCTGTCTGTGAAATGGGGAGGGAGGATGCTATACATTCTAGCTGTCATTACGGTCATTACTTACTGCCTCCAAAATCATTTCCTTGTCTGAAGGTGCCACTCTGTGACAAGTGTGCCCCAGCAAGTGGCAGGGCATCGCTCCCTCAAGCAATAGGATGGCAATCCTCAGGTCTCGGGAGGCCGAGTGGCCCTGGTTGATGGAGCACAAGTGTCCCAGAAGGTTTGTAGATGACAGGGAGTTGTGAATGGTTTAGGAACAGAAGGTGCAGTGTAGGACCCGGCACAGTGGCTGGGGTGCTGGCCGGGCTGGAGTGGAAGGACCCGGCAGGTGGCTGGTGCCCTCAGCCAGACCAGGGCTGCATTTTTCTTCGCAGATGGCTGGGTCCTGGGCCACCTCGAAGTGAGACCCATGAACATCACTACCTGTGGGCACGATACATGGGGCCTTGGCTTGGGCCTGGGCACTCCGAGTGGCTTCCCCAAGAGCACAAGTGGCCATGGCCTGATGGGTCAGGGGCTATGCTGAGACTTCACATATGTGTCTGTGTTTCACTGCTGCAGTGTGCCCGGGGCAGGTGATGTTACTCTCACTTATTCAGAGATAGGGCTGCTGCGGCCTGGTGCAGCTGTATGACCACTGTCCTTGGTTTTGCACCACTGGGTGTGTCTGATTCCGGCCCTTGAAAGGAGTGCCAGGCACCCAAGCTCACACCTGAACTTTGCCAGTGGCTGGACAGGGCAGGGGCCTGCAAGGCTTTGAGCCACAGGTCTTGGACTCTGTCCTGTGGCTCCTGTCTCGGAGTGGCAAGGAGAGTATGTCTGTACTAGAACTGAGGCTCAGAGAGGTCGAATGTTTTCCTAAGGTCACACTGCAGGTTGTCTGCACAGCAGAGCTGAGACCCAGGGATCCTGCTGCTCAGTCCAGCTTCTCTTTCCTATCTGAGCTGTCTCTGGGTTTCCCCGGCCTCAGGCCTTAAAGCTGTGGGGGCAGAAAGAGGTTGCCCAGCATTCCCGTGACAGAGATGATCCTCCTCTACCCAGGCTGCAGTGCCCACTGGGAGGCTGAGGATTTCAGGGCCCGTGGGTGGCCCATGCTGAGGCCAGGGGGGCCCAGCCAGTGTGTAGGCCACAGCAAGGCCAGTGTGCATGCTTCCTGCTGCAGTGCCCCGGGCTTGGAGTGCAGAATCAGGGAGCACGGAGTCCCCTGGCCTGCAGAGCAGGTAAGGAGTGGGCGGGTGCACATGGTTGTCCTTTAGGCTTTGGGTCATCGTTTGCTCCATTGCTGCTTTGTCATGTGTCAGAGTGGGGTGCTGGGGTGTAGGCAGAAGGGTGAGGGCAGGAAGGCCCAGCCTGGAGGGCATGGACACAGATGGAGGTGGAGTGAGAGAGCTTGTGCTTGCAGGGCTGTGCAGATGGGCGTGCTCTCTGCCTGGTGGCTGAGGGCAGGCCTGCCTTGGACCCAGTGTGCGGGTGCCCTACCCTGGTACCCCAGCACCCCTGAAGGTTCTGGGGCACTGAAAAGATGCCCTGGAAGATGGCAGCGCAGGAAAGAGAGTGGGCGGGAGGTCAGGAAAGTCTGCACTCAGACAGGAGGGATGGCAAGCCAGGGATCACGTTGCAGGCAGAGGGAGTGTGGGGGCAGGCACGGTGGTAGACGCCTCTAATCCCAGCCTCTGGGAGGCGGAAGCAGGAGAATGACATTATGAGCCACCCCACACAGCTTAGCAATTCAGTAAGACCATGTCTCAAAATAAAAATAAAAAGGACTGGGATGCAACTCAGTATGGAGGCCCTGGCTCAGTTCCCAGCACTGCCAGCAAGAGGCCCGAGGAGGAGAAGCAGTTAGGAGGGAGAGGTGGGCCTAGGAGGGTCGGGAGGTACAAGGCTGTAGGCCAGACGCGGGGTGTTGCCGGGTGGGCTGGAGCCTGGGGTGAGGTCAGGGGATGAGCAGGCTCACTACGGAGCTGAGCTGAGCTGCAGAGGAGGTGGGCAGCAGCAGGGCAGCAGACAGGGCTCCTGCAGGGCAGGCTAGGGGCAGGGTGCAGGCCAGGACCAGGATGTGAGGCGGCAGGGGATGTGGCGAGTAGCTGAGGGAGGAGTGGACAGGCCAGCCAAGTGGCAGGGGCTGGCATGGGGCAGTGCTGGGCATGGGCCCCAGGTGTGTGCTGCAGAGCACGTCCAGTGGCCCAGAGTGAGAGTTGGCACTGCGGCCCCCCAAAGCTCATCAGGAGGAGGTGAAGTCCGGGCAGTACAGATGTGTGCTATCTCCTCCTGGCTCTGGCAGGTCACTGTGGCCTGTGAGGATGGCTGGACCCTGACAGGCTGCAGCACCCTCCCTGGGGCCTCCTCGGTCCTCGGCACCTACGCCGTGGATGACACGTGTGTGGTGAGGAGTCGTGACGTCAAGGCATTGGACAGGACCCGCGGAGAGGCCTTAGCAGCCATCGCCATATGCTGCCGGAGCCAGGCCTCAGAGCAGGCCTCCCCAGAGCGCCAGTGACACCCCAAGCTGGACAGCCCCCTGCACAGGGCAGGGGCCTGGGCCTGCAGGGACACGTATGTTTCTGCGTGGCATCTGCTGGGGCTCCTTGCCTGGGAGAACTCGGGGTCTTGCCTGGTACCGTCACGGGCTGCAGCTTGGTGCGATCCTCACGCCTCTGGGCTGATGACCCGCCCTGGCCTACGCTCTTGCCATCGCCATTCAGTCAAGCCTACCCGCAGGAGAGAGGTCGTGGGGGCCGGAAGGAGCTGAGTGGCGAGCTGGGGTGGTGAGGGAGCTGGTGGCCCTGCAGTGCCTGCCCACTTCGGAGACGCCCCTTTGGGATTCTTGGCTAATGGGCGATGTGTTTTCCACACCCCTGGCATGAGGGTAGGGATGAGCTCCATGTCTCTCCCAGCTGCCTCCCGTTCCCTGCCCAGTAACGCAGGCACCTTGCTTTATAGGGGAGATACCGGGACTAGAGATGGGTGGTGCCTGCCGGCGCACACTGGGGGACATGGGAAGGTGCTGGACAAGATGCCGAGCGGCCTGGTGAGGAATCAGCTCGTTGCTGTGCCAGGATGGGCACCGGCTTGCGGGTCCTGTGGGGCCAGAGCTGCTCCTGATGGCCTAGCGGGCCATGGAAGGGGCGACTGTTCCCCCGCCCCGCTCCCGCGACGTAAGCGTGGTCTCTCATAGGTCATCTCTCCTGGGTTGCCTCTCTGTGGCCTTTTTATACCAAGCTTTCCCAGAACTGTTTGGCTTTTGTAACTGTATTTATTCTGGGTTTTGTAGTTTTTATTATGTGACTTTTTAAAATAAAAATAACTTTGTCATGATCCAGCCTGGACCTGACTGCTAGGGTGCTGCCCTAGGGTAGCATGGAGTTAGTGGGTGATGGCCTCAGAGAAGTGGAGCACCGCGAGCCTCCGCCCAGCTTCTGGGGCCCAGCAGGCTGTGTGCCAGCCTGGAGTGCACTCCCACCCTCATCCAGCAGCAGACCTGGGCGTTTGTGGGGTCAGTGTGCCGGCGCTTCCCCAAGGGTCAGAGCTTGCCCGTAACTGCCACCCAGTGAACAGGACTCATCCTGGACTTCAGTCCAGTCTGCAGACTGTCCTACTGAAGTGGGGGCTCCTGGTGGGGCTGGTGAGCATGTCCTAAGCAAGATCTGTCCCTCCACAGACCTTGTGTAAGGGACCTGTCATAGTTCTTGCTTTCTGACCATTCAGTGTCAGGCGGGGAAGATGCTCATGGCCCTCGGGCCTCACACCCGCTGTGCACCCAGACCCGGCCCTCCTGGAGACGCCACTCCACCTGTCCCTGAGATTCCTACAGCCCAACAGCTGTCACTTATAAGGGACAATTGGGTTCTTGCAGAGACTTGGCAGGTGGTCAACAGCCACCAGTGGGGAGGAGGGAGAGTTGGACTGGCATGTGAGAGGGACCCTCACAAAAAAGCACAGGCCCAGAGACCCAGGGTGGGACTCAGGCAGGGAGGGCTGCCTTGGGAAAGCGGGGAGCCACAGGGGAGGCGAACGCAGGCTGGGAGGACCTTGAGGTCTGTGTCCTCATTTACGCTCTGCAAAGGAGTCCTCAGCTGCGACCAGTGCAGGCTCAGGAGACCCCAGTCCGGTGAAGAATCAGAGGCAGCTGGGGGCAGGCCCAGGCAGACCGTGCCCCCGCCACGGCCACCTTCTGACACCTGGAAAAAAATGCTGGTGAGACTTCAACTCTACATTTTTGAAAAATTTATTTTGTACTTTCAGAAGCTGAGAACTCTGCCACGCATGAACCAAGTTTAGAATTAAGAGTCTTTCCTAGTTTATCTACTTTCTTTTGAAATTTTATAAACAAGATTTTGTACACAAAGAGGTAGCAGAGGACAATTCCAGCCTGCTTGTTCCAAGCTCAGAGGGACTGCACACGTCTCGATGTCCGCAGGGAGGGAGGCAGGGAGAAGGCTCCGCGCTCCAGGTCCTAGGACTTAAGCCAGGTGCCAGCGGCTGGGTCGTGGATGAGCTGTCCCCAGGATGCTGCTCCTGTCCGGGACGCCCAGAATGGCCTTTGCTGCACAGCTTCGACAACACGGAGCACTGAGTCCTTTGTGCAATTCTTGCTCAATTTGCAGACCGTTGTGAAAGGTTATAAAAAACTTCATCCAAAAAATTGGCAGTAAAAATGACAACTTTTCCAAGGCAAGCCTGTCACAATTTGTCACTTTGTGGAACTACATTAAAAAAAGTCCTCAGCAGGCTTGTTGACTGCAGCTGTTGGAAATCAAGTGGTTACTGGCATCGTGGAGTCAATGCTCACAACCTAAGGACACAAACCGAAGCTGGAGTGAGGTGACCCTGCCACAGCTTTGTGCGAGGCTGGCAGGGCCGGGGCAGGAGGCGTTTCCATAGGAAATAAGGGGACTAGAAGTGGTGATTTCACTCCTGGTTTGGGGCTCCTGAGAGTGCAGCTGCCAGCGATGATATTCCCACAAGTATCCTCGCTAGCATTTCAAAGTCCCACACAATCTTTACAGGAAGACGGGTGTGGACAGGTGAGGGCCAGGGTGGGGGACGTGGTAGGATACGAGATACTCAGTCACATCACATTTACAACTGCAAGAACACCAGGTCCACGTCAGACGTGCCGTCTGCTTCTCTGGCCTTCCACCTTCCTGTGAGTCTGACAAAATCTGTCAGCAGCCTGTGGTTGGTTGTGAAGGACAGGCTGAAGTCTGACTGCACAGGAACTGCCACAGCGGAACAGGCGAGAGAAGGGCTGCGCGTGCAGGCGGTGAAGCTGTCTGCTGTCACATGTCCCCACAAGTGCAAACGCAATCAAAAAGGCACTCTGGGGCTGGCTGTGCCTCTGACTTGCGAGTTCCACAGTGGCAACCCGGCACTTCCTAAGGCTTCCCCAGTTCTGCATGCAGTGAGCAGAACTTGTAACTAGAGGCAAAACAGGACAACAGGGTACGACCATTTCAAGACAGAACGTTCCAAGTACAGGGGTGTTGCTGTGGTCCCCACCCTCGCCCCAGCAGGGGGCTGGTGCCTAACCTGAACCCAGCGGGTGGTGCAGCTCAATGGGTGGTACACGTTTTTCGCCAGTGCTTTCCAGCAAGGCTTCCCATCCTGCTTCTTCAGGGCTGATGAGTCATGTTTAGGTGAGCACGAAATGCACTGTGAAACTCCTCCAGCAGTTCCCCCAGTGCAGACACTCAATTCCACGGATACCACTACCAAGGGCTTCAGAAATTATGTTCTCAGTAAAAGCAAATGATTGCAGATCACAGGACTTAAGACTACAGTTTATTCAATATGTCTCCAAGCATTAAAAAGATAATTTTATGAAGTCAAACTCAATAAAATTATATCTTAAAGTGCTTTTTATTTTGCTGTTTTAAAAATTTGATTTGGGAACCACTCCTGACTTCTTTAATGCCCGATGTCAGAGAATGCACCCTGCACTGCTGGAAACAGCTTTTTTATTTTATTGCTCTTTTCAATTTTAATCATATCAGAAAATACCTTAAAGAGCTTAATGTGTTCCAATTTTGATCATGGTAACATTTCATCAAGATTTAAGCTTATGCCCAGGGCTCTCAATCAGACCCATCTGAAATTCTATACAAGAAGGGAGACATATTAAATACAAAGGTCTGTGTAAACTGAACTCTTTAACTACTATTTTACAATGAAAAAGAATTTTACCACATAGCTTTACATCATTTAAATTGGATATTCCTATTCAATGTTACTGCAACATTAAAAATTTGCCCTCACAAACCTAGCGGCAGCTTGCTATTTTTTCTTAAGAGTATAAAAGCTAAGGGAATCCTTTGTTGGCCCATGGAGAAAGCAACAGCTCCCCCACTCTCGAATGTTCATGTGACAGAAGTCTGCCGCCAGCGCTCCTTCCTCAGATTCCACAGAAGCATCCGTTCTGCACGAGGACTGTGCCTCGGGACAGCTGGCCACATGCTGGTCACCTCCTGGCCTTGTGGCCAGGGAAGCCTCCGAGGACATAGCCCCGATGTCCGCTGTGTCCTGGCCTGTCCCCAGGCTCCGACAATGGTTTCAAAGGTGAGATTCTGTTTCCGGAAGTGCTGACACCCAGTTCTGTCAGGTGCGGGACAGCTTCCTCTAAGGGTCGACGTCATCAAGGTCACTTCTTAGCTCACCAATCATCATGGGAGACTCTGAACCCTGGGAAGGGAACAGGAAATGAAAATCCGTGCCGTTAGGGAGAAATTTCCGACACTGCTTTCCTAGTTATGTTCTGTAATTTAAACATGTCCTCATGCAGCAATGTAATTGTTTACTAATGGACACTAAATCGCAGGGTAGGTATTACACCTTCAGCTTGACATTTGTGATTCTGCAGAACATTTTGATGCCTATGTCACTGAGTCACCTCGGTGCCTTGCCTGGGCTGCGGTTCTCATGCCCACAAGCAGGCTCTTCTTGGAACTCGAGGAGCAGGGGGACAAAGCCCAGAGAGAGACGAGCTTGACTCTGTCTGCTCTGTGCTGGGCACGCACCTGAAGAATCATCCCTGGGCCCTCGTTCTGTCTCTGTCATCCACAGTGCTGGCCTTTGGTTTATGTGCTCAAGCGTTCTGAAGACCTGGCATGTGTGTGCCCTGCAGGTGAGCTGGGCGGGGGTGGGAACAAAGGGAAAGGGACAACCTCTGTGGTGGCTGACATGAGGTGGGAGTTAGACGGAGTGAGTGGGGTGGGCCTTAGCGGGGAGAATAACTGAGAAATTAAACCCAGCACTGCTGGGCAAGGTGTGCAGGGACCAACCCAGGAGGGCTGCGTGCAGGGTTCTGGCCTCTACCAAGCAGCAGGGGAAAGCCACAACAGGCTTTGGTGGGCAGACAGCGAGCAGCAGGAGGCGGCGGGGCCCCCCAGAGCCCTGGAGACTTAGGTGCTGAGGACGCACGGACAGACCTCACTGCAGCAGTCAGGCTGGGCCCGGGCAAGCTGGGTGATTCTGAGGACAGGGAGGGAGGTAAGAGGCGGAAAAGGGGGTGGAAGAGCTGTGTTCAAACACTGCTAGGGAGGAGGGCAGAGGGGAGAATTCAAGATGCACGGAGGACAGGAAAGTGAAGTTCTGTCCAGACAGGGAGGTGAGGTGGAGGGTGGGAAGAGGGGATGCAGGACAGAGCAGGGGTTGTGGCCTGGGGCTTGGGAGCCAGCAGCTGGGGGCTCCTGCCCACCAGCTCTCATCATCTCTGCAAATCAAGGAGGTGGTGTGGTAACCTGCCGAGAGTGACCCCTTCTGTGTGATTAGTGTACTGGCTGCCCACACTGCGATGAGCATCTGAAAGGTAACGGAGCAGAACCAATGGACACGACACCAGCAACTCGCTCTGTGCGATGGCCCACAGGGGAGACTGCTGCTAAGGAGGCCACAGGCCGGCAGGGAGGCTGGCATGAGCGTGATCACAGGCATGCTCAGCCCCATGCTGCATGTAGCAGGTGTCTGAGGACGATTTCTATCCTCCAGTGATGAGTAATGAATGGGCTTAAGTCAGTTCAAGTCTCCTGGTGAGCAGGTCTATCACAGTGGCACTAGCTTCCCTGCCAAGGGTCTGTACATGCAGGAAGGCCAGTGAGACAGAAGCAGGAAGGGCCATGAGACCAGCATGCGTGGGGCTGGTCACCAGGACCGTGTCCCGTGGCCTGCCAAGGCCTTGCCCTGGCTGCCCTGCTGTGTTCCGCCTGCTGCCGGGGTCTCTGTGGCCAGACCAGCCCCTGCTGTACCTGCTGCAGGTGTCTCTCTCCGTTCTCATTGGCAGGACTGCTCTCCGACCCGTTACTGCTTCCTGACTGCTCCTTTTCATTCAGCAGAGCTGTGGCGTACGCTAATGTATCCTGCAGGATGTTAAAGCACAGCAGAAAAGTCACAGGCTGTCCCTACAGCAGGCACCACCCTCTGTTGACCTGTGGTGGCACTGACAGCCTGGAGAGAGGCGCTCCTACCTTGGCCACCGGCACTAACTTGCTTGCTCTGTAGCCTAGGCCACCCAGCTACAGCCCTGTTCTGCTAGGCAAATCATCTGCAAGGTTTGCCTCAGCGGTCAGCAATTTGTGTCTTTTAACAAAAACCCAACCACTGCCTCTGCCTGTTCTCATTTTCACCTGTGCCTCCACCCTCTGGGCAGTGGTTCTAAGAACCCTGTAATGAGGGGTTTCAAAGCACATGGGAATGAAGACTGCCCTCACCTGGGCTGAGATGGTTCGCTGAAAGGTTTTTCCAGTTGAAGTTTCGTTAGAGACGTTACTCTGTGGTGTCCAGTAATGTTCTGACATCTGAGACGGAAGAGGAAGCCCATCATTAAGAGGTAACAGGTGAGTATGCCAACACCGCAGTCTAGGCACAGGACCGTGGCTGCTAGGCCTTCCAGGACCCGGGACAGAGAGGTACCCGGGGAACACTCTCCTTCCACATCAGCCTGACCCTTCACCTGCAAGGTTCAGACACGCCTGGCGTCCCCTCATCTTCAGCTCTACTTTCCTGAGTTTCGGTTACCTGTGACAAACCACAGTCCAAACACAGTAATAACTTGGTTCACAAATGCTTCTGTTCATAAACAATTTGGTTCACTCACAGAAGTGTTTGGCAAAAGTTGGCTTCCATGAGTGAACTCTGTCTTGGATGATGAAAACAATTGGAGCCATCTTTCCCAGAATCATGGAATGCATTAATTTTGTGAACCGAGCTACCACCGTATATGAGATGGAATATTCTAGAAATAATTCCATGTTTTAAGCTTTGTGCCAGTCTTGTACCATGAAATCCTGCACTGTCCCTCTCTGTGCCATTCTAGATATAAACTGTCCCTTTGTCCAGCAAAAGATCCACACTACATATTCTTCCTGCCCAGCAAGGCTGTGGCTCAGTGATCATCACTGACTGTCACAAGGCCAAAGCAGCATAGCTACTTGACAGTGCCTGTGTCTTTCGCCTCCTCACAGTCTCTGCACCATTTCACAGTATCACAAGATGGGCACCAGTCAAGAACATGAGTTTTTAAGAGATAGAAACCTGTTATGGCTTGTGTCTCAGGTACCATGGGTGAGATTTTTGGGAGAGACTGGATCATGGATGTTGACACTGGATTAGCTCACTGACTGGGTCAGCGTAGTTCTGGGTGTGGGTGGCACCAACCAAAAGGCCTGTAGCCTGGGTGGAACAAAACGGGAAGGAACAGCACACCTATAATGTAGCACTTGGGAGGTTGAGGCAAGGGAGTCCTTGCAAGTTCCCAACCAGCCTGAGCTACAATGTAAGCTCAAGAGCAGCCTGAACTGCAGATTGAAACTCTGTCTCAAAAGACAGGAAAGCGAAAGGAAGAAGAAAGGCTGTGCCATGAGCTGTCTCCCCCGCCACAGCCCCGCTGATGACAATCGAGACCTCTGCGAAGTGAGTGAAAATAAATCTCTCCTCCTTTTAATTGTGGGTGTCAGGTACTTTGGCCTCACAACCAGAAAGGAACTAAAGCAAGACCATTTTCATACGACTTCTAGTACAGTGGACTGCTGTAGCTGGCTTACTATTTTTTCCCCTCCATCCCCTATTTTTTTTTTTGGATTGTTCTAACTGTTCCTAACATACAGCTTAACTTTGTCACAGGTTTATACACCTAATAAAACAGCAGTGCATGTAGGGCTCAGTACTATCCATGGTTTCAGGCACCAGCTAGGAATCCTGGAACGTGTGTGGAGACATTCAGTGCACATGAGTGGGCACGGACTGTATTAAAGAACACCTGAAGAATGAGAATGCTTTGGAGTCAGTGCACAAGTTAGGGTTGGAGGACTTTTTTTGTTCAGACGTCCTGCAGCTGACCTTTACGCTGCAGCTAGAGAAGTTAAGAATTCAGCTACCTTCTTCTGCAGCCACTGCACGGCCCAGCTCCAATGGTGGGAGTTTTCCTTGAAGTATTCTTTAGCAGCAGGGCACCTGGAGGTTGAGGAGACTGCTATCAGTCAAATACTTCTGGTGCAAATATTAATTTTTTTAGTAGCTTTTTGTTCCAAAACATAGCAATTCTACTGTCATTAAATTTTAGTTGTCTTGGTATTACACTTTTATGTTTTTAAAACTTGAGTAGTAATTTGAGTAAGAAAGAATGACACAATGGGAAAAACAATCTAAAGCACCTTTCTCTTTCCACTTTTGCTTACTGTAAGCTGCCCCTCCTGTCTGGAGACAGCACCCAGGGGGAAGGTACCACTGGTGGGTGTCGGAATGCACAGGTGCAGGGCGTGCGAATAACACAGACGCGGACAGCTGACTGAGCACCTGCTGGCATGGGACTACCCAGAGATCCAGCACTGCTTAGAAAGGTGGCGCCTGACACGCTGTCACTATGGAGTCTGATTAATGAACTCTGGGAGGAAAGGAAATGGCAGAGTAGCAACCAGAAGCCAAGTACAGTCTCTCCAGGACCTGAAATCCAAACACCTGAAAACAACAATTTGGTGATGGGGAAAAAAAAAGTAGATTTCAGAGAATTGGGAAGGAACTGACAGACAAAGTAGAAACCCCTCAAAAGCTGGAGAAACAGAGCACAGTGGAGAGAGAGGATAAAGCAGTCCGGAAGCCCACAGCAGCTCCTAGGGAGGCAAACCACTCTCCACAGACACGCGGTGACCCAGCAGGGTCAGAAGCTCCAGGGAGAAGCAGGCCAGGCCAACAGCACTGCCCCTATGAAAGGCCCATGACCACTGTAACCAGCACACACTGTAGGGCGGTTTACTCCAAAAGCAAGCCCTGGGCGGCCGGCTGCGGCTGGAGAAGAAACCTGGGGCCCTGCCTGCCGTCCTGCGGAGGACGTTTCATCAGGTGTCTTTTTGAGAAGGGGCGGATTACAGAACATCTGTCAGTCATTTCACTGCAGGGTTTCTAGTGCTACCTCCCACAGGGACCTATGAGAGAGACAGCCACGAAGGGCAGGAGTAAAGGGGCGCAGGCTAGGTACGGAGTCCCTAAGAAGTTTAAGTTTAGACCAGGAAAGACACGGGGCTCGACCCCTGTGTGCAAGGACAGGCCTGCTGTGTGGCTTTCAGAAGTGCTGGCGTTGAGAACAGCAGTCTGCCCGAACCCTCTCCCCGCTGCCCACATCCAGCAGAGATCCGAGGCCTGTGTACTTTCTCCATCGACTAACGGGAGCAAGGGCTCGGAAATGTCCATGGCCGAAGACAAGACAGAGGGGCCCTGGAGGAAGGGCAGGGCACCGCCTAAACCTCCGGCGAAGTGGAGGAAACCACTCCAGATCCTGAAAAGAAACCATCATTCAAAATGCAGGGCAGTTTGTGTTTTTCTCTGACCTTCCTTTTTCTTTATTCTTCACCAGTTAGATGGGGCTTAGGGTTATTACCCCCTTTCATTCTTATTTTTTCTCTTTGGTAGATATTTACTGTATGTCAATATTTGGCTTGTCTCAGTAGTATTTGTACTATAATTATAGATTTATTTTCTGTGGTTAAGGATTGTGTATTATTGGTTCTTGGGGGATATAATATCCAGTTTGTCTCTGACACTATCATTCCTGATTCTATGACTATAGCCAATATGACAATCATCGCTATTAACTGGGTTTAATTGCCAATATCTGACTGCCTTTGCCATTAACAATACTGATCCATTCTAGGAGAATTGTGCTTAGCTAATCACACTGTATCCTCCCCCTCCACATTACCAGGACCTGGGGACAAAGGCCTAGAGTTAGCCATACCTAGAATCATCCCTAAGAAGCAAACATGAACTAAATGTATTTCCATGCTAGCAACAGTGTCTTTCTACTGTAAGTGACCCTAAACTTTGGTAGAAAACAAGAACAAAAGCCAGAAACATGATTCTCTGCTGTGGGAAACTGGAAGTGTAAATAAGGACCACACAGATACTGTGAAAGAGGAAGCAAGCATTCCAATAAGGAGGCGGGCTAGGGAGCAGAGAGGAGCACAGACAGGAGGGGAAAAGGAGAGATGAGAAAAGAAGGGAAAGATGGAAACAAAGGTTTTGTAAATAAGGCGGGACAGAGAAGTTGAAGGGAGGCTAGGGGAACGGGGAAAAAGAATCAAGACGTATCATGAATCCTCGATGAGTAAGTAAGACTTTTGAAGATAACCATGCAAGATAACAAAATTTGTTACATTTCTACCACCTTGTTTTGAGAGATTACGTTGTTACTGTTTTGGGCTTTTTGTTATTTATTTGACCCGTTTCTTGTTTTTCTATACTTTGTTTTGTTTTGTTTTTCCCTCTAATACAGAAAGGATAGATGTACATGTATAAGCTTATATATGCCTAGAACTTCACCTAAAGAGTTTACAAGAATTGATTTTATTATGCGTGATGATATGAATAGCTACACAAAAGAAAACAAGGTATTATGGTAGCCACTGCTAATTTTCTATCATTTTGTTTTGAAGTCCAATTATGCCTTTATTCTTGGGTTTTGATTGGTTGTAGTCTGCTTTCAATTATTTGATTCCAATATCTACGAAGGTATGGACAGCTGTTTTGAAGAAAACAAGAGACATTATGGTAGCCATTATTGATTTCCTAGTGGCTGGTCTTGAAAGCCCTTAAGGCTCTCATTCTTGTGTTTTGATTGCTTTTATACTCTTCTGATTTGTATTAACTTATTGTATGTGAAGGTATGGAAAACTATTTCAAAGAAAACGAGACATTAAGGCAGCCACTGTTGATTTCCTGTTGTCTTGTTCTTAAATCCTGTGTTATTTGCATTGTTTTGATCTGTTTTGTTTTGTTCTCTTAAAAAAATCCCCTATGATTAACGTGATCATTAAGTATACCTAAATGTACCAATAAATTTTAAAAAAAGAAAGAAACGTGAGGAAACAAGGCAACAAAATGCCTTCAAGGTCTCTACTAATGCCTTATAGAGCTTAAATTCAGAAGTTTGTGCCTCATAACTGAAACAAAGGAAAATGACATGCCCATTCGAAAGTCAGCAAGTCCCCTAGAACTTTCGGGGTTTTGTTTTATAATTTTTTTCTTAATGCAGACATATAAAGAGTCTGTCAAATGTCATATGTAGACTAAAAACAAAATTTATGAACCTGCCTCTGTTTACTAGCAGATGACATTTACAAAAGGTATTTGAAGGACATCTGAAACTTTTCTTTTGGTAGACTGGCAAGACCTAACATTTAAAAAGGAAACTGAGCTAAAGGGCAATTTACTTTAGACTATCTTGATTGTCAAGGTGTATGCACTGTAATTTAAAAATGTATATTGCTACATACTTGTAAATTTTAGTTGTGTTAAGTCAGGAATTAGTAAAAAGCTATGCTGGATTTGAGTCCAAATGACATTATTTGCAAAAAACAGTAAAAAATAATAATGAGAAGAAAGGGCTGCTCAGTGAGCTTTTGCAAGACTCAGATACTAGTCAAATATTTCCCTTGGATTCCCTTCAGATTACTCTCAATTTCCCTTTGTTTTCAGTTTCTCAAAAAGAAAGAATGAAATGAAATATAGCAGAATGTTAACCCATATGAAATTAAAGTGTACCTAAATACTGAAAAAAATCCCAAGACCACAAAGCCTCCAAAAACTCCCAACTCCTCCAAGCTGGTCCTAGGGGCATGGACAGGGAGGAAAAAGCCAAAGAGCCAAATTATTTAAAATAATAAAGGAGATTAAAAACAAACCAGTAATGTGCTAGGCAAGCTCAAAGAAAATATAACTGAATAGATAATGGACTTACCAGAGAGCTTACAAAAGACATTAGTAAAAAATTAGGTGAAGTAAACAAAATGATACTAAACATGAGTGACCACTTTAGCAAAGAATTCAAGGCCATGGAAAGGTACCAAACAGAAATCCAGGAGATTAAAAATTACTGAAAGTATGGATGGCAGAAGTGATTAAAGTAAGGTCAGAGCGTCAGAACTGGAGGACAGGACTGATGTCCATGATGAACTGCTTAGAAATACCTTGAAAACAAGAGAACACAAACAATGGATCTAACACCTCCTAGATGACAAAAGATTAAGATTAATTAAACTGGTGAAAAATCAGAAGACAGCCTAAATAGCATAAAGAATTGATTTTGAGAAGCAGAAAAATTTCCAAATATGGACAAAAAGTTAAACAGCTGGATAAGCGAGGCATATAGAATCTTAAATAGCCATTATTAGAAAAGAATTGTTCCTCAACACATAACAGGCAAAACCTCAGAAGTCCAATTTAAGGAGAGAATCTTAAAATCCTTTAGAGAAAAGCAATGAGTTACTTTACAGATAAACTCATTACAGTAATTATAACAGACTTTATAATACAAACCTCAAAGACCAGGTAGCAGACAAAGTGTTTTAAGCCCTGAAAGAAAACATTCAACCTAAACCAATGTATTGTGCAAAACTATCTTTCACAGCTGATGGAGAAATAAGATACTTCTGTGACAGAGCATCTTAAGGAATTTATGAGTGTCAAACGAGCACTCCAAAATTTTCTCAAGAATATTTTATAAAGAGACAAATAAGCCAACAAGGCCAAACAGTCTAACAGAATGAATATATTGGAGAGGGTGAGCAGGCATGTAGAACTGTGGGGGTGGAGAGAGAGAAAATCAGCAAAAAAATAAAGCAATGACAGGAATAAGTCAACACTTATCAGTAGTAACTCTTAGTGTGAATATTCTCAATTCCTCAATCAAAAGACACAGACTGGGCAGGGATAAAGCTCAGGGGTAAAGTACCTGCCTCGCAAGCGCAAGGCCCTGAATCTGATTCCTGGAAGAAAACCAAACCAAAACAAATCAAAACCACTGAAGAAAACAGGGACCTCATCTCATCTCAATCTGGCAAAGCCATTTAAGAAAATGGCCAATATTATAATAAAGGGGGAAAAGTTAAAGCATTCAATCTAAAATCTGGACTAGGACAAATATGTGTATTATTACCACTCCTGATGAATTCAGTACTTCAAACATTAGACAGAGAAATGAGACAAGAGAAAGAAATAAAATGGATACACATAGGAAAGGAATAAATCAGAACTATCATTATTTGCAGATGACACAATACTCTACACAGAAGACCAAAAACTTTTACCAAAAAATTCCTAGAATAACCAAATTCAGTAGATTAGGAGGATAAAAAAAATCAGTATACAGATATTAACAGTGCTAGGCATGATAGCACATGCCTACAATCCCAGCACACAGGAAGATCGCAGTGAGTTTGAGGCCAGCCGGGGCTACATAGTGAGTTCAAGGCTACAACATATACCAAGACCCTGTCTTTCTCGTTCTCAAAAAGAGCGAGAGTGAGAGTGAGAGATGGATAGATAGATTATGGGGGGAGGTGAGACAAATTAAAGTGATCCTATATACCAATACTAAACTCAGAGAAAGTAGGCAGACATTATCATTCACAATAGCACCAAGAATAATGAAATACTTAGGAATTATCCTAAGCAAGGAAGTGACAGACCTCTACAAGAAAACCCAAAAAGAAAAAAAACCAGTACTCTGCAAAAGGACATCAAAGAGGACATTAAAAAAAAAATGGAGAAATAACTTACTCCTGAATAGCAGACCCAATATTGTTAAAATGGTTTATTTCCAAAACTGTTGCATAGTTGTAATGCATCCCAATGGTCCCTTCACAGAACTACAGAAAACAACTCTCAAATTCATATGAAACCAGCAGACACCCTGAATATCAACAGCAATCCCAGGCAACAAAGCTAAGTAGAAGGCATCACAACCCCACACTGAAAGTTCCACCACACCACAGGGATAAAGCAGCACGATCCCTGCTGTTTCGATCAAACAGATTTGCAGTTCAGTGGAACAGAAAACAGCGTGCAGAAATAGTTTGAGGCACACTGAGCTTAGCTAATCTTTGACCAAGGGCCCAAAACACTGAAGGAGAGACATTCTTCTTAACAAATGGTGGCCCACAACTCCCATCATGCACTAAACTAAAATCCTAAAATGGGTCAAAACCTAACATTAGAAGAGAAACAAACTTCTGGAAGATAAAATGGGTAAAAACTCTTTTAGTTGGGTATAGTGACGTACACCTGTAATCCCAGCATTCAGGAGGCTGAGACAGAGGATCCCTGCAAGTCCGAAGCCAGCCTGGGCTACATAGTGAGACCATGTCTCAAAAAACAAACAAACAAACAATACAAGTAAAACTCTTGAAGATACAGATGTAGGCAAGGGCTTCTAAAGGAAATCTCAATTACACAGTAACACCAAGAATGAACTAATGAGATCATATCAAATTAAAAAGTTGCAGAACAAAGGAAACTAATGAGACAACCTATACAATAGGAAAAAATTCTGCCAGTTAATTCTGACAGAGAACTAGTATCTAGACTACATAAATAACTCAGAAGAAAGAGATCCCTTAAAATAAAAGACCCAATCAACAAATTAGCAGGTAACATGAATAGACATTTCTCAGAAGTACAAATGGCCAATAAATACATGAAAAAATGTGCGACATCTCTGGCCATTAGAGAAATGCAGATTAAAACAACACTGAGATTCCACCTTACTGCAGAAAGAATGGTTATCATCAAGAAATCTAAAAACAGCCGGGGATAGCTCAGCAGTATAAGCAACTGCCTGGTGAGCGCAACATCGTGAGTTCAATCTCTGATACAAAACACAACAAAAAAATCAAATAACACATGCTGGAGAGGCCAAATAGAAAAAAATACATATTACATTGTTGGTGGTAACGTGAGGTAGTATAGTTACTACGGAAATCAGCGTGGAGAGTCCTCAAAGAAGTAAAACTATGAATTCCATTTGAGCTATTCCCTTTCAAGGTATCTTCCTGAAAGAGGTATCATATTACAGTGGTACATGCACATCCACGTTATAGCAGCACGATTCATAATAGCTAAATTTTGTTGAAAGCGCGTCTGTCCATCAGCAGATGAATGAAGAAAGAAAGTGTATTTACACACCAGGGAGTACCGCTGTGCCATAAAGAAGGATAAACTTCAGTCATCTGCAGGAGAATGAATGTATCTTGAGATATGTTAAGTGAAATAAATCAGACATACAAGGGTAAATACTACATGATTTTTCTTATATGATAAACCCAAAATATAAATAAAGAGTAAAACAAATTGCCGGGCAGCCTCCCTCGCCTTGGGTCATGACACAGTCACTGATTTTCTGTTAGCCCACACCCTGCCTAACTAAGGCAGGCAAACCAGCACACGACTCGGGCCTCTGCCGACATTAACAGGCCTCTGTCCATCAGCCACAGAGCAGATAAACAAGAAGCAGTGTGCACATACAACCACATATTATTCATCACTAGAGGGAAAGAACTTCCTGCGTATGTATGAAACAAGAACTTTGAAGACGTTATACTAGCTGAAATACAATCGTCACAAAAAGTGCATTAGACCAGTTCTGGGAAGCACCTGGAGTACTCAAAGGCATAAAGACAGAAATCAGAACTGTCACCAGTAGCTGGAGGAGTGGGAAGTGGGGAGTTAATGTTTACAAGCACAGAGTTTTCGTTTGGGAAGATGAAAAGAACATGGGAGACGGGTGGTGATAATGGTTGTACGATATGAACTTAATACATGTACATACTTAGAAATGGTTAGGAGAATAAATTCTGTGTTATGTGTATTTTACCAAAATTAACATTTGTTTGGGTTCAAGACTTAGCTGTATGACTCACTGTCACGTAAGCCACGTGCTAGGTAGGAGAGGTGATAAGAAAGGTGATACAGGGACAAAGTGCTTGGCACAGTGCCTGGGTGCATAGTGTGCAATGGCCAAGGTTACAAGATTCTGTGTCTTGAAAGTCTGCTTGGTAATTGGGGACCTAGAGTCTGAAAGAGTTGGTAGCTGGGTTACATTGATGTGAATGACCTTGGGGAGGTTCATGAACGTGTCTTGCTCTCGGGTCCCCACAACTCTTCTGACACTAGGCCTCCTGGTTTAGCTTTTATCTTTTTAAAATTCTACGAGGTCTGCCCAGGTCACCTCAGTTGCTTACAGGTACCAAAATAAGGCAGGTTTTTTTGTTTGTTTTTTAATCATCTCTGACTTGTAGCTAAAGCAACACTTTGTCCAACATATTAAGTCAATACTTACTTTTGAGCAAGGGTTACAAGGAACTTGACACACTGGTAGCAGCGACTGCTGTCCACATGATTACTGTGGTGCATCAAAGCTAGAGGGAGAGAGAGGGCACTTCAACAATGTGCTGAACTGAAGTGGGTCCAAGCACTAGCAAACTTGCTCTCTTCTGAAAATACACATCCCGTCAGATGGACCAGAAGCAACTGAAACCAAGGTGATGCCTGACTCAACAGACTTCTCCAAAGTCCACTGAGCAAAAATGCTACTTTAGATACATGGTGATCAAAGTCTGGCTTTCAGGAGAACTGAAATTGGCTTCAAAGTTTTCCATGCACCAACTGCTGAAAAAAAGACTAGTTATAATAGTCTAACAGAAATATATGACTAAGGGGCTGGGGATTTAGCTCAGTGGCATAAGCGCCTGCCTTGCAAGCAGGCAGTCGTGAGTTCAAACCCTGGTACCGATAAAAACGAAAAAGACAAAAAAAAAAAAAAAAAAAAAAAAAAAGAAAGAAAGAAATATACGACTAGTTCTGTTTAGTAACTATTTCCTACTCTGAATTTTAGGGAATTAAAAACAAATCTTTGCTGGGTGTGGTGGCACACACCTGTAATCCTAGCACTCGATTCTGAGGCAAGAGGCTCACTGAGTTGGAGGCCATCCTGGGCTATACAGTGAGTTCAAGACCAGCATGAATGAACTAATAAGACCCTGTCTAAAAAAGCAAAAGAAAACAAAAATAAAGTGAAAATAAACAAATCTTCCCTGTTCTTCCAATGTTTTTAGGTTTTAAGCTTCAGAGCACTGGGTGCAGCTCTGAGTAGAACACACTGTTCCAAAGCAAGAGCCTACAAGGTTGATGCCACATGACTAATTATCTTAAATCTCTACAGCCCTCGATCTGTTCCCAATACAGTCATGTGTTTTTTAAGGAGGCTGACACCTTACAAAACATGCATCATTAGTTAATCACGTCACCATGGTGTGTGATGAAACATTTATAGACAGCGACCATGTCACTAGGCAACATAATTTTGTGTGACATCATCATGTATGTGATCCACTGCTGACAGAACGTTAAGGAGCACACAACTGCACAAGATCTAAAGTAACACTGAAAACTGAAAATACAGGCAGGGATGGTGGGGAGGCAGTTATGGTATTTTTAATTAAACCTTTTCTAATATATAGCTTATTAAAGCTAAGTTGGCCTTCTGAAAAAGAAATCTTTGATTAAAAAAAGTCTTATGGATAGACAACTGAAGTATAGGTATTGGTATCACAGGTTAAAGGACAGCCACATGCCATGTGCTTGACAGCCATCTAAGTCTGAAGTTTTAAGATTTCTCTCCAATGGCTGCGGAGTGGAAGGAAAATTCCAGCCTCAGAAGGAGCCTCTAGCGTATATGGGAAGCATCACAGCATCCCAACCCCAAGCTGTCCTCACTGCCCAACAGCGGGACGGCATGTGGGTATTAAGGTTCAGGTGTTTAATTCTGGTCCTCAGACTTCACACAGCCAGCCACTGGTCCACGCTGGGGTGGGCGGGGCTCTGCCTGCCGAGGAGACACACCCACTGCAGACTCATATCCAGGGGGCTGGCGTCCTTACCTAGCAATCCATTTTCCGTCTCAAACACAAATTTGACTCGCTCCACTTGTATGGGGTCTTCAATGACCTGTGAAAGCAAATACACGAGCTCTGGTAACTGAAGGAAGAAACCACGTGGCAGCCAGTGCAGCTTCTCCACAGATCTACCGGGGCCTAGGTCAGCATCTACATAACAAGACCCAGTACACAAGGGGTGCTCCGCACTGCACACAGCTCAGATTTAAACTAACATACAACGATTAAACATTTAGGAGCTGGGGATTTAGCTCAGCAGCATTGCAAGCATGCGGTAGTGAGTTCAATCCCTGGTACCAAAAAACAACAAACAAACAAACAAACAAACAAAAAAACATGTAAGGAGCTGCTCATTTCCTATCTACATGTTCCTACAGCAGAGTCCATGTGCCTTAGTGTTGGCAGCAGACGCCTTGCACACCTGGTTTGGTTTCTTTCTCAGCTTCACTCAGTTTCCATTCTTTCCTCTGGCCATCCCAGCCAACAAGTCACACAGCTTCTTAGGAGTCGGATACAAAACCAGGGCTCTGGTCCTGGGCATTTAGCTCAGATATTGGCTCTGCCCAGGAGGGGTCAGGCAAATCACTCCACTTTTTAAAGTCTCGATTTCTAATAATAATGTATTTTGCTGACTGTAACTTGTTTTTTTTTGCTTCTCTCTTTTCTGAAATTAGAAAACATTTTAAATAATTACATCTCATGGCTGCCAAATATTTTTAATAGTACCTATATAAATACTGGTATCTAAGATTTGATACATCTGGTATCTAAGATTTGATGAACACCTGTAGGGTTGCCGGGGGCTAAGCACAGTGACGGCCACCTGGTGAGACGCTCTGCTCCCTAGACCAAAGCCTCTAACTGCCTGTGCAGCTGACTTGCTCCCTCACATTTCGCTGTGAGCTCCTGGGAAGCAATTTTATTACGGTTCGTCTCTAAATCAGCAGTGCATGCAGGACAAGACGGGTGTGAAGAGGACTCAGAAAGTGCAGACTGAATAAACACGAAGCAATAAAAGGACCAGTAACTTTCATTTTTAAACATGACTAAAGAGCACCTACATATGTGAATCAAACATTTATGACTTACCAGTATCTCATGAAGCAGTTGGAATGTATTCTTTAACTCATGGGGTGGAGCAGTTTCTAGCTGGTTCTGAAATACAGTATTTTTTTAAAATATTAAAATTCCCCTAAGTTTTTGGTAGAAACTGCACTGTGGAGCAATCAACAGTGCTGGATCCATGCCTTAAGAGAGTGAAGCAGGGAGCAGAAGACCTCCATGCCTGAGGTCCTCTAAGGAGTCCAACGCTCCCTAACACTTTACTATGAAATCAGAGAAAGAACAAGAGGAAAGGAAGAATTTTAAGTCACTAAAGAGACCCCAATTTAATATATAATACATATACACACTTTATTTGGCTTTATAGAATATGCTGTGTAGCTAAGATGGTACAAATAAAAATACTAAGGTAAATATGAAAGAAAAATCTGCCAGTATACACTAACTGAAGGAAGGTTTGCAAAAATTCACCCTTTTGTGCATATATAAAGACATATACATATACATTTTGTGCATATATATGGTGGAAAAGACCACTGTGTTGTCACACCACACTTCCCAGGAGCCAGCTCTGGCACTAAGCACTTCACGTGCCATACGTGACTGAACCCCCTCCTGTGGAGGGAGACATGCCCCAGGTCATGGACAGCACAGACAGGAATTCATTCCCCTCTGACACAGGTATACACACAAAGGCTGAGGGCAAAACACTTCTTGCTCAAGAGCCTCAAGACATAATCCATAGATACCTGCTACTTGCTAACACCACATGTATCACCACTGTAACTCTTGGTGCTACAAAGAAGGTACAGTAGGATTTCTGTGGTCAGAAAGCAGTGTACACAGTGTGTGTCACAGAAAGCAGCTGGAAGGAAACACAGCCATGTGACAATACTGTGAGGAAGACAGTCACAGATGACCGGGAGTAATCACACTGCCCTTGGGTGTGTGCTTGAAGTCTTCACAAAGAGAATGGATATGTAATCCTCGGAAGGCTTAAAAACGATGAGTGTGTGCTCTGCTTTTCTAGCAGTACTGAGGAAGGCGGAGGCAGGGTGTGCGGCCCATGGGCCCTGGAGCCACATTCCTAGGTTCAAAGCCCACTCTGTCACTGACTAATAGTGCGATCTTGAGCAAATTCCTTGCTGTGTGCCTCAGTTTCTACAACCTTAGCATGGTGATAACAATAGGATCTACTAGAGAACTATAAGGGAATTCGGTGAACTAAACATGCAATACTTGGGAACAGTGTCTGCTAGAAGCAATTCTGAATGATAATGATTACTTTCTTTCAGCTCATAATTACATACTACTTTAGAAGGTGAGCAAACCCTACTTTTGATTCTTAAAGCATTATGTGGGGAAACTGAAACTGGAAAAGAATTCTGCATAATAATGGTCACCCACAGCATTATTATTAACTATAAAGTACTATTCTTACCTAGTTAAAAACTGAACCCTATGTGAATGTGCATTTCTAGATGAAGAAAAAGGTTAAGTAATTATAGTACATGAAAGGATGAACCAACTCAGATAACTTTTAATGACACTACTTATAAAGTGAAAAAGACAACTACATTAATAAAATCCTGATTATGTCAAAATACACGAATTTGAAAGGATGTAATCTCAAATAAAGGAAGAATATTCAAGACTGGGCTTCTGAGGTCTTTCCTGACTCTCCGTTTTTAAAGCGTCTACACCCGCTCTGCTGGTCTGTGGAAGGCAGTGCCTCAGGGAGCCAGGCCTACCTTGATGAAGTGCAGCATGGTGAAGGAGAAGCGCTCGTTGCAGAAGCAGCAGTACACCACCATCTCGATGAGTGCTGGCAGGGAGCCCGTCAGCTCTCGCAGGGCAAACATGACCTGGCAGTGATGGCGAAGTGTGAGCATTTCCCACGCTTTGGTTAACGTGGGTCTGTTCTGGCTGGACTTTACCCAGAGTTCAAGAACATCAGCACTGCCTCAAAACCGCTCCTCCTCAGAGGGCTCTGGACAGACTTCAGGGTCAGTCAGTCTGGCCTTTTACACAATTCATGATCGCAAAGTGTGCCCTTTTTCTGGGAGTCACTTCCATCAATTTTCAAAGACAAATGACCTTGAACAAAGTTAGGTCCAAAACAGTAACATTTAGCTTTAAAAAAAATGTAGCACACATTGTTGATGTAGTTTAAAAACCACTATGGTATTCTGTTCACAGATTCACATCCATGTGCCTGGTTCTGGAAGATGGAATTTGGAGGAGGGACACGTGGAAGGGCTGCACACGCCAAGGCTAAGCGCGTGCGCAGTTGTAGCTGTACGAGTTTGGGACCTGGGACACAAGCGATTGGGAGCTAAACCTTCTGATAGGGCCTAGAGGGTCCACATCTTGGCAGAAATGAGTACTAGAGTCTCTTCTACTTTGCTGACAGACTGACTGCGGGGCTGAGGATTAAAACCAGGGCTTTCCACGGGCTCAGCAAGTCCTCTGCTACCGAGCTACACCCTTAGTCCAAATTATGCCTAACACAGATGTATTAAACAATCCTCTCTTAACAGTATTTTTCGTTAGAATAACATGCAAAACATGGCAACAACTATTTTTCCTCAACTAGGAGAAAGTAACAAAAAATAAATAGCTCAGAAATAATAAGCATGTACCTCCAACAGGTAAGGCTTCCCTTCCGACAGGAACAGCAAGGCTTCTACTTCCTCGTGGAGGGGCAGTAACGGACTCCCGGGAGCAATACTGATGGGTGGCCGCTGTTTAAACATGCCAGGAGCTTTAGGAGACCAAAGAAGCAACACAAAACAAAGCCCGTCTCACTTGGTGTTATTCCATGAAACGAAGACCCACAGGACTCTCACACACATGATCCTGCAGCCTGGTGGGGAAGTCAGGCTGCGGAAGAGAAATGTGTTTGCCTGTGCCCTTTAAAGGATACCTTACCTGGTGCTGCACACCGCACCCCCAGTGATTCCCAAGATAATCTTCCAAAGAGGTCAAAAGACAGGCAGTGTATGAAAAAATGCCCACAACTTCTACTAGAGACACTGGTCAAGGCGTTTTTGTCCCTCAAGTGTGCCTGAACAATGGCCAATACCATCTAGGTTAAAGCACATTCAACCCATGTAGCAGGAATTACCTCATTTTCTAGAAAAAGAAGGATGCAGAGACTCGGATTTTTTTTATAAAATCAACTTCACAGAATTTGATAGTTTTGTTATTTTATTGTATTTTTTTGGACAAGGTCTCACCACATAGTTTAGACGGGGCTTAAGGTCACTAAGTAGCCCAGACTGGCCTTGAACTTGTAGCGATCCTCCTGCCTTAGCCTTCAAAATGTTGGGATTACAGGCATGTGCCACCACATCTAGCCAAGTTTTATTGTTCAAATGAATGAGTCAGAGTTTAGGAAGCAAACGCTATCTAAGTGTTTCCCCTACCCCCCTTTAGAGCCACCAAGCACCCTTCTATCAGAATGTTGCTCAGAGGTTTTCTGCCAGTTTCCTGCCTTTGGGTCACTCTGGCCAGAGCAACGCTCTAACACAGCCTCTGAGCAGGGGCTCCCACTCACACCTGGGCTGTTACTTGTCAGCTGTGAAACCTTGTGGAAATCACTAAACTGCTATTTCTTATACTTACCTCTCCTACAGAAAGAACCTCTCTCAACTGGCCTGCTGTGGGGATTAAACAATTAAGAATAAAAGGGCAGTGCACAAAGAACACTGAATACAGCTGGTCTGCTGTGGCACTGCTGTTACTGTCGCGATCAAGTCTCAGAATGTATGAAAACATGGTACACACGGTAAGGACACCGCATAACACGTGGGACAGTTTGTGTCTTTGTGACTGTGCTACCAGTGGGTGACCAACAGGGAATGCTTCCAACTCTTTCTTACATTAAAATACACCTTACTCATTTATATCTGAACCCCCTTTTACGAAGTTTTTAAACACGTTATCTCAATCCTATTATACGTAGGCAGATATATATATATATATATATATTTTTTTTTTTTTTTTTGGAAGTGGGGAGCGAACTCATGACTTTGCGTTTGTTTGCCAAGCAGGCACTTACATGGCTGAGCTAAACCCCTGGGGCAAGGCAGTTATATTTTTAATATTTTCTTTTCACACTGATGATCAGAGAGGTCAGGTGGCTCGGTCAAGTTCAACAGCTAGGAAACTCCAACCCATGCTTTCCTTTTCCACTACACAACACATCAGTTGTTTAAGTTATTGTGATGAATGAACTCTAGTCTTTATGCCTAAAATGTGAAAACACGCACACAACTCCAAGTAAACAACTAACTTGTTTTCTCTCATGGCAAACTTGTAAGATATGGTAAACTTTAACAGGAGTTACAACAAAAAATTTTAAGTGTTCTTCGGATACCAAATAGTTAAGAAATAAGTGACATCCACTCAACTGTAGACATCAGTACGCTACGTAGACACACCCAGCCGCTGCTCTGTTTCAGACATACAAAGACATGGAGGAGCTCACCAACATTCCTTTGGGAAGAGACATCCGAGTGCAGGACAAGCAACGCTACCGTGTTGTGGAGATTCCCAAACTCCCGCGCTTGGGCTGAACTCCAGCGGCGTATCTGTCACCAAAGACAGAACACACTTTAGTGCTACACAGGCCTGGGTCAGGATGGAATGTGCTGGTTCACAAAATTTAGTGGGTTATACTTTTTAATGCCTGTTATAGAAGAGGTAAAATACAAATAGCCACAGGATTTAAGACATGTAGGAAGATTTCCACTGAAACACATTGACTCAAATTCTACAACCAACCAATTCATCCATTTATCTAGGAGCATCATTTAGATTCTGAGTGCTCATGACAAGCCAGGTAACTTCCCTACACCTCAGAATAACAGGAAACACATAAGCCTGGAGACAGGTGACCACATCGGCCCAGCCCTAGCACTCACCATGCTGCAGGAGTGTGGGTGTATCCTCTGAGACCCTGCATGTACTGGTGATGCACAACTGTCCGACTCAGTGAAACATGAACAAAGAAAATGTGTTTCACAAGTGCAAACTAATGCTAACTTCATGCACGCTGAGTTGCAGTGAATTTAAATAAAATCCTAGTGTCCATGGAGCTCACAGTGAAAGCAGTATTATAATCTCAACATGCCACACCTGGGGTGAATTACGTGTGGTGCTAGACCAGCTGAAGCCTGAGAGCAGCAGGGTGACATGACAGGGAGCTGAGGAGCCTGGGATGCACGGAAGGCAGGCCAGAGAAAGGCGCTGGGACTGAATCTCCCGCTCGATAGACACGTTAACTTCGGGGCGTACCGTGACCATGCTTTAGCCCTTGCCTGAGAATGGGGAAGAAACTATATTACTGAACCCATGAGTGCCTGACATCCCCCTACCACACGACCAGCTGTGTCTGGAATATAAGAGGCAATCAATAAGCGGTACTTAAGCATTACTGCGTACTAACATTCTACGTATTTTAAATCTATCATATAAAAGGGACACAGGGATACAGTGGTTGGGGAGCACAATTCATTCCACATCTGTTTCAATACTGAAAAGTTCAAAAATTGAGCCTATGTTTTCTATAAGAAATAATAAAAAATTGGTTCTAAAGCTCAGAACAGTTACACATTCTTTTCTTTTCTAGAACTTTAACAAATTTCTCAATGATTTTTTTTTCTTTTTTTTTTTTTTGTCTTTTTCAGATAGGGTTTACTATACAGTTCAGGCTGGCTTTTAATTAATTCCTTTTGTACTCCAGGCTGTCCTTGAACTTGCAGCAGTCCTCCTGCCTCAGCCTCCCAAACGCTGGGATTACAGGTGTGTGTCACCACACCCAGCCTTGCAGTGATTTTTAAAAAAACTGTGTTGTGGTTTTTAGGTTTGCTTTTAGCTTTACTGCTGAGCCACTAACTTTCTTTGTACCACAGGAATATTTTATGTAAATAAAGTATGAAAAAAAAAAGCATGATGACAAATGTTTAATGCACGAACACAAGCTCTGTACGCTGTCCAGGCGAGAGTGCCAGCCCTCTGTGTCCGTGGCATGTGACTTGCTCTTGGCTTATACAGGTTTTTTAACTCAGATTTTCAGGTCAATTACTGAGCAAAGTTATCAACACTGAGCAGAGTTTTCTGAATTTTGCTGTTCAAGTAGTGGAGAGTTCATGCTTGGAGCTGTTAGGATAACTAAGGTATCACTGTGCCATGGATGAGAAAACACATCAGGAGTTTCAGACAGGACAGTTGCAGATGCAGCTGGCCCTTGCATTGTGCAGTGTGGCCTTTGTTTGATGGAAAGTGTCATACATACCTGCAGCATCATGTACTTTATAACCATACCATGTCGCATCTGAATTCCAGCCACCACCAAAAATTTCCCAGCCCCGGAGAGAAAGCAGGGGACCCTGACACCTTATTCTTTGAAGATTTTTGAGCCCTTGCCCTCACCTGTTAGGACCCCTTCTTCCCTTCCCATGGAATCACACCTCACACAGCGCCTGACATCCTAGCCAGCTGCTTCCGTGGGTTACTACAGTGTCAGTCTACAGTTCCATGCAGAAGCTGAGAAGTAACTGCGCTCCACACAATGTTAAAGCCTGGATGCAACTTGACTTGGGCCTTCATGAAAGCAAGGAGAGCCACAGTGAGGCCCAGTGCTGCCGCCGCGGCCCAGCCTTACCTGGCTGTTCTGCCGGCCAGCCCCGAGCAGGAAGCCGATCATGTGTCTCAGCGCCGAGTGCCGCAGGAGGAGGTCCCCAGCCTTGATACCTTGCTGCCATGCAACAAGGAGGGAGGACAAGTCACAGTCTCAGCCAACATTTAAGAAGACAGCTATATACAGACTTTGATAGATTCGATATATTTTAAAATGTTACAGCAAGTATTTGTTAAGATCTAAGTTTAAAATACGAGCCTTCTATTGCTTCACAATGGATAACAAACATGCAATTGCTAGTCTGTCATCTTGCTCATGGTACTTGAGATTGAGGCCAGAGGTGCTCTACCACTGAGCTACATCCCTATCCCTTTTCATTTTTTTATTCTGAACTATCAGGCTGGGCTTGGGGTCTTCCTGCCTCAGTCTCCCAAGTAGCTGGAATTACAGGCATGCACCAATGTGCCCAGCGTAACCATGTAAACAAACTTCAACTGCCATCCATAAGTAAATAAACTTGTCTGCATCAAGTATTCTTACAGATACTTTAATTCATTAATTTTAATTTTTTTGGTACAGGGATTGAACTCACACTGCACACTTGTAAGGCGCCTATGCTGCTGAGCTAAATCCCTGGCTTTAAAACTCATTAATTTAGATTTTCTAAGATGAAATACTCACAAAGCCCTATGACACAGAACATATAGTAAGCAATCTGTAAGTTTTCCAGGCATAAAATTTCTTTAGATAATAAATTTGCTATAGGAGGAAAATATATTAGAAAAAAATCTACCTTCTGCACAAAGGTGTTGAACAGGAAAAAGTACTGAGCACAGTTTTTGCAATTTTCGGGGACATCTTTATCCAGAAGAGCAAGGAGTACTTCCAGTAACTGATGAAGGCTTTTTAACTGCTTAGAAGAAAAGAAAATTATACAAAGAAAAAGAACATAAAACAGGATTCCTCTGAAGTAAATCACCATAAGGACAAAAGGAAATTGATACAACCAGTCTCATATTCAGATGGATTTATGCTTTGGAGAGCAAAAATTATCAGTTTTACTGTCCAGAAACACTGATTCTCTAGTAACAAAGAAAAGCCTGCTTTTGCTTCCTTTGTTGCCTAACTGCCATGTTTCTCCAGAGACGATTCCTCTCTCACAAGGCCTCGCGTTGCGGGGGGAAGCACGTCCGCACCCCTCCCTCCACTACGCCGCTTCCTCCCACGGTCACAGATGCAGAGAAGGAAAACACAGACACAGGCGGGGCCGCAAACCAAGCCGACAGAGCGAATGGAGAGCGACAGCCTGACAGCGAGACACGGCGATACCGACTCAACCCAGAACTTACTTGGAAGCCCGCGGACGCCTCGTGGAAAGCTTTGAAAAACATTTTATTTGTTTAGAATCCATTTTGGTTATGACATTGCTTCTTCTTTCCCTCCCACCCCAACTGTTTTGCAAGGCTGTTGGCATTCATTTGTGAGCTGAAAAAGACGACCAGCCTTCCTACTCTCATCAATTCATTCCTCTGGAGATGATACTCAAAGACTTCTGAAATACTCCCACTGTAAATGGGGTGAAGTTTAGCATTTATATAGCCCTTCATTTTCAGTAAGTGAAGTATAAAGTGGGAGGCCAGCGGCATTTCCATTATGGGGAAAAATCAGTATGAGAATACACGTCTGGGATGAACTGGGCTATGAAACAGGATTTCCTCGGGCGACGGCTCCCAGACCGCAGTGCCTGACCCCACCTGGAAAGAGACTGCACTGGCTCTATCTATTCCTCTGTTTTGGCTGATCCAGGGGACGAATCTGGGGAGTAAGATGGTCCTTATATAAAGACTCTTGCTTCAGGTTAGCAGACATCCACAGGGGAATTTCAGTGTAATACTAATCACATGCTAAGCAGCTCCTGAAGGCTACTGTGTTCAGGCAAAGTATGAGGAACAGTTCTGTAACTAGGCTAAGGAAAACCACTGCCTTGCAGTAATCAACTGCTTGCTTTCTGGAGCCAAGGTCTTTTGTTTGTTTGTTTTTCTTTTGGAACTGGGAATTTAACTCAGAACCTTACACTTGCCAGGCAGGCGCTGTGCTGCTGAGTTATATATTCCTGGCCCTCAAAGTCTTTTTGGTTTCTGGCTCACTTTAAGACCGAGTAAAGCTCCTAAGCTTTGTCTAGTCTAAGAGCGCACCCTAGGCTGCTAATGCCATAGGTACTAAGTACTTAGCGCCAAGCACCAAATCTATATTGGTATCTTGCTCAAGTGATTCACTCAAGGTTCTACAGCAAAGCCAACAACTGAATCTGAAGCAGTGAGTCACAGAATTTGCATTTATTTCATAAGACACACTATAGCCAGCCAATTTGTTCTGAAAATATTTTTCAAAGTTTTCCATGGAGTGTCAGCCGTTTGAAACAGCAAACTTGGGAAGTAATTCTGTGTTTGTTAGGACTTCATAAGACATTGACTAATCAGATTTACACTGTACGCCATTTATGTCTGTAAGACTTAAGTCTTTAGGGATCAAAGATAAGAATAAACACCAGTTTGTTTTAACATGTGTATATGTGGTACCGTGAATCGGAGGGTATGGTGCAGAAAGGGGTTAGAAAGAAGACAAAATTCAGAGGAACAGAAATGAAGCTTAGGGAGCAACAGAGACCCAGGAATGAACTACTCTGGCCAGGTCCTCAGATGAACACCATTCCTTGGTGTGGCTGCCAGCCGCAGGTCTAGGTGTGGAAACGGAGCGTGGGGAAAGAGAACCCCAGGGCAGGGTGGTGCAGTGTCCAGACCGGGTCCAGCCTCGAGTCAGTCTCGTTCAGAAACCCTGCACTGATTCGACATAGGGCTCTGAACGGGGTGCTCTGCAAGAAGACCCTGAAGCAGACCGAAACGACCTCCTTGCCTGCTGTGGCTTCTGGACCGTGGGAGGGGTGAGAATGCCTTTTTCTCTGGCGTGTTTCAGAAAGCAGTTCACAGGAGGTACGTGTGTGTGATGGGTTGCCCGGACTCGACGGTTAGGTTCTCTTTTCAAATTACACGCAACTGTGAACATCTAGTAAGAGCACAATGCACAAATGAAATTATAAAAATGAGACTGACCTTATCCTGATAGAACAAGGCACTGTCTAAGGTTTTCTCCAGAATGGTGGCCACAGCAACTCGCACTTCTCGCACGCTGCACTCCAGCAAGAAGATCCTGTAACAAAGCGGAAATGTGCCGTGAAGAAAGGAACAGCACTCTGCAACGCCTACCTGCTGCACGGAGCTCGCCTGCCGGGGTGCAGAGGCATGAGCTCAGTCTCCAAAGCACACAGATGGTTCCTCACAGGCAAGGGGAGCGGGGGGCCCCCACCTCCACCGAGCCTTGCTAGTGCCATGTGAGTCAGGCAGGGAGGTGCCAGTAGGTGAGGTCGATCAGACCCCCAGCCTCCACCTGGTGAACAGTGAACGCCAAACATCCTTTGCCCACAGCCACTCTCTGACACTCACTTTCTGGCCAGCCGGGCTCAAGGACAGTGAGTGAGAGGGACAGAGAGAGAGGGACAGAGAGACAGACAGACACAGAGAGAGACAGAGGGAATGTATGAATATACAGCACAGTTCCTACAACAGTGCTGCAGACTGAGGATACAGGGGTCCAGAGCAGGGAGTTCCATCTCCTCACCCCTAAAACAGGAACAAAGAAAGGGGTGCTGGGGCAATGCAGTCTCAGCGACTGTAAAGGTCTTCAGAGACACAAAACACAGGCCAGTCTGGACCTCACCGTATCCAGATCTGTACAAACCCAATGGTAAAAAGATTATCTCTGAGATATCTGGGTTGTCAGATGACATTTTGTCTGGTGTGATAAATTGCTTATGTAGTTTTAAAACTGTACCTGACAGAACACATGCTGAAGAATTCACAGTGAATGTTACATACGCTGAAATGTAATTTAGAATAGAGCTGGAAAGTGTATTACGAGTTTTCACATGTAAGAGAACTGGGCAAGAAGAGCCACACCATTTTCCAGCAACTTGAGCTGGAAAATGGGCACATTAGGTTTCATTATTCTGGCTAGTTTTGTATACATTTTAAGTTTCTCACAAGTAAAAGTTCTTCCTAGATGTCAAAGTGTGTGCATGCTTACAATCCTAGCTACTTCAGAGGCTGAGGCTGGAGGATCCCAAGTTTAAGACCATCTGGAGGAATTGAGAACTTGCTTCAAAATAAACTGATGCAGGGTAGTGTGAGGTCGTGGTTTATCTCTAGTGCTGGGTGGGGAATGTGTGTGTCAAGTACCCTTCACGTCAGTAATCTTAGTCTCTTTAGATCAGTTTGTAAGCAACAGTTACTTCTGGGTTCTAGGAGTACAAACATTCCAACTTTTAAAATAACCTGAAAAACTCCTGGTTGCATTTCGGTAAGAGTTACTCAACCTGTTCCAGTATATATTTTTTAGCTATAACACTAACAACCTCAGATGTCCTGAAGGCTCTAAAGAAAGAAGTAATCAGAAAGAAAAAATTATTACTTCCTTAAACATATGTACACAAAGCAATTGGTAGAGAATGAACAAAGTGTTTGTTGCACTCCTTCTGAACATTCATCATCTATGACCCTAATATATAGCTAAGTTTTATACTAAGAAATTTCACAACTGACTGGGAAAATGGGTGAATAATTATCTCTAGTGCTAAAGGGTCAGGCACATACTACTTCAAAGGCTTGGCTTTTATTCACAAGAAGTTGTAGATCAGTGGGGGCCACAGGGAAACCACAGGGAAAACACAGGGAGCAGATCAACAGGGCAAACTTACTACAGACAGGACTCAGAAGCAGCCTTTGGAAGTGTTAGCTAAGATGACATCTGACAGAGAGCAGGAGGCACTTACTATGCAGAAGAGAGGGAGTAACAGGTGCCAGGGGCTGAGGCTCAGTGTGTCGTGTGAATCAATGAGCCAGGATGGCTAGGTCTTGGTCAGCTAGGAAGTAACACAAGGCAAGCCTGGACAAGGACCAGATCTACTAAAGTCTTGAGGAGTACAGTGAAAATTTTAGACTTTATCATAGTGCAGTGGGAATCCCCCAAAGAATTCTACCAGCAGAAAAGTCAAGTCACTTAATTTGCTTCAGAAAGTGTGCTCTGGCTGCTGAGTGAAGACAGCTGGGGGGAAGGAGAAGTGGAGCCTTCAGTAGGTGAAGCAATGCCTGGAGCAGAGACGAGTAAAGGAGGCACGGGTGGGGCTGGGATCTGCTCTGTGGCAGACAGAGAGCCTGCTGAGTGTCCACGAGGCCCTAGGTTCAAACACTAGAAATCCCTCCAGCAAAGAAGAAAAGAAGTTTTGATCAGACCTCTAACATCACCAGACCTTAGCTGCCTAGTGGAAAAGGATCTAAATTTCTGTATTTCCTATTGCATGTTCAAGCTGGAAGATCACAGAACTCATCTGTATGATGACTGAAGTGACCAAGATGGGAAAGATGCAAGAACAAGTTGATAATTCTGGAGCCAACTGACTGGAGAAGGCTGCACATGTAGAGATTCACTCTGAGAGGAGAGAGAACATTTTCCCCATAAGCACAGGAGGGAAGTGGGAGCTAGGAGCAGGCTGGCAGGTGTGACCTTCTCTCTCAGTGACACCTCAGGCTGGTCACTGGGAAGAAGCGGATGAGTTAATGTGAGAGGTTGACGACCAAGGCAGAGGGATGGAACACCTCTCACTGACCCTGGAGGTACTTGCTCTTCCCAGCTCACTAAGGAAAGGTGACGCTAACTGAAAGATGACCGAGAGTGAAGTGTGGACACTCACAGTGTCTGCAGCATTGGACATTCTTTTTTTTTTTTTTTTTTTGATACCGGGAATCAAACTCACTTTGTGCTTGCTAGGCAGGTGCTTACGCCACTGAGCTAAATCCCCGGCCCAGCATTGTGAATTCTTAACCAGAAAAGTAAATTACTTTTTAAAATCATAAGTATATTGGTAAACTACTATCAGGTAATGTACTTTCAGTAGATGTTTGAAAACTTTCAGCCAGAATCTGAACAAAAGCAGACAGTAGATACAGAGTATAGTAACCACAGACCGCCTGCCTGCCTATTCGCCTGTCATTACTGTGGGTTCCTAGGAGGAGCCACTGCAGGACGCACACTTGTGACCACCTGGACCCGTCCGCCCCACACATTCTTCTTCCACACGCTGACCACAGCTTGAGGGATCCCTCACTGCTGTAGGATGAAAGCGGGAGTGGACTCCAATTACAAAGGCAAAATCAAGGTGAGATATTTCTGAATCATTGGAAAAGAGATTTCTTCTGATTAAAAGATCTTGGTACTTACTTTATCAATTCTCGTCCTTCGGAACTAATAAAATATTCAACAAGCCACTGGCAAGCATCAAAACTTTTTGAAAGTAATGCTTCAATAGTAGCAATCCATTCTTCAGTGTCCACCCTTTTTACAAAGCAAAGAGTGATGTTAGGGACCAGCAAACGACCCCACAGCACCTGCCCATCTATCTACCTATCCATCTGCCCATCTAGCTATGGTAGGTAGGATGGATGGCCAGCTAAATTCTCCCTCACAAGCTACTTCAACAGCTCAGTACACCCAGAAGTTGGTTCCCTCCATCCTTTGAGGGTTACTCATGTGACAGTTCTGTTCCCTCCAGTTCCCAGACAAAAATGTATAAAGAAGCTTAAATTTTGGACTTTACATCTTCATCAAATAATTTTTCAGGGGGGGGGAGTCTTTTGGAGACAGGGTCTCACTCTGCAGTTCAGGATGGCCTTGGGCTCATTTTGTAGCCCTCACTGGTCTTGAACTTGCAACGATCCACCTGCCTCAGCCTCCCAAGTGCTGGGATTACAGGAGTGCACCACCACGCCCGGCTCATCAAACAATTTTTATTAGAAAAAAAGGGGCAGATTCATAGCATTTTGTTTGGCAAGTTAATTCATACTTATGAAATGTTCATTTGTAGAATAGCTTACAGCAATATTTTTATACAGTATTGCTACAATTATTAATATCCTGCTTTATGGAATATATTTAGGCAGAAAAAAGTGACATAACCTTATATGACTCACAAGTTCCTCAGTGCTCAAAAATGGCAGGAAATAGTGTAACATGTAGATATCACATGCAAATAAAGAAAAGGAGCACATCCTGTCTTTTTCAATGAATAAAGCCAGATCATTCACTACGCCTTCAGTTATCACACATAAAAGTGAAGCTGCCAATGCATCAATGTCCCTTTCAAGACTGTGAGTACAAAATCTTCCCCTAACGGCCTGCCCATAACCGATGGACAAAAGAGAAAAGACTAAGAACTTGTGACAGATGGAAGCTCACTGGTCTCTTCTCTGAGTCTTGCTTTTAGGGACATCTCACAAACCATCAGTTCTTTATCTGTCACTCATTTAGTCACAGAACAATGACTTATCCAGAGGCTATGAGCCAGGTGCTGGAGATAAAACCAGTGATGAGTTAAGGTGCAGTCAATGCACTCACTAAATGTGCTCCAGGACAAAACCCCTTGTGATCTCCCACTAAACAAATCCCAAGCTCCCTCCTCTGGCATGTGGGCACTTCTCAAATTCCAAAGGAGACATTCAGCATCAGCTCATGGAGCCCCTTAGAATCACTATAAAAAGGTAGCTTTAGGTCATTCATGGTCCCCGAGGCCAGTCTTCATGGGTTACTCGGGCTCCTCCCTTGTTCCTGGAATGATCCTTCTACATTTCTTTATGTTTGCATTCAAAATGCTCCGGAAACACCAATGCCTTCCTTTAGTCACCCTAATCCCTACATCTGCATATGCTTTGCACAGTTCCCAAAGATGTACTAAGCTGTGCCTTGCATCAGTTATTTCTTTTTTTACTTACCTTTCTCATTAGATTAAAAATTTCTTAAGAGACCATATTTTGGTCACCTGACTATATAGTCACCCTTAAAATATTTTGAAGGGCCAAGGCCAGGGATGTAGCTCAGCAGCGCAGCACCTGCCTGGCAAATGCAGGACATTTGTAATGTTGTCAACCTCCCCCGCAAAAGTTGAATTTGTAAATTGTGCCTTTTGTCACAACAAACTACCAAAATATACCTGAGTTTTTTCTTTGTCCGAAGGTAAGTTTGGAAAAGGAACTGAATGGCTAGTTGCAAGCTCACTTTTGCCATGCAAGGATAATATGGATGCTTTAATTTAGTCTAAGAGAGAGAAGAGGACATTTATTTTTTTCACAGAAGTTTTACAGATTATTTATGAACTGACTAATGACACACAAAATAAAGTTAAGAAAAATCTGGCCACTTTATGATAGAAGATATTCCATTTCATTTTTTAGAACACTTAAGAGGATATCCTCAATTTTAAATTAAGTATCAAAATAGAGCCTGTAAGCCACAGAATGTTAGGTAATCCAGAAACTAGGAACAATTTTCCCTGCTTTTGGCAGATTATAATAATGGTACTCAAGAAAGAAGTATTTCAAAGTTAATCTTGAGTTTAACAACATGTGACTACGACAAATTAGAAAAATTCATCTTTTCAAAGTTCACTACGCATTGATGGAACCTATGGCCTTTCAATCCCATAGTCATTCTTAGATTCTTTACAAAACCCAAACAAAGGCACTTTAAAACGCAGCACTTATGTGGGAACTCAGAGCCACTTGACAGCACAGAGTCTGTCTGTCAGTCTGCATGCTGCTGCACTTCTCTATCACACAGCAGGTGATGCATTTCCGGGAGCTCTTTGCACTTAACCTGATTGCTAAATGCTAACAAGGAGGAAGGAAGGAAGACATTACTGGATAGATTAGCTAAAAGGTTTTTAACTGTAATCCTCACCTTTAGAATAACACTACAGGCCAGGGCTGTGACACATGCCTGTAATACCAGCACTCTGGGGGTTAAGGCAGGAGGATGGTCACGAGTCTGAGACCAGCCTGAGCAGGGCACAGTGAGTTTAAGAGCAGCCTGACCTACACAGCAAAGACCCTATCTCAAAGAAAAGAAAAGTAACAGTTCAACCAGCTACTTACAGCATTCAATGAAGCTAAAGACAAAACAAAACTGAAATAATCACTACTGTACACATCTCTATTTTTCATAAACTTGAGGTTTTCATCTCTCACCATCTAGAAAGGAAAATTTGCAATTATTTTAAGAAACAAAGTAAAACAATATGTATGTATTTTTACTAAAAAGAGGCTTATAAAACTGAATAATAGGTAGTAATTTCCTTCTTTTAAGCTCTGAATTTTGAAAAAAATGAAAGAGAAAAATCTTTCTTTCAAATACAACAAGCTGCAGAAAGGTGAACAATCATTCATTAATTAACTCTGTCAAGAAATGTAGGAAAAGCACCTTGGACCGTGTGAAGGACATTCAAATCCGAAATTTCAGGAATCATTATGTATCTCTAAACTGTACCAATAAACTTAGTAATAGAAAAACAAGAACATCTGACATTCTGTGCTTTCCCAAGTATCTGAATTTCCATACCTCCCTGTGATAGATGGCTTAATTTTCTTTCGTAATAGAAGACTGTATATTTTTCTTAAAATTCCTTGGTTCTGGCTACTAGCTTTTGATTACATAGTGAAAAAATTCTGGAATGGGGAACAGGACAGTGCTAAATGTAAATCCTCGCTTTGTGACACTGTAAAGCCATCTCTACTTTTCTGAGCCTCACGTTTTCTGTTTGAAAAATGCTATTCCATGAATTTTCTAAGAATTAGAGTTTTATTTAAAATCTGTAATACAGAGCAAGAATTCAATAAATAATGGTCACCACTGTCACAGTAGCTTTATGTAAAGACTATGATCATTAACTTGGTTTTCTCTCCAGATTAAAATAAGCTAATTTCAGCTGGGCACAGCACTCACTAGCCACAGTGAACTGGCACAAAAGCCTCGGAACACTGGTGGGGTCAGGCAGGTGGTGCAGGAGGTACAGTGGATTAAGGAGACAGCCAGAAGATTCTGGGCCTACACAACTTATCTACAGGGCCTTTTTCCTTGGAACTGTTTCTGTGGTTCTTACCTGGTATATTCGAGCCGGCATTTTCTCCACAAATAGTCCTTTCTTCTCGCCCTTCTTAACCAGCTTGGTCAGAATAGAAAGTCGGTCATTGTTGGGCCGATGGGGCCGAGGAGATGACTGAGGTGAAATCTCTGGTGAGGATGGAGCTGACCTGAGAGAAGGAATTAGAAAGTTACTAAAACTGGCCAACACATAAAGAGGGTTCTAGAACTATACGTAAACTGTATACTTTCCCAATCCTACATATTACAAAGCAAATTTGCTGAGAAGAGAACCTTAGAAAAACCATCTTCTGCTCACAAGGTATTATGCTTTGGACATTAAGTGCAATCAGAATATGTTTTAAAAAAAAATCTCAATTCTGGAATGAGGTAACATGTATGCTTCTAAGCTCAAAATAAATTCTTGCCAAGAAATAATGTCCAGGTAGCAATATACAAGAAAAAGGATTGTTTTGTTTTCTTTTTAGAATATTTCTTAGAATTTTTCCCTAGCTTAGCTAACTCTATACCCAAGAGTACATTTTCAAAGATCACAATATTGCCTACTGAAATCACAAAGTAAATGACACAGAAGAGAACTTACAGAGAGAGATCCTCAGCTTCCTGCCTTACAACACTGACTCGACTTTTCTTTGGCAACACTGGAGAGTTTTGATCAGATACCCTCTGGTAGAAGAGCATATAGGCATTCCAGTATCTTCGACGTACATCAGTGTACGGGTTTGCTGTTTCATGGTGAGAGTAAGAAATTTTTGTAAACAAGAAAGTTTTCTTGTCAATCTAAAGCCAAGAGTCCATAAACTCACAGTAAGGAATTATGAATTAAATTTGTTAAATTCAAAGTATAAGCACAATATGGTTCTTTATACTGTTGAGAATGGAAGGAAGAGTTACTCTAGTTCTTGGACTGGAATTAGAACACGTTCTTGGGATGTAAGATAGAATGGGGAGGAAGGGAAAGAAGGAAGGTACTTGGGAATCCAAATAAGCAGAAGAAGCAATACTTAAATTATGTTCTGTGAAACAGGGCGGGAACACAACTGCCCTTACTGAAGCATTTCTGCGAAGATAGCAACATCGAAGCCCATTTTCATGCTACGAAACCCACCCCTTAAGCGCTTCACTGGGCACTGTATACTGTACATGGCACAGCAGCGCAGTCTAACACAGCAGAATCGACACAAGTAGAGACCGCGTAATAAACACAGTGGTAAAACACAGTTGTTAGAAGCGTCTTTTCTAATTAAGCTATTTCTATGTAAGTGAAAAGGAAATCTGAACTATTTTTCCTGTAGCTATTTTTAGGAGTAAATTTTTGTTCAATCAGTTTTGTTTTGGTTTTTTACTTTATCTCATCCTCTTGACTTACTCCAAATTCTAATATGTGAAAACATTTTTTATGAGCAGCTTAAATGTTTTTCTTTTTCAGCTTCTAAATGAATTCTTTTAGAACACGTTAAGATGAACTGTCTCACTGAAGCACGGCAGTTACAGATGGGGGGAGGGGAACGTTCCACCACGCAAGTGGTGCGCTGTGTCCGGGTGCCCCCGCCCCACAGCCCCTGCAGCAGGGACATTCTCATTCTGGATATCCCCGAGTCCACGGTTCTGTAGAAAGAACTGCTGCACTGCAAAAGAGATACAATGCATTTTTCTATAAAGAATGGTGCTTCCAACTAGATAGAACTGCATACTGAAAAGCAGTGCAGGGGCTGGGATTTAGCTCAGTGGCATAAGTGCCTGTCTGGCAAGCACAAGGTCATGAGTTCTATCCTTGGTACAAAAGAAAAAACAAGGTGGAAATAGCCTACCGTAAATACTTACTTTGATCATAAACTTTTGGTCTATATTCTCCTCCAAAGCATTCATACTCCAGGGTCTCATCATTTAGGTCAAATTCCTCGATAACTGTGTCATTAAACTTATACCACTTTCCTTTTCCACATCCCCTAGGGCCCAGAGAGCAGACATGATAAGGTAAAAACCAAGCATCCCTCACATGCTTATCTCTGCATATCATCTACATCAAAACCAAGTCATTAGCATTTGAAAATATCGAAGAAAAATGTAGTAATAGTGGTTTTAGTTTCTAAAACAAGTTTTTAAATCGAAGAGCCAAATACAATTTCAGAAACAACCTAAATGCCCACTGAGGAATGGATAAAAAAGACGCAGTAGTTCTATATAATGGAATACTACTCAGCCATAAAGAAGGATAAACTGGAGACTTTTATAGGTAAATGGATGCAATCTGAGACCATACTCATCAGTGAAATAAAGAAGACACAAGTGTGTAAATATTGTACTGTCTAATTAGTGTGAGAAGCTGAAAGAAACAGCATATGTATATGTGTATGTGCATTAAAAAAAGTGAAGATAATCATACAACTGATTTGTGCTGGTATTGTTCCGACACTTGACTGCCAGCTGTCTTGTGCTCTGGGCAGATGATTTGGGGATGACAATGTGCAATGTATGTACCACTGTTGCCCCCGACTGATATATTTTGAAATGTTTAGTTTTTTTCCTTCTTCTTTTTCTCCTTGAAATAAAATAAATGAGAACAGCTCTAGAAACCGTCAACAGCTAAACGTGGAGTAAGCCTCAAGAACAGGGCACCACCGCGTGGATGTGGATGTTAAAGCGAGGAGGAGAAAGCAGAGAGGCAGCGAGAGCTATGGGAGGAAACCCTTACCGCCTGTCCTTAATGAAAGAATAGTAGTGGCCCGCATGCGCCTGTCCACTGTGCACGATGACACCGACAAGTTCGTAGTTTTCCGTGAGGGCAACTTTCTTCCGTGGGGATCCTCCACCTCCCTGATCCATACTTCGACCATTTTCACCAACGTCGGAGGATGAATCTTGGCGAGCCATTCCTGAAACTGTGTAGGGCTCCATGTTTAGCATCCAGGGAAACTGTAGAAGGAACAGGCCCACCGTGGTGTCGATTAGGAGCACACACACACACCTAGTTAAGTAAGACACTTGAATAGAAGGCTGTTGCCTTAGTTAACTGAGGACCACCCTTCACTTTGGATGCTAACGTCTCCGACAGGCTGAGTGCGGGCAAGTGCAAGCAGGTCCTACTCTGAATGTTACAGAAAGCACACACATGACAGCCACCGTGAGAGGGGCTGCCCAAAGGAGCCCATCCAGCGCTCCTAGCTTCTCCAGACACTGGCTGTGAACTCCTAACGATGCTGTTCATGGGGCGGGGTGACAGGGAAAACAGAAGACGGAAGAGGCAGTGAGGACACGGTGGAGAAACTTCAGTAAGCAAAAAGTTACCCGAATTTGTTCATCATATTTAATGGAGCGTCCACTCTCCCAGTCAAATCCAAATCTCATCAGGTGAATGACCAAGACACTCGGTAAAGACTTGATGCAGGTCCTTTTCACTGTTATTCTCTAAAGAAAAGTAAAAAATTATTAACTGCTTTCAAGTCCTACAATATCTTCAAAGTAGTGTTTTTAATAAAATAGTTATGTAATGTTATGTTCAATTATATTATGCCTGATGATGTGGACAATTCTATTGAAAATAACAAAAGAAAACATAGCAACTATGGTAGATCCCCAAATATTGTGGTCTTATGTGTCTTTTTCATTTCATGTTTTTCTAGGAATTTATTTTGTTGTCTTGTTTTGATCTGTTTTTCCCTATAATACAGAAAGGATAGATATTACATGTAGAGATTCACAAATGGGAAGAATTTCTAAACTATTTACGGGAACAGATTGTATAATACACAATGTAATGAACATATACTTTGAAGAAGAAGAGACACTAAGAAACCCAGTGCTAATTCTGCAGCATTATGATATAAAATCTAACAATATTATCATTCACTGTTCAGAGTGATATTAGTCTAGTCTCTTATATTCCAGTTCCAGCATACGTAAAGATAAAGACAGTTACTACGAAGAGACTGAGAAACATTATGGTAGACATTATTGACTTCCCCAAAATCAGGTCTTGAAGACCTAAGAAGTCTTCATCATCCTGTAACGATCTGATTAGTTCTATAATGTCCAGTATATATTCAATGTGTGTGAAGATGGGGACAACTATTTGGAAGAAAACTAGAGATAATAAGATAGACTGTGAAGATCGCCAGTGGACTTGCTTTGAAATCTATGTTTCTTTAAATTGTTTCTTATAAACTATTTTGTTATGTTTAATCTTACCCTCTTCAACATAAAAAACAAGTATGTAGGACTGATAACCATATTACTAAGTTCTTGTTGGATCGCTGAGCAGAACTGTTTGCAGTGTCATTGTTTGAATGTCACTTAATGTGCTTTAATTTTGTAACTTAGCAACTATTTCTAAGATGACGGTATGTAACTTACTGTTTCATACTGTTTATTTTTCTGAAATTCTGTATTGTTTCTAGCTTTATCTGTTTTTTTCTTTAAATAATCATAATCAACGATTATGCTGATAGAGAAAATCAGTGAAAAGATCTTTCCTACTGAAGTAAAGCAAGCAATGACCCACCTAACAGAAGTGGCAACAGAACCTTAATATTGACTTTACAGAAACACAGACAGTACATGAATAACAAATTAATCTTGTTTGTTTTTGTACTTTGTTTTTTGAGACAGGGTCTCACTATGTAGTTCAGGTTGGCCTCGAACTCACAGTGATCCTGTCTCCGCCTCTCAGTGCTGTGATCACAGGCGTACACTATCACACCTGAGTAATCTTGTTTTTTAAAACAGGCAGATATAATACCTTTTCTTTACACTTTTCACAGTAGTATGCATTACTTCCTTCTAGAACTTCTCCTCTCACAAACTGGTCCAAAGAAATTTCCAGACTCTGGCAAGAAGTAACTCCTAGATTAAGCGCCATGAAAGCTTCCTCACGCTCATATCTGATTAGGAAATAAGAGAAAACCCATGAATGTAAATTATGGAAATTACTAAGCTATCTGAACTGGAACACAGAAATACATTCACAATCAGTGAAATTAATGCATACTTCAACCTTTTAAAATGTACTTTAAAAGTAAGAACATCAAATTGTGATAACTTAAGATTGTAAGTATTTTCTTAGGGCCACAAAAAAATTTTGGAAATAAAAATCAAATTGGGGCTGGGGATTTAGCTCAGCGGCACAAGCGCCTGCCTTGCAAGCAGGCAGTCGTGAGTTCGATCCCCGGTACCGATAAAAAGGAAAAAGACGAAAAAAAAAATCAAATTAAACATTTATAAATCCACTGAGATATAGCAACAAATGCAAAATTTACAACACCATTACGGAATATTTAAGAATAATGATCATTTTTGTCTTTCTGGTGCTTACATCAAACCCAGGATGCTGTGCATGCTAAGCAAACAATGCAGCACTGCACGACTCACCCAGCCCTGAGCGCCCCTTTTCATGTATCAGTGGCACTTTACTAACCTGTGAGGGCAGTCTTTACAGATCTTCTGATCGGAATAGATGCCCTGGAAAGTATTCTTAAAAATTTGGTCTCTCCCCATTTTCTGTTGGAATAAAAAGTTAAAATTTGAGCCAAAGCTCCTAAAACACAGAACTTACTTCACACCGAAGATAAAACACTGGTTGCAGTTTAACCGAAATAGATGGGGCCACTGTGGGGCCCTCAGCTGGGCATTGATGGCATGCTGATAACCCGCCAGGAGGTCAGTCTCTCAACAGTGCCGTCGGGAAGGAGAGCTGGGCCATTCAGGGCAAGGACTGCATTCTCCCAAGTCCTCCTTCTCATGCCACAAATACCAATTTAGAAACAGCTCTATAATCTTTCTTTATTCTTGTGGAAAGAATGCTATAAATTTGTAACTTATTTCAAAGCAAAGAAGTGGATAAATGGTACCTACTAAGGAGAAGCTAGCGCTGACAGCTGACACAGGCAATCTTAGAAGTCAGAACCCTAAGGGAGTCTGTGACATGTTTCCCTGGGGAGGGGTGGAAGCTTTGCATTTAAGTAGCACTATAAATAAATGTTTCATCTGGTCCCCCTCCCATTCATTTTGCCAGAATTCTCTGAGTTCCAAGACTGTCTGAAGGGCAATCAGTTCACCGGTGCTGCAGCATTCCTGTGAGGCCAGACTACCTCAGGGAGTACACAGTGAAAATATGCAAGTATAAAATATGCAAGTACTGTGGAGTAGAGATTAAGAATTACATACTTTATTGTATGCTAGATTAATTAAGAAATGATTACAGTAATCTGTATGGTCTGATGTTTAAACTGCAGCTGTGATGCTTAAGATTATAAATTTCTGACTTGTCAGTTTCATAGTAATTGCAAACTCTGAAGCACTGTTTTCAAACTGTAATTAGAGTCTGGGGGAATTGGCAGGAAGGTAAGACTTATTTATTACCTTGAGATATTCATCCATCTGGTCAATGAGACTAGTAAAGAATTCATATGCATCCTGCTGTTCTCTCACATAAAGTTCTTTGTTCCACATCTTGAAAATCTATGCAGGAAGAATTAAATGGATGTTTAAAGAGAAAGCGGCAATTTCTAAGGGTAGCAGAAACAGAACATGAAAAAACACTGAAATCCTTCTAAAAACCAAATTCACTACTAGGACGTAGAAATTTTTACTGGAGTGAGTCAAGCTTAAATTCAGCTATCCGTGTTTTTCTCTGGCTCCTGGAATCATGGTGTATCTCTGAACCAGAGGGGATTATAGGGTTAGATCTAAAGCTGTGGAAGTTGCTCTCTTAGAAACTAAGCCTCCATTATTGGGCTCAAATAAGCAACATTCAGGTACTTAAAGTCATTAGGAAAGAGGGCCTGCATTCAGAGGAACAATCTGAAAAAATATTTCAAAGACCTAAAATAACAGGAGAAAGACTCAAAAGTAAGATTAGCAAATTCCTAGGAATTATAAACTCATTACTCAACAACATTCTAATCATTTGAAACCAAGTGCCAGTTTGAATAAGAACTATATAAACCATTTTTAGTAAATTCTTAGCAATGAGATTAATCAAGAGTTAGCAAAGGTAAGAAACCATTATCAACAGGGGGAAAATGTACCCAAACCCCAAATACCTAATACCTTTAAATCTATCAAAAATTACTGAATACCTTCCAGAAATTCTCAGGCACGTAATACTGCAGCTTGCTTTCCATCAAATGCCCAAAGAGAGACTGCACTTGGTAAAATACACTATCATCAGGATTGTCTGTGTCATCATCCACTGAAAGCAGTGACTAAAGAGAAAGGTATCAGGTTAGAAATATTTAACTGTTTCACAGGAAACTGACATATACACAGGAAAGCCACACTGTTTTAGAAAGCTATGCATGGGTGGATCTGTTCACAATTCTGCCTGTATTTAGCTTGAATATTTTATAGCTGGTATTATAATGAATCATCTGTGTGATTAGGAAAAACCAGGGCTAGTAATATTACATCTCTAAAGAAATAAATACTACTAGTAGGTTATTATAAGGCAGTGATGATACAGCCTATGTATTTCTAAAATATTAAAAATGTTAGTTTTAATTTTAGGGAATGGGATGTTAGAATTCCCATGGAGTTAAAAAACATCACATTAGCTCAAGACATTAAACATCAAATTTATAAAAATGTGTAACTATGAACAACACTCAGTCCCCACTTATCCCTAGTTTTTCCAAACCTGAGAAGTAATAAATCAGTACGTAATGATTTTTAGGCAAAGCATGCATTATTTCTCATGCTGAACAAGATGAGGAAGGCAACCAATCACCTCAGGGAGCCCAGGCTGCATATAGAGCTGCTGGAAGACTGCGTTCATGTAACAAGTTGCACCACCATTCCTCAGCCCCACAAACCCTGAGCTGGACCTGCTGTCCACTGGGGGAAGGTACTGGAAAAGAGAAGAGAAAAGGATGAACACCTTAGCCACAGGCACATTTCTACTACAGCTACTCAGGATGTCTGAGAGGAGACAGAGACGCAGCCACAGATTTAACCATCCAGTGTGTTCTGAAATGCAGTCGCAATGCACTCTGCAGCTGGAATGCAATGAGACAGGACTGCTATCTCAGTGAGTCTTTTTGTTCACAGCACACGGGGCACATGGCAGGTGTGTGTGTTTACTTACTCATGTAGTCATGTACACAGTCATCTATCATCCAACATGTATTTATCAAGGGCCTGCTTACTCCAGGCATTGTACTAGGAATGTACAAGAACAAAAATATGCACAGTCCATGATTCCCAAGGAGCTTATAGAATAAAAAGGCACAGCATTAATCAAGCAAGCAGAATATCACTTATAAATGTTCTGAAATACTGTACATCTCAATATAATGCCCTTCTGGGTAAGAAAAAAGTCCAGAAACAGCATCTTGACTAAGGTTTAATGTGGCATCTCTCCAAGTGGAAAAGGGCATGGTCACAAGGCACTAAAACGTGATTATAACAGGAGCTCAGGTCACCTGCAAATGTCAAGTACAGAGTCTATACTTATGTAATAATAACCAACCAGCAAAAATCTGTAGGTCTTCTAATGTTAAGTAAATCGGACAAGCTTAAATAGTCAATGGTTTCTCTTACATGTGAAACCTTAAGTATAAATAAATAAATGAGGCAGATAAAAGACAGACAACAGGGAGTAGGGAGATACAGTGTTTCCTGACTCCACAGCCCTGTTCATACTCTGCTCACTGCTGGAAAGGAATGACCTTTCCATCCTGATTCAGTTGGCTCAACAGTCTTCAATCTCTACTTGAAGTTCCAGCTTCGCTAAGCAGCTCTGTAAGACACCACCACCCATAGTGAAACGCCTGTGTTAGAATGGCTGCATCCAGGACCTGCCTTTGTCTGCTACTGTACCACATTATACTGCCACGATCTGCTGATGGGTTTGTCCTTTCCACTGCACATATTCTCACCTTCTTAAGGACCGGGATCATATTTTCATTTTTGAACCCCAAAAACTTATTAGCTTATCAGCTTTTGAGCCCCACCAAGCATATGGTAAATTCTATAATCTTTGTTGAATGCAAGGGAACATGAACATATTGCATGACAGAGCCTGGCACTAGACCAGCACAATGATACTTTTAAAAAAGGTTGGTATGGGGCCAGGGATTTAGCTCAAGTGGCATAAGTGCCTGCCTGGCAAGCACAAAGTCATGGGTTCAAACCCGGTATCAAAAAAAAAAAAAAAAAAAAAAAAGGTTGGTATGGTACTTTCCACTGAGAGTAACTACTGACCAATTTGCAAATGTTTCTTCTCTTTCAAAGGGTAACGTCATAAGATACCAGAGTGTATCAGGGTAATGACAGAGTTTGCAGTTGATTTTAACACATGCACACAGTGAGCAAAACAGTGACTTTCTTCACTGCAAGGAGAATGCAAACAATCTTACAGTTATATGTTTAAATGTTCACTTCTAAAAAAGTAAGCGCATAACTCACATCAAACTCCTTGGTAAGAGCAGGGTCAGGCTGATGATGCATAGAAAGTAGTTCTTTTGTAATAATTTGAAGGTTTGAAGGTGAACTATCAGCCAACATTACAAGGACTTCATAGGCTGCCAACCGACTATTCACTGTACTACACCTAAAAACAAAAGGCATAAGTGAATTTCAACAATGAATAAAATCTGCTCAAACTTCTAATTAAACTAAGTCAACATTTGAAATGGAAATACACTCTGGGCGTGAAGATGCACTCCTGTAATTCCAGCACTTGGGAGGCTGAGGCAGGAGGATCGCTGCAAGTTCAAGACCAGCCTGGGCTACAAAGTGAGCCCAAGGCCAGCCTGAACTGCATAGTGAGACCCTGTCTCAAAAAGACAAAAATCTCTGGTACATAGTTAGGTCAAGTCTAAGCCAGAAATTAAATAACCTAGAGGCCATGTATGCAGGAGGTATAAATATGGTTTACAGTTAAGCACTTCCTTGGCTTGAAAATTAAGTAGTAAAATTCTTTCACTTATGATTTCACAGTGATCTCATCTAAGGAACAAATCAAGAATGGAGGAGAAAAGAGTTTGAGAACTTTATAATAAATACAACAGGGGAAAGGATTATCTTCCAATCAAAGCAGGAAAGAAGACAAATTTTTGCAGCTATCTTTTTGAAATTTGAATTGGTGGTAGAAAAAGAAAGCTATGCGAATCAGAATAGATAACTCATAAACATTTTATGTGCTTGAGGATCAACAAGTTTCAAGGACGTGAGTCAACTTTCTAATACATAGTGTGTCAAACCAACTTATTTCAAGTAGCATAAAAGGTTACTAACATTGTGCAGGAAATCAGACTTCCTATGCTGCCTGCCTTCATGCATGGGAAGTACTCCTTAGCAAGCTCTGCCCACCTTTCACTACCGAGGGGACCACATGGCAGGAAGGATACACAGAAAAGAGGACACCCTGTCTCTAAGCGAAGTCACACATGCAGTGTGGAGGTGGCCAGGGAGGCCGAGGCTCCTTGATGAGTACCGCCTCAGGCCCTGAGGACAGTGGTCATGGACTCAACACTGCCCTCTGCCTCTTGTCTAGACTTCCGGACTGAAAAGAACAGGTAAGAAATGAGCAGGGAGGTACCACACACAGGCGCTAAGTAAGTGGTTCTATTACTGTAATGTATGATAGCAGCATTTCTAAAAAGCATTTTACGTATTTTAAACCTAGTTTCTTGCTTTAAGATCTCTGAGGGAAATGGCTGGAAGCCTCTGTGGTAAGTGAACATCATTCAGCACACTGCAAAAGGCTGAGATAAAATGCTTCCTTTCCTACTCAAGGTACTGTGGGTGATTTAAGAAATAAGGCAGGCGTGCTGACACAGGCCTTTAATCCCAGCACTCCCAGAGGACACAGGAGGAAGACCCCAAGTTCAAGCCCAGCCTGGGCTACTTAACAATTAATCAGGACCTGTCTCAAAATAGGAAATAAAGAAATAAAGGGCTGGGTTCCAGCTTACTGTGAAAGTCTTAGGTTCAATCTCCAGTCCCACAAAAAACAACAAATAACAATAAAACAAAGAAAATAAAAACATACTTTATGTCAAAGTATTACTTTGAAGGGAAGGATTCATCAACACAAAGTTCACTAACATTCAAGTTTTTAAAATGTCCACTGCAAATCAAAACACTCATGTATTTCTACTGCCTTAATTAAAGACATCCATGGATCATATTAAACCTAAAACTAAACTGGGGGAGACTGGGGACAATCCAAGAATTCTAATGAAGCCCCTCCCCAAACAAATTCATATTCTATTTGGATAAATATTTACACATGGTAAATTCTGCTTATTATGCCTTGGCCATATAAATACTGAAATTACACAGGAATTTTTTTTCATTGTAAATACTAAATCCCATTTCTTCAATATTACTCAGTTAACTCTGGTTTTCATGTTCTTAAGTAACCTGGATTCACAGCAAATTAGACAGGTTATGGCTTCTCCAGGAGAATATTAATACTTAAAGAGGACTGACATTACAAAGGAATCTAATTTCTACCCATAAAAAGTACAAAAGCTGATTTCCATAATTATAACTGTAACAAATCACCAGCAGTTGCAGTTACCAGAACACAGTCAAACAACAAAGCCTGGATATCACAGCACCCATCCTTTTCTCCCAAGGGACCCTAAGACCTCCCCTGGAGCCTAGGACTTGGGACTTCGTGCATGCTAAGTTCTGTAGGCACTTATACTACTCGGTCTCAGCTCAGCTCCTGCAGACAACTCTTAAGACTTTCATTTCTCCCACGATTTGTTCCCGACCAAGTTAGTCAATTATTATCTATTCTTCTGCTCTGATGATGATGATGGTACCAACACGCCTGCTCTGTGCTTCGCATGGGCCAGGCTGGCTTTACTACGCATCTTCACATGAATTTGTTTACACAGTTCATCATGTCTTGGAAAAGACTCACAAGATGGAAGACGAACTCCAAGTTAAGAAAAATCCTTTTGAACTAAAGTTCTAAATTAGAATTGTTACCAAAACTGAACACAACGTGCATTTTCCATACTTTGGATGAAAGTCCTGTTGACTGATGGCGGCACTGCCAGCTGGAGAATGACTATTTAAAATAATTCTAGAAGCTCGGAAAAGGAAGTCATCTAACAATGGTTTAATGAGTGATGAACCTGGAATAGAGCATAATATTCACGGTGAGGATGAACACGAGTTTTCATTCCAAGATCCTAGCTTGCGCTTTCCTACCAGGGCAGCAGAAGCACCCAAAGCCCGCCCATCAGCAGTGCACCCAGCTAAATGCTCATTCTTAAGTGATTCCTCTGAGGTGATCCTCTGTGGGGTGGAAGGGCAAGGGACAGGCACCAAGGTGGACAAGTGGGGGAGTTTTTCTTTATTAGCTTATGATACAGTGAGAGAAGTCAACCTTTCACCCTGGAAATACAGATGTCAACACCACAGGCAGAATGGGCTAATGAACAGACTCTTACTCTCGGCATAGGGAAATCCACAGAGGTTTATGTAACTTTTAAAGTTCGCCTTCTTTAATGATGGGCCTTTCTCTTCCTGATTAAGAATCATTCTTTTCTATAGATCCCCTGTAGCCAAGAAGAGTTTATGGAGCTTCATTTGTATTATGAGAATGGTAGTTCATTTTTGGTTTGTCTTCTGGATGTAATTTATAGTACGGGACACACTTTGAGATTACATGTGGAACCCAGACCATACCGTGTGTACCCTGGCACTCGGGATACATGAGTTGGGGGTCACCTCCCCAGATTAGAATCATCCTTAAAAGATATACAATAGATTGTATCTTATAATGTGTAAAGCAGCGAAAAGAGACAAGTCATTTTAATTATAATCTTTGCTTAGCAGTAAGTTTTATAAACCAGGTGTCGTGGCACATGCCTGCAATTCCAGCACTCAGGGACAATGAGACGGGAGGATCGCTGAGTTCCAGACCAGCCTGAGCTACACAGTGGGTTCAAGGCCAGCCTGAACTGCACAGTGAAACCCTGTCTCAAAAATAAAACACAACAAAAAACCAACAAACAAAAACCAGTTTTGTAATTAAACCATTTTGAACACTGTAAAATTCTCTATGTGGTTTACTGACAAAGGTAAATACACCTTATGTTTGCTAGCCACCTAAACTGTACATTGGTTTTATATTCCCAAGGGGTAAATTCTCCAGGGAACATTTAGCGCTAGTTTATTATTCTAATTATACACTACACTACAGCAGTAGCTGAGAAATGAGGCATTCTGACACATGACAAAATGAAGCAACAGTTACCGAGCATTTCTTTCTCTGCCCCACAGAGTGAAAGAAGGGTCTTAATGAGCCGCAAGTGTCCAGCCAGTAAGATGTTGTCTGCTTCACTAGTCTCACACTCAGCTGTGCGGTTAGGCTCAAAGTTATCTAGCCACGTAATTTCATCTTCAAGCATGGTAGCCGGGCTAATTCGTAACTGCTCCATTTCTGAAGCTTAGAAGGGGGAAAAGAAAATCATTTACAACAAGGAAAGCATTTTCTCTTCATGGTGTCAAAATTCTTAGTAGGGCACTGAGTTAACTAATCACGTAAGTTTCACTTTATCACTGGCTTCCAGACTCTGACTATCAGGCTTTACTATAAGGTATGTTTTTGTTCTCCTAGCTTTGACATTTTTTTCTGATGAATACTTCTGCTCATCCTGACTCTGATTTTACTTCCTATCAGCTGTAGCACTTTCTGTCTGTAAAGAGTAGAGAATAAAGTAGCCCTTAATATGAACAACTAAAGTTTACATAGAACATTCTCATATACCTTTGTATTATTTAAGAATAAATACAGATGATTAAAATCTCAACAAAAGAATTCCTAACAATGAATTCATGTAATTAAATAACTTCTGTTTTACGTATACTTTGATATAGTCTGTCTTTCCTTCAATGATGAATCTTTAACTGTCAGAATTATGCTACAAAGACCCTTCATAGAAGCTTTGTATTAATATAATTAAAATACGAACCTTTGACAATTCTAAAAATGAATAAATCTCAATACAATAATGGTTGGGTATATAACAGAAGACTTCATTGATGCACAGTATATATGCTATTTAAAGAAATAGTCAATTTATAGTGATTATAATCTCATTTCCATCTGAGATAGGTAAGTCAGATTTAGAAATGCCTCCCAGCTATTTTCTCCACTCCTCTACCGCAAACAAAATTTAGACATCTACTTACTTGTTAGATCATCTAATAATTGGCATCTCAAATCAAAATACTCCATACACTGAGATAATAATCTAAAAAATAAATAGGTTTCAGTTACCAAAAAGAGGTTGATTTGAAAATAAAGAGCATTTTTCTTACAAAAGCCTATAAAGTAATCAAGACAAGAAAATTTTCCAAAGCAAAAGACACCTATTTCTACATTTATTAAATTCTGTATTTTAGCATGGGTCATATAATGATTTTGCTAGTAAAGCTATAATACAAGAATAATAATGTAAAGAGAAGGAAACTTGCTAAATCTATTAACATTTTAAATTATATGTGCAACGATATCATTTGTTCATTCAAATATCAACTACTATCCCCTAAGCACCCACAAAATGCCTGGTATTGTAGGGAAACAAGGGAGATAAACAGTACATAAAATACATATACATATGTCAAGCAGTGACAAACAGTAGGAAGAATAAAGCAGAGTCAGAAAAGGGAGATTATATGGGTGATTAAATTTGCTTTATCTACAATTACAAAGATTAACAGCACACGTTTTAAAATCACATAAAACACTGGTTTTGGTCATGGTTCTATTTACAGTGAGCTGTCCACGGACAATTTATTTAACTTCTAACTCTCGGCTTTCAAATTTCTAAAATGCTACTTTAGTACTAGAAGTAAATATGAAAGTATATACACAAATACACATAAAAGGCTTAACCATGTACTAATGGCAAGAACACACACTGAACCTGAAATTATGGCTATAAATTACGGAGATAATAAAAGTCATTTGGTCATTCTGAGGATTACAAGATAAAAATATGTAAGTGGTATGGTGTGAAGTCCACAATAACTGCTACATATATATTAATGTGGGCAATAAAAAAGGTTGTGAGACATAATTTTATGCAAAAATAAATGCTCTATGTGAAATTAAACAGCTCTCCATTTAATATACCTTTAGAAGAGATTCTTTGAGATATACATTATTAATCTTATTTAATGCTATTTGCTTCTTTCACAATTCTTGAATAATTTAATATTGATTAAATTCTTAAAATTTGCTTATACTTATCTAACAGCAAATTTTTGTATGCATTTGTTTGTCTGCCTCAACAAACAAACAGATTCATTCTGGTATTCCAGGTACTAATTATAACTCTATCTCTGTTGATTCTTCAACTTGTTTACAATGATAGGCACACAATCTTCAATAAACTGAATAAATGAAAAAAAATTCTTAAAATTTAGGGGTTTTTTTGGACACAAAAATCTCACTTGTAGTTCAAGTTGGCCTTGAACTTGCAGAGACCCTCCTGCCACACACGCTCCTGAGTGCTTGGTTTATAGGTATGTGCCACCACGCCTGCTTAAAATTTGGTTTTATTAAGGAAACTGAAGCTTAAAAAAAGAACTTCAAAAAATTTAATAAAATTGAAAAACCTTTAGCTTGACAGGCTAAAATAAAAAAAGGCTAAACTTATTAAAACTCAGAAATTAAACTGGTAACACTATTCTACAAAAATAAAATGGCTGGATCCTGCCAAACATTCAATGAAGAACTAATACCAATGCTTCCTCACTTTCCTAAAACACTGAAGAGTATGTCCAATAATACTTTTTATTCTCACAATGCTGGCATTATTCCACTATGAAAGCCAGGTACAGACTGTACAAGAAAACCACAGCACCAATAACCCTTATGAATGCTGATGCAAATCCTAATTCTAGCAAACCAAACTAAGCACTACCTTTAAGCACCTGAACGCCACAAACAAGCAGGACTGACTCTTGGAACACAAGGATGGCCTAGCATGTGCAAAACCACCGTAACACTGTATTAACGGAGAAAAAGGAAAAAATCACCTCAGGATGCAGAAAAATCTTTTGAGAAGATTTAGTGCCCCTTTGTGATAAAAAACACAGAACATCTTTGGAAGAGGAGGAAATTATTTCAATACAGTAAAGGCCATATCTGAAAGATTCACAACTAATATCACACTCGGTGGTAAAAGACCAAATGCTTTTCCTTCAAGAACAGCAATCAGGGTGCCACCCTTGCCTCCCAACAGAGGTCTGAAGGTTCAGTTGGGCAAAAAAAATAAAAGGCACTCAAATTGGAAAAGAAGTCAAATTATGTGTTTGTTACAAGATCTTAAATATGCAAAATCCTGAATCAACATATTCAGCAAAATTGAATGATACAAAATCACACAAAAACAAGCTCTATCTCTCCACTAACAACAAACAATCTGAAAAGATATCAAGAAGACAAATTCATTTACAACAGCATCAAGAACAAAATACTTAGCTGGGCCTAGTGGCACACATTGTAATCCCAGTACTTGGGAAGCTGAAGTAGGAGGAATGTGGCAAGTCTGAGACGAGCCTGGGCTACAGAGTGAGCTCTGTGCAGTGAACTGCACAGAGATCCTTCCCCCCAACCAAAGAAATGAATAAAATACTTAAGAATCAACTTAATCATGAAAATGAAAACTTTGCACAACAAAACCTATAAACACTGATGAAATTAAAGGTGACATAGGTAAATGGAAAATACATCTTGCATTCATTAATTAGGATAAATTTTGTTGAAATGCCAATATCATTCAAAGTCATCCACAGATAATGAAGTCCCTACAAAATTTCAACAACACTTGTGGTAACAGAAAAATTCACTTCAAAATTCGTATGGCATCTCAAGGGACCCAAACTACCCAAAACAGATTTGAAAAATGAATAAGGTTGGAGAATTCACAATCTCCTTTTTAAACTTACTATGGGGCTTCAGTAATCAAAAGACTGTGGAATATTAAGACAAATATACACCAAGGGAACAGAAATAAATCGCTACACTACAGTCAAATGAATTCAACCAGGTGCCAAAACCATTCAATGTAAAAAAGGACTGTCCTCAAACCTGATGCTGAAAAAACTAGTCACATGTAAAAGAAGTTAAATCCTTATACCAATTATAAAACTTAAATGGGTCAAATACCTAACTGTACTTTAGTACTAAAGAGTTAAAGTTATAAAATCCTCAAAAGAAACCATAATGGAAAGGCTTCATAACACAAGATTGGTGATGACTATTTAGGTATGACACCAAAAGCATCATCGACAAAAGGAAAAATAGGTAAATTTGATTTCTTCACAATTAAAAACCTCTGCATATCACTAGGACACATCTGGTAAGGGATCAACACAAGATATTCAAAGACAACAAATAACTCAACCCAAACACTGGGAGCTGGGGCTGTGGTGTTTGCTGTTACTCCCTGCACTCCGGGAGCCTGAGGCAAGAGGGTTCGGTAAGGGCCTCAGTGCTGACTTGTCTCAGAACAAGAAGGGTGGGAGATGTAGTTTAGGGCAAAGGCCCTGGGTTCAGTCCTTAGTAACAAAACAAGACAAACAAAACACTATACAAAAAAAATCAAGGTAAAGGTCTGTAATAGCTATTTCTCTAAATATGATGTACAAATGGCTAACAAACACAAGGGCAGATGCTCACCATCACTCCCATTAGGGAAATACAAACCAAAACCATTAGGACAGCGACTATTAAATACAAAACAAACAGGAACAAACCCTCAGAAAGTAAGTCTCAAGATGCAGGAAGCCCTGCGTACTGCGGCAGGGAGTACATAGTGTGGACACTGGAGACCAGTATGGGGCCGCCTCAAACACAAAGCGCAACAACCTGAAACTAACTTAAAAAAGCAAAATGCACACATAGTGAATTATCAGACAGCCTGACAACTCTACTCCTGTGTTATTTACCCAAAGAAACCGAAAACAAGGACTGAAACAAATACAGGACAGTGCACTACACAAAAAAGCCAAAGAGCAGAAACAGCCCAAATATTGATCTCCAGCTGATGGATAAGCAAATAAGGTCTGTACATCCAATAGGGTACAGTTTTGCTTTACAGGGGCTCCCGATATATTTGATGTGACTTTGAAGACAGGATAAGTGAAATATGCCAAACACAAAAGGACAAATAGTGTATGACTCCAATTTTATGAAGTAGGAGATTAGTGAAATTCACAGAAGCAGAGAGTAGCATGGCAGTTGCCAAGAGCTTGGGTGGGTGAGAAGAATGGGGACTATTATCCAAACGGATACAGTCTTGGTTTTGGATGATGAAGAAATTGTGGAAATGGACAGTGCTGACAGATGCATAACAACATGTATGTACTTAATGCCATCCAACTGTATAGTAGCTAGAAACAGGTATAATAATAAATTTGTTACAGCTATTTGATTATATTTAAAAAAATAAAAGAAAGACCCAAGCATGGACGCTTACATGTGAAGTCTATAGCAGTCCCATGGTCTCCTGCCTTCCGGAGTTCTAATTTGTAAAATGTATATAAAATCAAAAGAGACACTGATTCCACAAAGCACCACGGTACCTTGTAAGTTCCACAGCAGAGGCTGTGTGATAAATCTGAGCTGGATGATGTGGCATAAATTTGGGGTCATAATATTTTTCTGGGACTAGATCAAAAATTAGCCCTGACTGATACATCTGGCCTGCAGAGTCACTGTAAGACAAGCAGAATGGACTTCCCCATGTCACCCGCTAAGCCTGGATCACACGGTTTCTTATATGATCATGTCTGTATAAAACTGAGATAGGAAGCCAGGAGGACACTCCAGCTATCACCAGACATGGAGCTATGAAGTATGTGAGCTGAGAAAGTGATCCTCGTGAAGATCAGAGCAGTGTGGCTTTTACACAGTGACTTTCACTCAAATAACATCAAGATCTCACTGTCCAGGTAAACCAACTCTCTCTGGGGTAGGTCAGGAGCTGGGGAAGATGGAGGAGAAAACCAGGCGTTGTGTAACCTTCCTGTCTAGCATAAGGGGAAAAACCCAAATGCCTTTCTCCAGGGCCCAAAAGAATGTCAGAGTAATAAAGAAGTTCTTCTGGCATCTTAGTAATGCTGATGGGCTTTCGGGGAGCAACATGTTATACTCACTCTTTCTCTGTGTAAGGAGAATTCTGTGTATTGAATACATACCTTTGATTAACTCCTCTCATGATGCTAGTTGGGGACCAGAGAGGCAGCTGAGCTGTGAGGATGACACCGAGAAGGAACTGATTTGGTTTCTGCACCTCTGGATGAGCTGAAGTGTCTGTCTGACTGAGCGTGTACAGCTGGTCACAGGCGACCCGGCGGATCTGAGATTATGAGACCGGTGACAAGACCGTGTGTCAGTCAACAACTCTAAGGTGCTCAAAGGTGATTTCTTCCAAAGTCCACACTATTTGTTCATTCAAGTTACTGAAGAACACCAGTTTTTAATGGTGAAGATTATATTGAGTAAACAGGCTAATTAAAAACAAGGGTGGTTTGCAAACTAATTTCCCAAATTAATGTACTGTTCTGTTCTAATCAATATGCTTATAATTAATGCAAATTAAAAAAAATACCCAAGTGTTTACAAAGTGTATTTATCTAACAGAAGTTCCTGGCTTGCTGGTGATCTTCCTGATTCTGACAATGATGTCTACTGCCAGCTGCCCATGCAAATTACGGGTGCTGAACACTGGCTGGGACACTAGATGCCACAGCAGACGTCAGTTAATCATTACGTCCGCCTCACACTTTCTGGTGGGAGATGGAGAGGGTGGCAGGAGGCAGGGCAGTGCAGCTCACTAAATGGCTGATGGTGCGGGGGCCTGACTCCCCGAGCAGCCTGAGTGCCACGCTCCTGTCCTTCCCACAGTGTCATGGGTGTCTACCAAGCTCTCAGGAGAACGAGCCAAGGGACGCTTTTCTACAAGTAACGGAAAAACCCTTACCTCAGCACTTGGTGATCCAAGCAGAATATCAATGATGAAATCAGCAACGCAGGGCAAGCTATAGAAGGATGCTAATGAGAAGAACAAGGAGGGAGGGAGGGAGAGCTGAATTAGAGAGCGCTTTTCTAAAATGCTGAGTAGTTCCTTAAGCTCAAGCAGAAATTCGTCTTTTCTTTCTAGATGGAAAACAAACTGAGGTCCCTCTACAACTGCTTCTCGTCTTTCCACTTACCTCACCAACTCTTGTGGCACTTGGGGGCTCACGCCTTCAGCATCTTTCTACTCTGCCATCAGCACAGTGCTTTGTATATACACCCGTTATAGAGTAACTATGTTTTGCTCTGATAAACTACTAACACTTGTGACTAAAAAAATGTTCCCCCAAATAAAACACAAGTGATAACAGCTTGAAGAAGTTATAACTTTTCAGTCTGATTTAATAATACTTCTAAGGGTTGGGGATGTAGTTTAGTAGTAGAGCACTTGTTCATAACTGTTAAGGCCCTAAGTTCACTCCCCAGCACCACAAAAAAGAAAAAAGAAAAAAAGCTAAATAATTTTAGGAAAGACAAATTAAGAACATGGCATAGGTTTCTCCTTTCCCTCCCGGCCCCTCCCTTCCCTTCCCTTCCCCTTCCCTTTTTCTCTTTTTCTCTCTCTCTCTCTGTTTTTGGCCTTTCTGAGACAGGGTTTCACTGTGCAATTCAGGTTAGCCTCAAACTTGCCGTAATCTTCCTGCCTCAGCCTCCCAAGGGCTGGGATGCCAGGTGTGCACCACCACACCCAGCTGGCATGGGTTTTTGAAGCAATTTCATAACACTTTCTACTTCTCTTATGTGAACCTTCAAACACATTTTTGTTCAGAAGAAACCATTTTAGACATGATTTTAATTTCCCATACGTGTCTAGCTTTGTGTATCTTTACCTGTGGTTTCTGTGATTAGTCTGGGTGTAATATAAAATACAGTACATAACGATCACCAATTCTAAGTAACCAGCAGTGTGAAATAGGTGCTAACAGCTAAGACCAGGTTCCTGTGTGCTGGTCGAGTTCTAACTGAAGCAGCTGAGGCTGCACTCTCGGCTGGTGGGCGGCTACACACCAGGCTGCCTTTGGGTACTGGAGACTCAACAGGAAACAAAGCGGACAAAACTTCTATGAAACTTAAGAATCAGCTCAAGAGGGCATGACAGTAGTAAACATGGTAAGTTGCACTGTACATTACACCCGATAAATGCTACAGGGAAGAATAAACAAGGCGGGCAGCGGGAGGCAGGGCAGTGAAGGGTTTGGGGAATCCGAGAGCAAAAGAAGAGTTGTGATTTTTTAAGAAAGTGGTCTGGGAATATGTCACCAAGGTGACTCATACGCAAAGGCTTGCATGGGATAAGGAAGTGAGGGCTAACTGAAGTGATGAGGAGCGATCGTACCACAAAGAGGTAAACAGGCAGCGCAAGGGCATGAGGCCACACGTGTCTCGTAGGTTGGAAGAGGAAGGCCAGTGAGTGCGGGGCAGCACAGAGACACAGCGTGGGACGGAAGGGGAGACCGCAATAAAGATCTGGCTTTTACTCTGTCAACTGAGAAGGCCTGTTAATGTGTGACATACCTGGCTCACATGTTAGAAGGTGCCCCGGTCACTGTGTGGAAAATAAACGTCAAGGGCAGAAGCAGGGAGATTAGTCAGGGCACCAAGGAAGAAATGCCACAGGTCAGGGAGTACTGGCGGTAAGGGTGGCACGAAGGTGGAATCTAAAAGGTCTGCGAAGAAAAGGTGCTGGAGACTAGAGGTAAGGTGAGAGAAAAGCAATCGAAGATGACTCCAAGGTGTGTGCCAGTGGGTGGAAGGCTGGATGCTGCCTTTAAGCTGAGCACACTCTTGAGCTATGATACAGGCAAGAACAGGAATTCAGTTCCAGACAGGTCAAGTTTGGGATCGCTACTTGATATCCCAGTGGAGATGTCTGGGCAGCAGCCCAGGCCATAGATTCAGACCGAGGTGCCAACAGCTGTGAGCACCTGGGTGGAGTTACAGCTGTGACACTGGGTAACATCCACAGAGCAGGGACAATGAGGGACTGAGCCCTCTAAGCTGAAGAAAGATGAGCATTAGTGCTGCTTCCCCAAGCCAACAATGCAGATAAAAAGGAAATACCTTAAGTTTCATAATTTCTAATAAGAGTTATCAGGAATTGATATAATTCTAATTATATAATTTATGAATTAGCAATCTGAGTTATTTTAATTCCCCAACTGAAGAGTTACCTCTTGAAACACCTGCTGTGGAACATCAACACACAGGATGCTCGAAAGGTCCACTCTGGCATTATTCCTTACCAACCCACCGGCGACCTCCCTGTCCTTTCATTGCTAACAACAGGATCTTATTTATGAAGGAATGTAAACAATTCCCAACAGAAACCAGGTCCTCCCCTGAAAGAAACTGACCACAAATAAGTCGCCTCCTCTTACCCAGCTGCTGGCTCCGAAGCTGCAGGCATGTGACAAGAAGAGACAAAGCCTCTCCGGCAATGAGCGAGTCTTTGGTGGACACGGACTGTTGCCGGACACAGATTCCTGCGTGCAGGGCTACTGGTTCTCCTTCACTGCCGGAGCTACAATTGCTTCCTGAAAGCAGGAAGCAGAAGTTCACCATGGACCCTATAGGTACTGTGCGGTATTTTAGAACATATCCAGAATTCTCACATGACACTACATACTTAAGAAAGTTTGTCTAAGAAACAAAATGATTTACAAAGAGATTCTGGGTATCTGAAACATTCCAACTGCTTTTGTACTTAAAACATTTATGGAAATTCAAAAGGGTTTCAGAAGGTAAAAGTATTTCAGGTAGCAAAATAAGGACAGTGTACTTATGGAACACAAGAGAACTTTCCTGGGTGATCAGGAATGTTTTGTATCTTGTAACTTGGTGTGAATGGCTTCCATGCACATAAAACTCCTAAAAACACTGCATAATTAACACTTCTTCATTTTACTAGACATCATAATTTTAAAGACTTTTTAAAAAAACTCTTGAGCTTTCTGTACAGACATAGAGCATAAAAACAATACAAAGCTAAGACATAAAGTAATAAAAAGGTCCAATAGAAAATAACCTGGCAAAGCAAGAAAAAACTTTTCCAGGTCAGAATTCTAGACGAATTTGCAATCATATAGAACTAGTGGCCTCGTGACACTTACATTCACTGTTTGGTTTGGCTTCCTCATTTATTCTATGCATCTGTAAATGCTTTCTCTCCTACACTAGGACATATGCACAGCAATGTGCATGAATATTAAGCCTGATGAATTTTTACCATGCTCGAGAGCAAGAGGAAAGGCTCTCTCTCCCTTTTGTGATTCTGAAAAATTCACACGTAGATGACTCAGCTATTTTTTGCCTACATTTTAATTACCATCCCTTTGAAATCAGTACCTGAACTGCTGAGTCTGTTTCGAATTCCAGCAGGAAACAGAGAATTACTTTCTTTAATTGGCTGGCCACTCCCAACAAGGTCAAGGCGTCCTGCAGCTGCAGCCCATGACAGCCTCATGAAACACGCCACAGTGGAAGTGAAGTCGCCGACTTCCATAGTCTAAAGAAGTGTGGAGAGAGTGTTGTGAGAAAAGGCAGCGGCTTGTGATCACCACTCCATGGACCCTTGTATCTCTGATTCTGTGAGACCCTGTCCTCTGAGATCCCAGAGGGACAGCTTTACTGCGCTACCATACTGTTCAGACTCCCGGGACCGGTCACCTGTGCGACACAGCCCTCTCCTCTCCACGCTCCATTTCCACTGGCCCTTCACCAACTTGGTTTTTGCAGCTTCCTTTCCCACACAGTCTGGCCTCCACATACTGCCGGCGACCTTGCACACAAGCTCTGGTTTTGTTTCTAACTTTGTTCCTGCTCTCCTTTTTCTCATGGACAAGTCTCTTTGCTCTATCCAAATCCCATCTTGTCCTCAAGACGCAGCTCAGATACCACCTTTGGCACAAAGCCCCTGGGATGGCACTGGCAAAGGAAATCCTTCCTGTTACTGCCAAGGCCCACACAGCATTCTGCCTTTGTAGTTTTACAATACTTGATACCTTTTACTTTGATTTTTTGTTATTTCTGCACTGTCTTTTTCTTATCATAAATTCCTTGAAAACAATGTTCAAAGCATAACTTTTATATCCCCAAGGAGGGCCTTCTAAGTTGGAGGTATTACTAAGTCTTGAGTAAACCAATGGCTTACTTGTATTGCAACTCGAGCAGCAGGGATGATTTCCTCAACCCTGATAGAAGACCTATCTGATACCGACAACTGTCGGTAGGAGGACTTCTCTGGAGTACCACACAAGGACATCTGTCTGCTTGTCTGCCGGCTGACATTTCGGAATGGACGTGAAGCAAGCGTTTCTATGCCATCTTTGGTGAGGTCTTCATCTAATAACGTGGGCATGGTTTGTCCAACAAGTAAAAATCTTAGGAAGAAAAAGGCAGACTTATTCAAGGTCATTTTGTAACACTCAAAATGCTACAATTTAGGAAGAAAGTTAAGCATTGCCTGATTAATGCAGTAAACAGGTTTACACACCTTGCAAGCTGCAGACAGATGGAATAAACACCCTGCCTGGTCTCGTAGTCTACTTCCGATGGGATGGAATCCCGCTGCATGACATTCACAACCAAACTGTGAAGAAAAGTTGAAAAAAAGCAGTACAGTAACACTTCTGTTTTTCCACAGGAAATTTCCTATAATTGACTGCTAATTAATGTTCTTGGTTACTTTCTATAAAATCCTTACATATAAATGAATTATGTAACTACTTCCCATGATAGACAGAACCCTCCTCGCCCATTACAGTGAGACTCCTGGTTTAGCTACAAAGACACCTACCACAGTGTTCAGACAGCTTCCCTTCTAACTGTCCTGAGCTCATAAACCACTGCTATCATGATACTCGTACAACTATCACTTTGAAAATATACCGAGACTGTATTTAGTCAAGCCTGTTTCCAAGTCCACTTACACCCTGCTTTCTGACTGCTCCTCTGCTTCCACTATTGCTCCTTCACCCTTCAAATCTCTTCTCAAAATATCAGAATGATCCCTGTAAAACGTGAGTCAGATCATGGGACCCTTCTGCACTCCATCCTTCAGTGGCTTGCTATATGAGAAAAGGGATTTAGCTTAGCAGCATAAGCACCTGCTGGCAAGTGTGAGATTGTGAATTCGATCCCCAGCACTCAAAAAAAAAGGCTATATCTGTACAATGGCCCAAAGGTGCTGCCTACCGTGACCTCCAGGATCTGTACAATGTCACGACCCAGCTCAGCTCTGTGTCTCACTCACTTGGCCCCGACCACTCTCCCTCCTGTAGCCTCTGCAGGGGAATGCTCTAGCTAGTCATCTGGAGAGCTCTGTCCCACGGTACTGTGTCTGCAGGCCTTACCCTCATCCTTCAGGTCACTGTAATGTAAAATGTCACTCCACCAGTGAGGTTTTCCTGATTCTTCTATAAAACCACAACCCCTTAGTCCCAGCTCTTCTTGTATTTCTCTCTCCAGATCTTATTGTCACCTGACATGTACTTCCTCATCGCTCCATCTGAAACACCACAAGCTCTGTGAAGACACCTGACGTGTCTAATGTGTTCACTGCTCTGTCCCCTGACCTTAAAACAGTGCCTGCCACATCAATGAACTGAGACACCCCAGTAAGCCAAAAGCACAATGCCTTCATCATCACAAACCGGTAGACGTCCGGGTAATCTGAAAAAGCCGTGCGCATGCACTGGTCATTTCATGTCGTGTACGAATCCTTTCGGTCCTCATTTTCCTATCCCCTGCATCGCCACAAGATCCCAGTCCAGCTTCTCCTCCCACCAGACTTGCAGAGGAATTCCTGCAACTGCTCTTTGCTCAAGCTTCAGGCTGGCCTTTACTCCTCAACAGAGGGCCTAAGTTAGCCTGCATCCCCCGCCCTCTCCGCCCCATCCATGGTCTAGCTCATTGTAGCTCCTGTAACAGGAGATTCACCTGCACAATTCACTCCTGCTGCTTTCCGCTCTGGCATACTTCCCCGTCCCTCTCTACTGACCTTGGGAATTACTAGGCATTTTCTCAACCCCGGCTCAGGCTACGAAGTGGTCACTCACCTTGTGATCCCACACGTCTCACCACTGCTCTCCTGCCTTCCTCCCCACAGCACTCTTTTATCTGCCTCTCTTTAAATCCTTCAGATAGCCAGCTCTCCGCTTGCTATTCTTTGTTAAACCACAAGCCTCTCAAAGGCAGAGATAATGTCTCATTTATCTTTACAATACTGGACACAACATAGGTTACAGAGCCAAATTCACCTTATTTCAAACTATAACGGAAGAGTCAAAAGAAACTGATGTGAAAGCTGGTGTGGTGGTGCACTCCTATAACCCCAGCACTCAAGAGGCTGAGGCAGGAGGATTGCTGCGAGTTTGAGGCCAGCCTGGGCTAGAAAGTGAGCTTAAGGCCAGCAGGAGCTGCATAGAGTCCTTGTCTCAAAAATATATATAAAAAAAAAAAAACCCAAAAAACAAAACACACAAAACTCAATGTGGCCTCCTCACCTCTACTTAAGAATTTCCCGACAGAGGTGGAAGAGACACATTTCTCTGAGTTTTGTGAAGTCCTACAATGAATCACAACATTCTGAAGGCCTAAAACATCATCCCTTCAGATTACCCACACACATCTTGCTGAGAACCGGCAAGGATCTGTGGGCAGAATTAATGATGCACTGTATTCATTTCCTGCCACTCATGTACCTTAAACCGCCTGCCCTGAGGAAATTCTCACAGAAGGATTTCGCACAGCTTCTCGCCATGTCGTCATCAGCTGTTGGCATGAGTTTGGAGCTTAGAACCTGGAAGAGATAAGCATAATCAATCATTCCAACACTTTCGGCAGAAAGTACTCCTTTACAAGGCAAAACCTTCAGGAAACTTGAGCAAGAATCTCTGAACTGTTACACATTATTTTCTCTCCAGAACTATAAGCGGCTTCAGTTTCACAATTAAGATAAACACATTTCCCACATTCTATTTAATTAGGAAAAAAATCTGTTCAGTTCTAAAGAAAGCCACCATGTTGTTCTTCTTTTGAAGCTGGCAAATTGTCAAAGATTCAGGCCCTCACACTCAAGAGAACAGACGATTTTATGTGATACGCTAGAGATGACCCTAGCCTGCCCCTTTGGTAGTACTGAGGCGGAAGCCAGGGTCCTACCTACACTGGGCAAGCATGCCGCCACTGAGCTACATCCCGAGCCTTTTTATTTTCAAACAGGGTCTTGCTGAGTTGTTCAGGCTGGCCTTGAACTTCTAATCCTCCTACCTCAGCCTCTCGAGTAGCTGGCACTGCAGGTATGTGCCACCACACCCGGCTCAGAAATGTTCGGAAAGCACCTAAGTTTCATAAAACTGCCCAATATTTACCCTATCCAACGAACTATGAGCCATGGACTAGGCACACGTATCTTACTTTATGAATGAGGTGTCTGTCTGGGACTGGAGAGGTTAAGGGACCGCTCACTGGAGGTCACGACTGCAGTCTGTAAGAAGCGCCCAGCCCTTCCTTCTCTCACATGGCAGTACACACCTAAGGAAAGCTTAACTGAATACTTGGCAGGGCAGTGAGTTATTTTAGACAAAGAATTATACTACAGCACAAGGCTACACATTTAATTCATATTTTCATTTCATCAACTACTAGATAAGAGACTCTTAATACGCAATTTTCCCGTCTGCTTTAGTCATGATCAGTCAAAGGCAGATAAAAATTACACAGTAAATAATATCTTACGTAGTCACAATTATTTAAAAAAGATCTCTTACCACCTCAGTTCTAAATTAGGTAATAGTTCAAGATCCATCTCCAGCCTAAAAACATGTTTCTATAACCCTATGAGCTTTAAGAGCTTGGATGATGAAGGTGGGGTTTTGTTAGAGATGCTTTCCTTTCAGGTGCTCTCGAAAGAGGGCGACTACTGCACGGGAAAAGGGGAGCCCTCTGGGTTCGGGACTTCCCATGCCTACACAGCTCTGCACCCATCACCCATACCTGCTCCCACACCTGACACACACCAATTAGTGAAGATGAAGATTTCTTCAAAACAACATGAATTTGGAGTAGCCACTCTGAAGCTTCTTGGTGGGCAAACATGAGTTAATGAACCAAATGCAAGCAAATCAACATTTTGGGTAATAGTAAAAATATACGCTTTGGGGGAGGAGTTAGGTTTTCCAAAAATATTTTATGTATCTAAAACAAAACACACCTATCAAATGAATTCTTAAGTTTCCCAAAAGTCCTAAAATCAGAGATATTTTACTAGATATTTACTTAGAATTTCAGCCCTAAGACAATGTAATTCAGGAGATACAATGCAAGCCAGACTGCTGCACCACTGATTTTTTAGTGCCCTCTAAAGAGGGAATTAAAAATTGTATCTTAACTTTTTGAGACAATCATTCCAAAGCAAATCAAAGACAAATGTTGTGACAACCCTAAGATGCAAACATTATAAGATTAAACTGGCCACAATTTTCTGTTTTGGAATATTGCAACTATTTTTAAATGCCCATATTGAATAGGAACATGTTTCATTTTAAAATTAGTTACTAAATATATTTTCCTTTTGAATTCAATACATCTTTTCACAAAAATGATTAACAAGGGCAGGGGATTTAGCTTAGTGGTACAAGTGCCTGCCTGGCATGCATAAAAGAATGATTAACAAGAAGAGCAGAAACATGAATTATACGCCAGTCTTACACTCTGATGAAATAAAATTTAGAACGCCAAGTACCCTTTCACCAATTAAGACCTTTGCTGCCTGAAACTCACTCGAAACACAGTGTACACAATATAGTTAACATCTCATCAAGCCTAAGTAAGGCTGTTTCGGCACCTCTGTGGTTTCTTCAATGAACAGATGTAAAAAGTCATGCAGCACTTTACTTTCTACAGGTGTGAGTGACACAAGAGACTGAGCCATCTTTCTCCACAAGCAGCAATCTGCAGCTGGTCACTTTCCCACTTTGTCTACGCTTTGCTTTCTAAACTTGGTACATCCAGCCTCCCTTATGTCTTACTCCTGAGATTATTCTCAACTCTGATCTCTAACAACCACAATGACTTACACACAGTAAGCATTTGCACTGTTTTACTATTTGCAGTGTAAATATTTCATTAACTAAAGCTGCTAATTTATGCCTACTTTCAGGAAGGTAATTGTAATGGGTTGTATGACTATCCTCTCCAAAATTCCAACCCTGGAACTGTAACTCTCAGTGTGATAGGGACTGGAGCTTTTGGGAGATGATGAGTCATATGGATGGAAACTTTCATGAATGGGATTAATGTACTTCTATAAAAGAACACAGTTGATAAGAACCAGCAAGAGGGCCCGCACCATACACTGAATGGCTTCCACTAGGAGTCCCTAGCCCGAGACTACAAGTAGTAAGTGTTGGTTGTTGAAGCCACTATTTAAATCTATAGAATCTGGTATGAATAGACGAGGATTATAATAAATGTAAGTTTTCTCTAGTTCTAATAGTTTTTTTTTTTGGTACTGGGGACTGCACTCATGATCTTGTGCATGCCAAGGCTAAATTTCCAGCCCTCCTAATAGCTTTTTTAACCTTAAAATGACAATGTTAATGTGCTTCCTAGTAAATTCTTTGTAAGTCTTGACTAGTGGCAGAAAGCTGTAATAATTTTCTTTTAAAAAATTAGAATGTAGTTAGCTAGGAAAGTGGGAGATAGACATAAAAACTTCCAGAGGAAGGTAATGATGCATATGTAACATAAGACCTCCTAATTATTCATATACTATTCTGCAAATATAACAATGAATCTAAGTACAAATTGGAAAAAGAAAAAAAAAAAAAAAAAAAAAAACAAACAAACCTGAGAACTGGCTAGCCATGGTGACACATGCCTGTATTCCCAGCACTAGGGAGGCTGATGCAAAAGGATCAATGTGAGTTCAAGGCCAGCCTCGGTTACAAAGTGAGTTCAAAGCCAGCCTGAACTATAATATTGAAACCCTGTCTCAAAAGACAAAAAAGGGACTGGGGTTTTAGCTCAGTGGTATGCCTGGCTGGCAAGCATAAGGTCATGATTTCAATCCCTGTTACCAAAAAACAAAACACACACACACAAAAAAGGCAAAACAATTTTCTATTTTTTTCAAAACCCATTTTTTAAGACATCATCACATAATACTGTAAAAGAAACTTTTACTAATTTCTGGCATCGGAAAACATGAATCTGCAAACCAAAATGGACCTGCTGAAATGAAAAGAAACAAGGTTTCTTACTTCCAAGTTGTAGAGTACTCTAAAGGTAGACATTCCGGGAGCAAAAGACCGAAACAGACTTTCCAAGATGGAACTAGCACTTGACTGATGCTGCTGCTTTGAAGACAGGGATGGAGATTTTGAAGACTGAGAACTTGATTCGGACAACAATGTTTTCTAAATTTAAAAGAATGAAAAAAAAAAAAAAAAAGCATGCCTTAAAAGCACAAATTAAAAACAGATACCGATCCACATTCTAATGTTTTCTTCCTTAATATAAGCCATATCAATGAAATTTTCTGAAAAACACCTTCATAAAACCATAACAAAATGTCACACTACATTATACAAATTCTAAGTGTTGCATGGTACTCCAATACTACATACACACATTTAATAATGTACGTTAAGCAACACTAGCAAGGTCATTTAAAGTTGTTTTTACAACCTATACTTCTAGATATTGATAAAGAAATTATTGTACTGTTAAGGCAGTAATTTTGAAAATTTCTTTTTAGCTAATAATAGTGATGTATTTTATAACTGCATTACTTCTCTTCTTTCTCATATTAGTACCTAACCACAGATGACATGATTGAATTGATCTAAATTTCAACCACTAAAACAGAAAAATTAGTTCTAACAATTTTTTCTAATTTATTCTGAGAATAGTTAAACAATATGACAGATAAAATACATTTTCTCTGTACCGATATCTCTTAAGGAACAAAAAAATTAAAATGACCATCCATTCTTAAAAATAACTCAGACATGCACCAATCAGAGGCTTGTGGTGAAAGAAAAGCATCTGAACTGAATCAGAACCAGCCTAACCCTGGACTATCATAACTTCACCTCTGTGGCTTGTTTTCTAATCCACACCATAAGCCGGGAGCAGGAGACAACATCAAAGGCTCTTTCTGTTTCTACATTTGATGTCATCACTGACTCTCTGGAGACTTTTGAAGCGAACATGAAGTTCTAAATTCCACTTATAGCAAAGGTATTGTTTTCAAAGACAAAATATGGGAAAGATGCTAGGATGTGGCCTTACTGTGAGTTTAGCTTCTGTCTGTTTTCCGGCTCCCCATGAACAAGTCTCAGCCTGGTAAAATGACTATTACAGATACAATACCTTCCTGCCTAAAGAGTCAAGCTGATCAAGGGCTTCCTGAATGGCTGGATCCGTTGGTATCAAGAGCAGAAGCTTTCGTACTCGGAGAGTTATCCTGAAAATTTTTAAATAAAAATTTTGTTCCCATAAGCCAGTTTCAGTAACAGATTCATTAATATGAACTATAAAGTAAAACACCTGTGAATTCACAAGTTATATGGTTCTTTAACCTTAGTAACTTTCCTTCTCAAACTTCACAAACATTTCTGTGTACCTTGGTTCCTCTAGATTGGCGAGCTGATAAAGCATGTCAAATACATTACACACAAGAGCCATCACCACACCAGGGAGGGATTTCTCCTGAGGAAAAAAACAAAAGTATTATAAATATACATCTTCCAAAAGAATCTTCTCTTTTTCTACCAAACAGCCATGAAATTCCTATTTCTTAAAGTCTAGCCACTGTAGAGTTTTAGGGAAGCGCAGTGCTCAGTGGACAGAGGGCACACAGTGAGGAGTTCCTCCCTTCCACCGGCCTGGGAAGGGACGAAGGTGCCGGAGAGGTATGACAGGCAGTGCACAGCAGCAGCCCCGACAGCTGACTGCAGCTCCTCTGCAGCCAAGTGGGTCGTGATGGACTTGGAAGCGAAATTAAAGGAATATACACTCAGTCACCCCAACACAAAAGCATGTGTGAGCTAAGCTGCTACTTCTGAAGATCAGAAAAGATGAAGTGGATATAACTGCAAAGAGATAAAGATGTGACGAGCGCACTATTTTCTGGCTCTGAGGAGTAAAACACTACATCATAGAATATATTTGTACATGAGAAGATTTTTAATAAATTCACAATAAATGAGAGTTTAAAATATAAAGTGAAGAGGCTTCGTGTATTGTTTTTGTTAACTAACCATCATAATACTACTGAGATTTACATACACTATGTCTCTAACTTAGGACTAAGTTCCATTCCTGGAAAACTGTAAGTTAGATTTGTTCATGAGCCAATGGTGAAACTTACACGGTCCACCTATGGAAGTCAGCAACTGGAGAATTTGTTAGCGGCTTACTGTCGGAGTACGGCTACTTTAAAACCCCTCAACATTCATACTAAACCTGAAAAGCTCTTTGGTATGTATATACAGCTTATGCTATAAACTAGGACACAGTCACATGGAAAAACTTACATGTGACATTAAAATACATACCATGAAAATAAAACCCCTATGCACCCTTAAATACCTTTCCTTTCCATGAGCCTTCTCCCTAGACAGTAAAAGCCGAAGTGCAGAACGTCATATTTAGCTTTGTACCCCGGAGCCTGCTCAGTGCTAAGATAAGACAGACACACTGACACAGGGTGCAGACCAAGCCCTGACTGAGTACCCCGGAGTCTAGGCCCTGCGGAGGTGCTGGGGAGCAAAACACACAGAAGTCTGTTTCTGTGGAGCTCATATTTTACAGGAGGAATGAAAAACAAGAACAATAAATTTTACAGCATGTTAAACAAAAAGTAAGGGAAGGAAAGTGCAGCACTCAGAGTAGGAACAGGTTGGAGTCCTGGCGAGGCCTCAGAGCCGCTCCGAGAAGCAGGCGTGTGCAGCCGGAGGCCCAGGGAAGGGAGGGCACAGGCAGGCGGTGCAGGAGGGCGTGAGGGCAAGTCAGGGAACCAGGGAAGGCAGACATAACGAGGGTAGTGGGGAGCCAGGCAGCGCGCTTCCATGTCCCTGAAGGCTCTGAGATTCAGAAGACTGGTAAAGTTTGACATCTTCTCCCAGACGAACCTGAGCCACTCAGTGGCACGTTCCAGAGTCAGAACTTGTCAGAGAGAACAGAGCATGATCACTTGCCCCGGGCCGGGGATATAGCTCACAGGCCTAAGGGCCTGCCTGGTAAGTGCAAGGTCCTGAGTTCTAACACCAGCATGAAAACAAAGGAAGGAAGGAAGGAGGGAAGGAAGGAAGGAAGGAAGGAAGGAAGGAAGGAAGGAAGGAAGGAAGGAAGGGAGGAAGAAAACAAAAACCCCTAACCCTTAAGTTCGGGCCGAACTTAAGATGCTAACTGCGACCTTCCTGGTGGTAAACGACAGCCAGTCCCTCAGTACCTGCTCCATGGCATACGATGAGCTGAAGGCCCCGCCACTGCTGCTGCTGGAGCTGGATGAGGAGTCTGCTGAACTCCCAGAGGGCGTCCCACTGCCAGAAGTCTTCACTGTGAGGACCTGCTCATCAGAAAAGCCCAGCTGGTGGAGCAGCTTTTGGTCTTTATTCACTGTCAACTGCAAAAAATGGTTTCCTAATTACCAAGAGGGACAAGAAGATGAACGTGTTCACAGCAGGCTAAGGGCCAAAAGCTGCTATGGCACCTACCAGGCTATCATTGGTGAATATCTGTATATTATCCACAGGACAGCATAACTGCTTGGCTATCTTCCACCGCACACTCCCGATGGTTTCGTTACTGTGGGCCTGCAGAGGACAATCAACACTGCTGGGACAGAATTCACTCACTTGTTCGTGAAACAACTGTGAGCTCCTACCACGTACATGGCCGCTTTCTGGAAGGTGGAGCAGAGCCGAGAAGCAATCTAAAGCGAAGTCCTTGGGATTCCCCTCACTGCCACTGACCGATCCAGTCCCCACCATTCTTATCACGTGGCACGGAATAAACCCCAAGCCTTGAGCACAGGCCTTCCAACCTCCTGACTGCAGCGCTCCACCCACACAGCCACCTGTCCTCCTTTTTTGTACTCATCCTCTGCTCCCTTTGCCTGAAATGCTCTTCCAAGGACTTACATTCAAGTCTCTGCTCAAATGGCAGCTCAGAGACTTTTCCAATCCGTCTTCATCTAAAATCTTATGCATATTCAGAACTCTCTACCAATTTTGCCTGCTTTACTTACTTCTTGTTAACACTTATCACTACTTAGCAGGATACATTTACTTATGTATCTGCCCGTACCCCTTAGATTCCTGTCATTTCAGGTCTTTATTATAAATCTGCTTATCAAATAGCTTTAAAAATCATCATTCATGTATCTCTATCAACGCTCTTTTTACGAAAGTAACGAGACCGTGAACATGGCTCCAGAGCTTAGTTTAACCTACCTCTACAGTGAATGTATCTTTGGTAGACTCATAAGTAACATTAAGAGTTAAAAGATGTCCATGAAATGAGGCACCATGAGGTAGAATAGTTCGTGGAACCGAGTAAAAATCCTTGAAAGATACAAATCAAACAAGTCAGATGGACAGTGGTGCTACTCAAAGTCAGAAATACCCCCCAGCACTTTTAATCTCCTCGTACCGTGAAGCTGCTTAATGAGAGGCCTACCTCTATAGTAATCACGTAGCGCTCTGCCAGAAGTAGCAGTCTCTCAATTATTACAAGCTTGGTGGACCTATGGATTAAACAAAAAGCTAAATGTATTCGGAATGAATTGCTAATTTGAGCTCAATTCCAATCTGTTTCTTTTTTCTTTTTTTTTTTTTTTGTCTTTTTCATTTTTATCGGTACCGGGGATCGAACTCATGACCGCCTGCTTGCAAGGCAGGTGCTTATGCCGCTGAGCTAAACCCCCAGCCCCTATTTCCAATCTGTTTCAACAACATTACAATCACAGTCAGTGCTCAATGGTCAAAGATTGAAATCTGAAAATACTACACTGTTCTTTCAACCAAATGAGGATGTGGTTCACCCTGCTCATGGCTGCAATGCACAGGCCAGCCAGGGAGAAGCCTGCCCCTTTCTTTCCTTTTCTTCCCTTATTTTAATCAGCTGTTCCATGTATAGTCAACCTCGGTCTTCAGGCCTAGCCCTCCCATAACGAACAATCAGAGTTTAATTCTTATAATTCTACAACTAAAATATGCCATGAAACTCTACAAATACATGAAATCTGACAAAGTCCTGATTGCCTGAAAATGAGAAGACAAATACAAACCAGTAAGTATACCATAAATAAAAACTGATAATTGAAAATGAAATCTGTGGTCTCTTTTGGTTGAAGACTATCATTTGAAAAAAATAGCACTGCGATATTTAACAGCTTATAGAGGCACAGTTTCATATATTATTAAAGAGAACACCATACCCATCAATATTAACAAACAAAAATTCAAGTGCCCTTAATGTAAGTGGTTATGATTCCAGAAAGTCTACATATTTCAAATAGGTGCATTTCTAAAATTAGAGTGGTATCACCATTTTCTAACAGCTGGAATAGTTTTCCAATAAGCAATTTAGGAAATGTCTTGTTTGCTTGTTTGGCTGTTTTTGGAGAGAGGGTCTTGCTATGTAGCTCAGGCTAGTACAGGCTGGCCCTGAACTTGCACCAACCCTCTTGGCTTGACCTCCTGATGCTGGGATTACTGCTGTGTGCCACTATATCCAGCACCTGGAAATTTTATTTTAGAAACAGTTGATTAAACATATTTTAATAGTTACACTTAATTCTAAATTCTTCCAGTTTATGGGCAAGAACTATAACCTTGAAATTCAGATAGAAAATATCCAAGTGCTATAATAATTTAATTGTGAACTGCTATAATTATGTCTCAATAATTAATAAAATCACAGGTAGTTCTGCAAAATACTACACAGAAGAAAGCATAACCACCCCTCCTCCACGAAAACAATTTCGCATCCTGGAAAGTTGAAAACTAATGATAAACTACAATGTCTTACTTCAAATTCAACTTTGAAATTACACATTCTTAGTAATTCTATGTAAAAGCTTGTAATAAAGCTTTGAAATATATGAATTTTCTGTGCAGTCAGCCACATATGAAATGATCCAGAATAAAAAGCACCTAGTGAAGAGATAAGACAAGAGTGCACTGATGTAAGGAAGCAGGGTTTGGAAACCCTAACCCAACAGCTCAGAAGTGATTTATCTGGCAGATGAGTCATTAAGGAACTGAGTAACAGAGATGAGTTAATCTTACAAACGTGTGATAAGGAATTCTTAACAAAAATTCTGGGTGAAGGATATTTCAGACATACTTCCAAGAACATGAGCATGGGAAAAGCATGTTAGTACTCTTTGCATGAACTAAACCTGTAACTCCTTCTGCCACTTAAAAATGAAGTCTGAGGGAACGGAGTTTTATTTACTTCCTCTGTATTAAAAGTAGAGCTACACAGGAACAACTCATTTTTAAAAAAGGTAAAAAAGTAGAATATGGGAAGGATATTGTTTTGATTTCCCTTTCAAAGGAAAGTTTAGAAAAGAAAAAGCAATATCCCCAGTAGTGACTACAGAGATGTAAATCAGGTGTTTCCAGGAGGAAAGAACGACTATGCAAGGATCCCTCACTAGAGGGCAGCAGAGCGCTGCGAGGAAGGCGAACCCCAGCAAGGGTCAGGCACCAACCTGTGGAGCTGCTCACCTGCCTGGAGGCTCACAAACCCCAGGAAAGTATGCTAGTTACTTCACCATGATGCTTCCAAGCATGCACTGTTTCTTTTTACTATTTTAAAGAGCTCAGCAAACATTTAAACTTAGATTTCACTCATATCTGAAAGCTCTAAATAGCAATGTGAGCTCTAAGTTTTAACACAAACATCTGGGATAAAAGCTCTCATTAAAATTATTTTAAAATAATTTCATTTACTATTGTATTTTAATTGACTTAAGTTTTTTTTTTGGGGCGGGGGGATCTTTTTGAGACAAGCTCTCGCTGTACAGTTCAAGCTGGCCTTGAGCTCACTTTGTAATCCAGGTCTTGAACTCGCAAGGACCCTCCTGCCTCAGCCTACGTGCTGGGATGATAGCCACGTGCCACCATCCCAGATTTCATTGACTAAGATTAATCACATGCATCATTTTAACAGGATCACCATCTTTACAAAGACTTTTTTTTTGCTTACCTCATTAGTACCCTAGATTTGACTAATTAAGAAATTATTGGTGGGGAAACATTGTATTATATAGATAATGTTATATAATAATATATTACTGTATAATATTTTGTTACTATGTGTATGATGAATAAATCTTTATTCCATCTAAACATATGACTTGTGTTACACAAAATGAAAGTACTGTAAAATACATAAGAGGGATACTTGGCCAGTGGCACTTGTCTACAACCCTGGCTACTCAGGAGGCTCATGTGAGGCCAGGAGCCCCAGACCAGCGTGGACCACATAAGGACGGCTTCCGCTTCACAGTGACAGAACTTGGCTACAAGGCAGGAAGGAGCACAGGGCCAGAGCAATACTTGGGTATTTCTGGAGACGACCTACAGACTGTTAAGATGTGGATTTGGAGGTGTATGAAAGGAACATATGATTAATAGTAGTAGTAGTAGTACTATAGATTGAACTCATGACTTCATGCTAACCAGGTAAGTGCTTACATCGCTGAGCTAAAGCCACAACCAAAATATTATTCCATAATATGAAAAAACCCATAGTTAAGAAACATCCACAGAGGGGGAAAAAGTTAAAAACTCCGCTACATATTTATGTGCTGCACATCTGTGTTTACCTCTGCAATCACTCACCTATAGGGAGACTGCACTGACGTTGCTACCGTTGGCATGGCTGTTGCTGTAAGCATTTTTGTTGCTCTGGTCACAGCATGTGTTAGAGTGGGCCCACCAAGGGCTGAGCTGGCTGCCTGTAAAATAACAAGTATTCGCTCCGTATCAGGGCTCCTCAGCCTGGACTCCACTGACATACGGGGCATCATTCTGTTACAGAAGGCCATCCTAGACATTCATTGCAGGACATTCAGCAGGATCTCTGGCCTCTGACATATTAGGTCCTAGCTAGACCCTTTCTAGTTATGACAATCAAAAGGTCTCTAAACATCACTAGCAGACAAAACCAGATCCAGGTAAGAACTACTGCCCCACATATGTTAATACTTAATGCTATCTTATATAGGCAGATGTAAAATACTATAGAGATTACAGCACATACTGATCACCAGAAGATTAATTTATTGACTGTTGGGGGCAGTAGCACTTTATGCTTTAGGACTTCATCAGATATAAAACTTAAGCATAAATCTACAGTAAAAATAAATGCTTAAAGCTTTAATCATCATGTTAGAAATAAGGCACTAAAAATACATATGACACAATATTAAACCGCAAGCTTTTTATGGACAAATACAACCAATATCATTTGCAACTGAGTTTCCCACTGTGATCTTTAATAGTATTTATTGTATAAACTTCGTGAAATGTGAAAGAAAGCAAGTGCTTAAATAAAGTTTCTAGATAGGAAAAGGGAAAAAAGACTATTAGAAATGTGGAATGTATAGGAGACCTGCTTTCTGAATACTTTAAAAGGGAGGTGGGCAGTACAGGAAGAGAGGTGGTAAGAAAGAAAAGGAACGATCGCTTAGCATATTTCCGACGGTATCTGTTCTCTACGCCTCAATATGGTGCTCTTGACAAATTCTTCAATAGTCTCTAGCTGTAAACATCAGCATTATGCTATCTAAAAATATACAACTTATCAAATGAATAAAGCATTCATTTTAAAGACAGATTAACAAAACTTGTTACTCACTTCTAGTCTTGTGTAGCAGTCAGCAATGAATTTCTTATGTAAAGACACTGAATCCTAAAAGTAGGAACCATACAGAAATTAACATCAGGCTTTGGTATTCAATTATAATTATTAAGAAAAAAAACATCAAAATAAGTATTTTGGGGCCAAAGATCACAACCGATCAATTAAAATATATATAAGTTTCTGCTTTTCTGTGTGAGTAATTTCTTTCCTTGGAGACTCACCTTCTTTAACCTAGGATTTAGATTAATATAACTATAGTTTATGATTAACTGAATAGCTTCATTAGCAATTTCTTCATCAGGTGATTCCATGGCTATTTTCCAAATGAAATCCATTCCTATTAATTCCAGCTTTTCTACATACTATTCAAAAGAAAAAAGTTAAAGTTACACACAAACTATACAGCACATTGGGATTACAAAACTATGGAAAATTATTTTCTATTACTACATTGAGCCTACACCTCTTTAGGTCAGTATGAATTAAAACAGCAGGAAACACTGTATAGACATGGAACTCTGAAAAAACAACCAACCACAGGAGTGCTGGGTAATCTCTACGGGAACCATGAAAGAGATAAAGATTTTTTCCAAACATTTCTGAAACACGGCAGACCTTTACTCACATAGGCTGTTGAAACAACTCAGGAATAAGATGGGTACCATCTTCATAAGCTTTCCTTCAAAAAGAAAAGGAATCAACCTACAAGTGGTTACCCATTCTTGGAACTTAATCTGGTTTTTCCAACACTGTGGAGAGGTAGCAAAATCCAGGCCCTACAAGATTTTGTAAGTATCATCCCAGCAAGCTAGCTCACAAATGAAAGAGATTTAAAAAAGAAAAAAAAAAGAAAAAAGTGTTTGTCTTTCTTTTTTAAGGACCACACGTAAGCATAAACATAAGCTGTATACAGTGTATGCATCTCCATTTTCCTGCTTCACTGTCTATTCCTAGTATTTTTCCCTCCAATCCCTGCCTTTCAGTTGCCAAGAATAAAGATTCTATTTCTTGTGAGGCGGTGTGAACTGCTGGATCTGATGCACTGACTCCTGCCCTCCAAGCTGACCCAGCCGTAAGAGCCCACAACTGCCACAGCTCAGCAAGATGCCGAGCGTGGTGGGATAAGCCAGCAGAGCAGCAACAGCTGGTGTGGCCGAGGAGGGGCGCTAGTGGGGCAAGAAGCCTCTGCTTAAAAACAAAAAAGAAAAGCATGTGTTCTCCCAGTTAGTACACATGTATTTTTGCTGAATATCGAGTTTTACAAGATAATTCAAATTATCTCGATTTGAGAGTAATGTACTTACCAATTGAGCTCCTTGTCTTTTTAATCGATGATCACAGAGATTCACATTTTCAAAAAAAGTCTTAAATAAATTAAAACCTGAAATTATAGAAAATTTATACATTCTAAGTAACACATAATCAGTGAAAACGTAAATATAAATTACAAGGTAAAAACATAAAATGCTTCATAATTTGTCAGCTATAATATTCAAAGTGCACAGCGCAAGTCACGGTGACAAATGTCTGGGGCACCAGCTATGGGAGGCTGAGGTGGGAAGGTTGCTTGAGCCCAGGAGTCAGGAGCTTAAGAACAGAGTGAGCACCAATGCAAAAGTACCCAAAATACAAACAAAATAAAACAATAGAAACCAGTATGTGTAAGAAGCAAAAGGACATATAGGTAAGCTGGAGTTAATCAAACTAACTTTTGTGATGCAAAGGACACTATCAAGCAAATTAAAAGAATCCACGGAACAGGAGGATTTGCAAATTATGTATCTAATAAAAAGCTAATATCCAGAATATATAAGGAACTTGCACAAATCAGTAATAAAAAGACAAATAACTCAAATAAAAAACAGGAAAAAATTCTGATTATTAAGCAAGGTGTGGTGGCACATGCCTATATTCCCAGCCTCTTGGGGAGGAGGAGGAGGATCACAACTTCAAGGCCAAATTATAGCACAACTTATAGCACACACAAAAAAAAAGAATAGAAATTTCTCCAAAGAATACAGCCAATAACCGTATATCAAACAGATGCTCAAAGTCATTAGTCATGAGGGAAAAGCAAATCAAAACTACAAGATACCATGGCATGTGCACTAGGATGTCTTTACAAAAAAAAAAAAAAGAAGACAGTAACAAGTATTAAGGATGAGGAAAAAATGAAATTCTCATACACTGCTGGTAGGATTATAAAATGGTTCAACCACTTTTCAAAACCAGTTTGGCACTTCCTCAAAGATTAATGAGATGTCACAGCAATCTGACACTGAGACACTTACCCAAAAGAAATGAAAACACAGAAACCTTAAAGTGAATGTTTATAGGAATCTTACTGGTTAAAGTCCAAAATGGTAACAAACAAACTGCTATCCACTGAAGAATGGAGACACAAAATTCCTCAGTGGAATGTTAATACATTCCTAAAATGGAACAAAGTATTGATACATGCTATAACCTGGGAAGCTTTGATGTTTAACATAACAAAAAAAAAGCCAAGTGTAAACAGTGTGAGTCCAGTTATATCAAAGGTCCAGATTAGTCCACTCTGTGAAAAAAGAAACAGATTAGAACTGAGGCAAGGAATAAAACATGACTGCCAACGGGGAGAGAACTTCCTTTCGGAGAGATGAGAGTAAGCAGAGATTACAAAGCAGTGATGGCCACACAACTTTGTGAATATACTAAAAGCTGCTTAAAACTAAAAACTGGAAGGAGTTCTATACTTTGATAAAGTTTCACTACAATAAGCCCTTTGTACTAAGGAATTTCAAAAAGACAACTTCAACTGTCAAGCCATAATTGTAAGACACCATTTATGTAAAAAGTAATTTATTTGTGTATATATCTGTGTACGTGTCCAGGGAAAATTCTAGAAGATGTATCAAATTAACTGGTTGCTTCTAAGAAAGAGGCTTAGGAAGATAGGGAAGAATAAGAACTAAAGTAAAAATATTAAGTTTTTTCCTACCATTCATAGTGATTTCATAAGACTCTAATTTCAGAATTTTCTCCTTGAAGAGCTGCTGCTGCACGTCGCTCTCTAAATCGTGCTGCCCTTTTGTAAACCACTCAAAGCACAGCTGTGGATTAAGAGAAGAGTTCCTAGGTCAAGCCAAAGCTGCTTCAGGCACATACCCAGCCCGCAACCCACCATGGAAAGACCTACTATTCTTAATACTCTTAAGAGCTTGCGTAATTGAGAAGATACCACTCAAAAGTCAAATGTTTGGAATTCCGGAAGTAAATAAACAAAATGTGCACCCTACTTTTCACTGAAATTTACACTGGGGTTTTCCCACCAGTATTCATGAAGGCTTACGGACAGCCAGGCATCATCATGTACTGAGTTCTTTTAACAATCTGATGAAATAGTTAGTAATCTTGCTGTAAAATGAAATGAGGGAACTGAGAATCATTATTTGCAAACATGAAAGTTCTGTTCTGATTTCATATTTTTAGTTGTCTAATTATAGTTTTAAAAGTCTGTCCAAGTGCTGATTCTTCTTTAATTGTTTCTGGAAGTGTAACATTATTCTAAGGATGTCAAAGGTTTCTAGTTGTAACTTAAAATTAACTTCACTGGAGGGAGGAAAATTAAATAGAATTATTTATCTGTATGCACTTGGCTGAATAAGGCATCCTATCCAGAATGCTATCAAAAGTATTAAAGTGTTCATACATTTATTTACTTATATTATGGATACATATTAGACAAAATATTTCCAGCATTTAATAGTTTCCAGCCTATATTATTTATGCTTATAAACAATAAACTGAAGCATTTAGAAACTGAAGACATGAGACATATCAAAAATGTGAAGCAAACAACAGTACAATATTTAAGCATTTCTGTGTTATTTTACCCACATCTTCCTACCTCTCTATCTAGTTCACAAACATCCTGGCCAGTTACAAGGCACTCCCAGATTTCTTTAGCACGATTCCAACCCAGATACAGGGTAGCTTCTTGCAAGAAAAATGCCAGGAATTTCAGATGTGCCTCTAAATACTGCAAAAAGAAATAATGCTCATCAGTTAACTCTAGGTATTCTTAACTAAAAGAAACATTAAAATGAAACAGAAGCTTGCATTTTAAAAAACAAGTCTGTTTATTCAACCCTTACATATATAATTTAAGATAATATCAATGGGAGAAATCTGTTCACTAGTTGACAGTCAATGGAACAGAAGGTACCTCAAGTCTGTTACAAATCTGGTTGATCTCAGAAGTAAAAACAATATAATTTCAGTAATTTCAAAGTAAAATACCACAAACTCACAACTAGAGACTTAGGATACTTTCTAATTTTTTAAAATCAGATTTTGTTGGTACATTTTACATATACATAATGATCACATTCATAATAGAGAATTTGTACCTGTACATGTTATAAGTTGTATTCTTTCCTGAATCCTCTACCCTCCCTTCAAGCCCTTATTTTTCTAATTTTCAAACAACATTATTAACCAACTGATTTGAAAAGTAAAACCCACTACCCACACAAGACAGTTATTACCTCAGATCAAAGACAAAGAGCTTTTTTTTACTTTATTATATGCAATTCTTAAGTGAATAACTGAAAGATTAACTCACAAATGCCATTTGCTAAACTTTATCTTGGATTGCCTATAGTCAAGACACAAAACTGTGCTGTCACTGCACAGACAGCTAATAGTTACACTAACAAGTATTACTATTACAGTTTAAGGGGGGAAAGGCCAAATGAATGCTCTAAATCATGAAACAGAAAAGCAATGCCTGATACCTCCCGGTAAGTGTATCGGCCATCCACGAGTGTCACTCCAGTCAGGCCCCCGGGCCCAGCCACAGCTGCTGCAAGCCGATGACAAGCTATCAAACTTCCCGTTACCAATTTCACTATTTCAAAATTTTTCTTCAAGTCTTGAATAATGCTCTTAGCAGAAACAATGAAAAGAAATGTGGTATGACAATTTGCAGTTATTTTAGGATATAACCCCAGATGAGAAAGTGCTCACTCATATTTCTTATAGCAACTATTATCAATCTGGAGTGGACATTCACTAGGGAACTAATAAACTTGTTTAATATTTTATCTTATTTTATTTGCATGTAAAAGTGATTCCTCATTTAAAAAAAATTCAAAATCTTTGAAAAGAGTTATTTCACATCCTATATACATTTCCAGATTTTTCTTTCCAAACCTATCACACTCAGAAAGCTTTAGCTCCTTAGGCAAACTAATCTTGCAATACCAAGCATGTCTTTGAGTCTTTTCAAATTTCTAAAACACCCTTCCAATTTTTTAAAGTGGGCTTAATTATTTCAACAAATTAGACAGAAAAGGAGTTAGGGATGCATCAAAAGAAAAGCTTCACATACATGAAAGCAGAACGCTTAAGCTCAAGATTACATAAACCAACTACATTAATAATCATAAAGACATGAGTGACTACATAAACTCACAAATTTTAGCCATGTTTTATTAGAAGGTTACATAAGTAATTCTATAATAAATAATCAAAGTTACTATCCTCTTACCTTGTCTTGTTTTTGATAGGTTTGCTTTATGAATGAACGTGTAATTTCATGGAGCTGACGCAAAGCTGGTACCACCCATACAAACTGGGGATTATTAAGCTGAGATGACTGAGTGAAAAAGGAGCTGCATTAATTAAATTTAGAAACAAATGGAAGGCTCATTTATCTGCTACAAAAAATGTCCAAGGCAATTAGGTTTCACTGTTATGCATTCTATATTTTTCCTCTCTATATTGCTCATTCATAACTATCTCCATGCACTCATAATTTAGTCTTCTTATTCTGCATGCAATTTCCTATGTCAAGAACTGCAAACAGGAGTGGATGTGAAGTGACAGTAAATGTACAGGGGTGTATCAGCAAAAACAGACAACGAGGAATTAGCAACTTCAGAGGATAGACTGAGTAGCACAGGGTGCCAAGACATGTTGACACAATAAACTGATGGCAAAGCTTAGCAGTGAACTGGCTGGCAAGTAAAATGGAGTTAGGAATGGCCTCTCTAACTCTATGAAAAGACATCAAGGACCTGACCCACATACTGACGTAGACTAAATACTGAAGAAACACAACTGCTTGTATTTCCTAGTTAGAACAATTTCCTAAGAGGTAATTCTGTTTTTATTACTAAGGTGTAGGGGGTATGGTTCAGAGGCAGAATACATGTGTGCATGTGTGAGATCCTGGGTCTAATCCTCAGTGCCTCCCATTACCATTTTTATTAACTTTTACAAACCTTTTAGATTGCCCTTTATCTTTTCTAAATATTTCAAAAGTATTACAGTATTTCTGAAATTGTTACTTGACAATTCAGCCTTCACAGTACAGTATGGAAAAGTCTGATTTAGGCCATAATTTTTTTTTAAAGAGAACTGGTTTTGAATAAAATAGCAACTTTTGAACTATAAAATTTCAATATAAAATTTGGTAGGAGTATTAGATTAAGCATTATTAGTCAACCAAAAATTGATTAAAGCTTTAAGCCCATAGCATTTATTTAAAAATTATTTTAAAAATTCTAGTTTTACTGAATCTGCAAAATGAAGATACTTTTGAAAAAACTACTTCTTTTGCAGGAAAGCATTCTATTACTGAATATGTAAATGTGGCCAAGCCGCTACCAAAATAATATTGTTTTCCTTGCCTCATAATGATCATGTAGTCAATTAACAAATACCATATTTCCTGGAGTCTAAGATACAGGTTTATAGATATTAACATTTCTGAAATTGACACTTCTTATATGCAGGTCAAGAGAAACTTAACAGTCACTAGGCATGAGTGGGAGTTTTTCATACAGCTATTCTTACCTGAGTACATGCAAACTTAGCTGTATACAGGAGATACCTGACATCTGAGCTGATCAGTTACTTAGTGAAAATAACAACAAAGATAGCCTTTGAGTTGAACTTGTTACTTAAATGTTATCAAGAAGATTACACAATGATACAGTGCTGACGAGCCTGTGATGTCCATTAATTAAGAGCAAAGAGAATGTCAATGGTCTCAAAGTGAAGTGTTTTCCAAAGCAGAAGTTGGTGTGATGTACTCAGGCTACATGGAGGGCTTTATCACTGAGCATTAAATGTCTGTCTTAAGTTGTACCTTAATGTAAAGGAATTGTTTAAAGTGTAGTATTCATCTCTCAGTTAAGGAAAAAGTAGTTTAAGTTTAATGAAAGAGGACAAGCACGCTAAACTCCATATTTTGATATGTCTCAAAATTATACAATCAATCTGGAAGATTCCAGAGTGATCCAAGGCACTACTGTAGATAATGACAGGCGGTGTGTCACAGGGAAGTTGTGCATAACTAGTCAAAAAGAAGCCTAGGTTCAGACTATGTATCTAAACAATGTATGGTGAGAGTTAAATCTACAGCTCTTTTTCTGCAAATTAATTAAATCTGTGATGCAGGTTGCACTAACTAGCATCTTAGGATCACAGACACAAGGTATATCTTCAAAGCCAACTACTTGTGAGTCTAGCTACAATGTTTCTGCTAAAATAAAAAAGTTGCAAAATGACAGTGATCATTTAGCTGTTGTCTAAATGATACCAACACATTACAAAAATCTGCTTTAGCAATAAGCAGATACAGTAGTATCATTATGACCTGTTAAGTCAACCATGGTTAGAATATTTTATTTTGGAAATTTTTTATTATTAAATGTAATACTAAATAAGGAAATTCTAGAATCAGAATTTAATGTCTTTTATATCGTTTTCTAAAGTTCAGCAACCAGGAAACATGTTATTTATTGCATCTTGTCTATGGCTTTATTTAAACTACTCTCAATTAAATTTTGCTTCTCCAATGCCAAAGATTGTGGTAAACATCTAATGATGTTCTGGAGTTGAAGTTTCCTAAGCAGCAATTAATGGGATGTCCAAATTAGATTCTTAATGTCAGACAACTGGTTTAGCTTGCAAACCTACGTGCAAACTGTCTTCATGCACTATTTTAAGTGACTTACTAATCTTTTAGTATTTCTAGTGATGAGGAACTCACTGTCTCAGAAGGCAATGCATTCTGTTTTCACGTAATTCTCACAAAAAAGTTCACTGATCTCTTCTTTGAAATACATCTGCAGATAGATCTCAGTTGACAGAAGTTGAATCGCACTTCTCTGTAACAATCCTCTAAGCATCTTTTAAAGAAAGCTTTCTACTTCTTGAGCTCTTATCTTTTGAAAGCTGAACATACTCATCTGTCTTGTTTTTCTAGATTTAGCCTTTTATCTGGAACCAAAGCATAAATTTTCTCATGGGAAACTGTTTTAGGGTCCCTAATCCAAAAATCTGAACTCCAAAGTGCTAAGAAACTGAAAACATTTTGATGTCAACAAGCTCAAAGTTTCCTATTTCATAGCATTTACGATTTCAGAATTCTGTGGTAAAGTATTCGCAAATATTCTAGAATGCAAAAAATCTCTGGGATCTGAAACACTTCTGGTTCCAAGCATTTCAGATAAGAGATACTCAATCTATGTAAGGGAGGCTCTGAGCACCCTCAGAGGTAAACGGGAAGAAGTAAGAGGAAGGGAACTAAAATTTACAGAAAGCTTGCAGGGACTGAGCTAGGAAGCCTAAAGATAACAACTTAATATGCAAACACTACTGACTGAGTAAAAAAAAAATATTTTTTTTTGGTTTAGTATTTTTTTTTTGGATGAGTACATTTAAAATTTTTAATTGAAGGAAAAAAGTGAAGTAAGAGGGAAAGGGTTGGGATGGACAGTGGAAGGTATAAAAGAAGCAAAGGAAAGAAAGAGGACCAAGGAGCTGAGGGTACCCTGGCAGAATCTACAGAAATAAAGTCAGAAATAAAGGTCAGAATTTCTGAACACAACACTGGGACTTGGGAATTTTATGAGTGTCAAAGCAGAGGGAAAGGGAATCAGTTGAGGGAACAGAGGAAGCTGAGGGTGGGAGGGGAATAAGAGATGGGTGATCTTGTCTTACCCTTTGCTTAGTTTCTGTGTAGCCTGGCAGGGAGACATAATTCCCAGTCAGCCCACCTTGCTGCCTGGCAGGAAAGGGCATAGCATAGAAAAACACCTTTAGTGGCAGTAAATAATTCACTCCCCTGCCTGGAGCCACATCCGTGGGGTTCTGAACTTCCCACTGCCCCCCTTCAGCAATGTGTACTTTAAAAAAATATCTGTGAAAGCACTTAGTAGCTAGCAAGTGCTATGTAAAAATGAAGGTATTATTTGGAATGGGATAATGGTACGCCACAATGTCTTTACTGGGAGCAGTGGGGAAATAAAAGAGCGAGGCTATTCCTTTCAAGTCTCACAAAATGACTCCAGAAATTTTCCTGTTACTTTTTGAGTTTTGTTATAAAACAGCAGGCGTGAATGAAGTGATTGCAAGAGAAGCAAAAAGATGCAATGATGCAACGACTAGAAGAACCAGGAAATGCTTCGCTACAACAAGGAAAGAGTAACGGTTCAGAAGGATTTCAAAAGCCGTTTCTCTGGAGGGAAAGAGAAGTCTCTTCAGTTCTGACCTTCACATGTATAAAGAAACACATCTGTTACAGAGAAGAAAAGACCATTATTCGCAGAGCCGCTTAGCCTGTCACTATTACTACTGAAGGACTTCAACTTGTTTGATAACTTGATGAAAACTCTTCAGTCATAAGGAAAGAAGCTGCTAAATTATAAGTCACTGAGCTGAGAAAATTGGAAAAATTCAAATCGCATCTAAGTGTAGAGACGTAAGGTTACTGAATAGTGTCTTACAGCTGCAGCATTTCTTATAACTACTAGCTCTAGTTTGTTAATGTTTAAAAATCTCTAAAACTGGATCGCATGCAGAATATTCACCTGGTGAGATTTTAGTGTCAGAAATATGAAGCATAACATTCTTAAACGCTCCCAAGCAAACGTTGTAACGAGAATAAGCCGCTAAGTCATCAATGCCTATTAACAAGAGCTGACAGTCTCTGAACATACAATGAAAATTAGCAGTGCCCCAAATTTTTTAAAGAATAGTAGTGAAAACCAAAGAATATGATTGACCAATGAACTTCTAAGCCACTTGCTGCTGTACCACAAATCTATCTATCTGGTGAAATGGTGAAACTGTTTGGTATGGCCACACCAAGGCCTGCGGTGGGAAGGCTATACAGGCCAGGCCAGGACTGCTGCAATCAGGGAAGGAAGCTAGCGACCCAGGTCAGCACTCTCAAGAGGAGATGGGAAGTCAGAACCAGAGCAACAGGGGAGCCACAACTGCTGTCACTACCTCTACTCACCAGGACATCCACAGACTCACAGCACGGCAGGTGGGAGGCCTGCAGGGCGGCCTTCCACAGGGTCAGTTCCTCCCTCTTCTGAAATGCAGCCCAGTGCCAGGCCTTCATCTTAATGACTGCCTAAAACTTAGCATCTGAAACACTATTTTTAGGTGCCAGCACGGAATGAAACCTCTTTTCCTTTTTGTCTTATCTAAGAATGTACCTCCTCTTCTCTCTTAGAGTAGAAAAATGGGCATGGTATTTTAGAATCCATAGTACTTATTAAAGTTGTACATAATCAGATCAAATTCAAGAGGGAAAAACTAAGCAGAAGTCTTATAATTTTATAAAAGTTATATAAAACTATTATTTCAATGTGACACTAAGTTTTTCTAGGGCTCAACAGCACAGCATCTGCCTGGAAAGTACAAGGTTCTAAGTTCGATTTCTGGTACCAAAAAAAACAAAAAACAACAACTACTTAAAAAACTCTAGAAATCCAAGTAGTTTTTCCCCTTTAAGAGTAAATAACAACCAAGCTTTAAATAAAGGATGGATCATAAACATCAGATTTGTATATGGATACTAATTTAAAGGATATTAGTATTTTTAAATTGTGATGCAGTTTATCCAAGGTAAGTATAAAGTCAGTACACCTTTTGGTTACATTCATCTACAAATTCTTACCTTGAATCCATCCTTCTTGTTTTTTTCCAAACCTGACCATTCTCCAGGCTGAAAATTTATTTGAAGAGAAATGTAAGTAACTTGTAAAAGTGGTATTTAGAATTTTTCAATCTTAGGTTCTAAGTAAGGGCTCACAGATAGAACTCTTAGTTTAATGTACATAACAGGCAGGAAAGTAACTTTGCCCTAACTTTCCAGGCAATACTGTTGCTCTGACAATAAGATGGGGCCAAAGATGAAACCAACCCTTTTAATATCTTCTATGCACTTAATGATGTAGTTCCTCTTGATCGCTTCCTTCACCGCATACGCGTCACTCAGGATTGTCAGGTGCTCCTCCAGGGCTTGCTGAATAAGGCTGCTAGGCAGGGTTGGAAGATGAGCCAGTTCCCAGAGGACATCCAGCACCTACAATAATAGCACCATAGTGAGCCAGTCCACCTGCAAATAGGACTGCATTAAACGTTTATAATTAAAAAGTCCATTGATTCTCCTGCCTTTCCAGAAGTGGTCTCAAGGCGAGCTTCCCGGCCTATCCGTCCAATCAGGCTCAAAAGCTTCTGTCTTACTCTATCACTCTCAGTCTCCCAGCTCTGTGAAACAGACAAAAAGATACAGGAATTGCTTTAAATTGGTAAAATGAGCAAAAATCCTTAACCTTGAATAAAAAAACAATAAAACATTGCTATGGGGGACAGGTGTCTTGAGAGCACATTTTTAGAAAAATTTAGAAGCAAACAAGTTTGACTGAATGCATACCTTCTGAATGAGGACAAACAAATGATTAAGCTGATCGGAATTAAATTTCACAGCTGCGGCAGCAATAATAGTGTGAATGTTCTCAATCACGGTAGATGATTGTCCTGACTAGAAAATAGCAGACATTAGAAATAAGTTAAATCTTAGAACTTGGCAAAACCTAAGACTTTCTCCCTGGTAATTTATATAAGCAAAAGTAATTACAACAATGTACTTTCACCAGCATCCACTTTCATGATAGTACTGGCAAGACTACATGAAGCAACCGTTAATAATGGGTATCAGCTGACCTTATTTAATCCTAGCAGTATTAAATCTTTAAAAGAACAATGTAAAAAAAAATAATCAAATTCTCAGTCTGACACTCACTTTAACAGGAGAACAAAATACAGTAATGCCTTGGTTCACAAATGCTTCTATTTGCAAACAATTCAGTTCGCAAACAAAAATGTTCAGCAAAAGTTTGCTTTAGTTTGTAAACTCCAAAGCAGGTGACAAACGCGACCAAGGCCAACTTCCCCACACAAATACAAATACAGCTGTCTGCCCCCAACTATAAAACAGGTGAGTTTACAACCTGGAGTACCGTACACCTGTATTTTCAGTTAGGTAAGAAACTCAAGTCATGGGCCGGGGGTTTAGCTCAGTTGCATAAGCGCCTGCTTGGCAAACTTGAGGTCCTGAGTTCAATCCCCAGCACCAAAAACAAACAAATAAACAAAAAAAAAGAAACTCAAGTCATAAGACAAGCATATTCACTTTCATTATTTTACAGTTTCAAGGGGCTTCAAGTTGGAGTTATTTGCCCCACTTCTAATTTTGCTCGTAAACAAAGTGTTTCTCCCTATGGACAGCAAATCAGAGCTGCAAACCCTGTCATCAATCACCTTATTGTAAACACTCACTTTAGAATGTCAACTGTGATATTGTTATGCCTCACTGTTCCTCATGTGAGAAACTTGTACATTTGTAAATTCTTTTATTTTCTTGCGCCTACCATGCACACACACAGCTGTCTAGGGAATGTAGGAGGTATATATAATACAGGCAGCATGATCTCCAATCTTCAACCTTACAGAAATTCAGAACTTAGACCCGCAGAACAAAAATACATGAGGATATTCAACCATGGCCTGGACATCTATGAGACCTAGGACTGTCTGTTCCACTCCTGCTCCTTCCCTTCTGGAGTTTGCTCTGTAATTCTGGGCTGGGGCAGTACAAATGACACTTTCCAGAGTCCTTTGCCAGCTACCTTCCCTTTCTGAACTCCTATCAGTGAGGGGCAGTGCTGAGAGAGAAGGGAGGGGGAAGGAAGGAGCATTTGCGGTTGAGGCTCAGACAGTAAACACAGGGGGCCAAGGTAAGCAAAGGGTTCCAGAAGCGCTAGCGGCAATGGCACCTCCAGCCCCGCTTAGAGAAAGCACCTCCCAGGGCAGCCTGCTCTTCTTGGACTTAACACTTCTTAAGCATTCTCTCTTTTCACTTCTCTAGCATTAATTATTCTCTTGCTTTCCTATTTTTATTTTTATTTATTTATTTTTTGGTAGTGGGGATTGAACTCATGACCTCATGCTTGTAGGGCAGGCACTTATACCACTGAACTAAACCCCCAGCCCCATCCTATTATTTTTAATCATCCACCTTACCAACACCTTTGTAGTCAATTGCTTGTGTTCAAAATACATGGCCATAGTTTGGTTCCTGACAAGATTCTAAGTGATACAGTGACTAGGTAGACACAGACAAAATGAGCTCTAAGCTCTAGGCTCTGGCTTACCAACTAGATAAGGATAATACCATCACTGAAGGACCATGAAGCACAAGCAGGCTTGGGCTTAATGAACTGAGATGATGATGAGATACAACTTTAGATGTATGTATTGCACTGGAGCGCCAAGAAGAGGTCTGAATTTACACGACTCACAGAGTCAAAGCTACAGGAATTGCTGAAATAACTATAGAAAGCTTATATAATGGAAAGGAGTTAAGAACAAAGGCTTGAAAAAAAAAGCAAAAAGCTATCGATAGGCAAATAGAACAGATGTTATTAAAGGAGACTGAAAAAGGAATGTCTGAAAACCAGGTGACAGCCCAGGTGGAGGAGAAGCAAAGCGAAGGGCATGCTGAGACCGTGACACACTGCTCAGAGTCCCGGTGCGGGAGGACGTGAGGACCAATGTTATCACTGTCCTCATTTATTAGAGGGAAAATGTCATTAATGAAAATTAACAAACAATGTAGTGAAAACAGAACCGCACTGATAAAGACATACGCCTAACCTAGTTGTGCTATTGATAAATAACCTTTAGGAAGTCTTTTCATTATTTAACCTAAGAAATAAGGCTAAATCAGTAGTCTGAAACTTCTTGTGAGTAGACAAACCCCTTTTATATAAGCTAGGTTAACAAAAACCAAAACCGTGAAACAGAATAGGAACGATGCACCATGGCTCAGGCTAAAGCAAGACACTGGTCCTTTCTCCTTGTGCATGCCACTCTTTCTCTGCTAGTGTCACCCATACACGTCAGAAAAGGACAAAAATAATTCTGAGCAACTTACCTGTATCTTCCAAATTTTAGTAAGCTCATCTAATGACAATTTGCTGCCCAAGAGTTCAATAATCCCCTTTATACGATCACAGTATTGTGCTTGGTCTATGTTGCCTAGTAGAAAAAACAACAGCGAGGAAGCCAGATAAAGTGAACACTGACTCTAAATATAATTCTATTTGTTAAAAGTCATAGTTACTTGCTAAACGGTTGCTTACAGGCTAATACAAAAGAAACAATTTGTACTTTTTAAAATATAATTGTGTTGATTTTTTATCTTTTGGAAGCAACTTACCTTCCAGTGCAATTGACAGAACTGAGTTTTCAACTAGCCAATCTAATAATCTGTCTGTATCTATAGCATTCTTCACAGATTTGGATAAAGTGCTGTCCTCTATCAGTTTAGTTACCTAAAAAGACAGGATTTTTGTCACTGAATGTGTAATCAAAGTTTTCATATATATATAAAACCTGTAACATTTATAAGCAACTAGTTCGATAATTAGCCAATATCTATTAAAAGGCAGTTGTCAGATATCAACAGACTACAATCTGTGCTGTGCCTAGAAAGAACACGTTGCCATCCTTTCTGCTTCGACTCCTTCAAACACTGCTGCATGGCTCAGGAATGCTCGTCTAACCAAAACTCCAGTTACGAGTCATATCCTCCAAAATTTACAGAAGTGTCATTCCTCAGAGAGAATGAGAACTGCAGGATGTGAAGCTTGGGAGTTAGCAACCCAGGGCCACGAGTGCTCACATGTGAAAGATACCATGCTGCACACAGACAGAGAACAATGCCAACATGCTCAGAAAGCAGAGGCAAGATGTGGACAGAGTCCTGGCTGCAGCCTGGTCTCCAACTCTGCTTAAAAACTAACTTGTGTCCTTAACCTTTCGTGATTTGCCTATTCTATCTTTTATTTACATGAAATAGCTAAACCTCCTTCCAATAAGTTCCTCTTTTGGCCTGAAATGATTCAAGATTAGTTTATTTCACTTGCAGCTAAGAATCCTGAGTTCTAACTAAGCCCTAACTGAAGGAAACAACATTGGAATTACCACTGGCATCGCCTGTCATTCACCAAACCCACTGCACTGTTTTCATGGCTCTCATACAAGTTCAGGGAGCTACAAAAAATGATTTCCACTGTTTTCCTCACACCAACACAGTTGTAGTCACTCTGTTTTTTCCATCCTAACACTACTAGAAGGCTTGGTTTGACCCACATATGTAGTCAAAGGAATTATTCTTCAGGGTAAAAAGTAAATCTCAAATCATACATTCTGAGAGACTATATTGTAAGAAATGTCATAAAAACGTTAAATATTTCACAGAATTTTGAAAGTAATATAAATAAGATCGTTTTATTAGAATTAAAAATATATACACCATTTCCTACATAATCACTATTATCTCTTCTTCATATGATTAAGAGAAATGTTGTTTTTCTCAATATTTTTACGTTAATAAACAAGTTTTGGCAGAAAGTCCCAAGTCTTCTATCTTGTAGAAACAAATGTAAAACTTACTTCTTTGAGGGAATTCATTTTAGCACTAAAATGTGGTGACTTGAGCATGCGCAGGAGGATGTCAAGACGAAGGTCATCCACGATCGTCACGAGATCAGGTTGAAAGCGCATGCAAAGTAACTTGATGGCAGATAAGAGCTCAGGGATGCTCACCAGTCTCTGTATTTAATAAAAATGGAAAAAAGAACTGTAAAACCTTTTTGACCCCAATTCATAAATACACACAAGAATAAAGAGTATCAACAGTCTGGCATATCTGATATTCTACACGACCAATTAACTACATTGTGCTCAACAGAAATTGAGCACGTTGGTAAGCAAGCATACCTCACCGCACACACCACACCACACCATTCAGGGAAAACCAAGAAAGGTAAGTCATGTTAAATGTTAAAACTATTTTAAACAACAACATTTAAAAAGGAGCTTTTCATATTACACTGTTTTAAAGTTTCTTCTACTCTGTTACACTGATTCCAAAATCAGGTCAATAGAATTCTGAATGGTGATCACATATAAAGAATACTGTATCTATTCTAATATTGAGGTAACATCAACCACTGGTGTTTCTGAAATAGCTGTTTTTCATGAGGGAATGTACAATTAATTTGATGCAAATCACTGTGTGACCAGAACTCAGAGAGCGATGCTATGCAAACTTTTCTAAGTCCGGGCTCTGCTAGAATGACTATCTGGCTGGCAATAGAACTTACTTTGTCTTTTAGGTCTTTCTCCTCCACGCTCCGCACATCCTGGATTGTGGTAAGGATGACTGGGTCTAGCATGGGCTACAGAAACAAAAATTTGCAGTTAATAAGAACTGAATCCTGCCAGTTGTGGTGGTAGACGCCTGTAATCCCAGCACTTGGAGGCTGACGCAGGAGGATCACAAGTTCCAGCTCAGTTTAGGCAACTTAGTGACTCAGTAAGCCCCTGTCTCAAAATTTTAAAAAACCCAAGATGTACTTCTGTGCAAACGCCCTGGATTAATTCCCAGTACTGGAAGACAAAGTAAAAAATTTAAAATCTCCCGAAACTGTTCTAAAAGTAGGGAGGAGCTATTTCTTTATTCACCATTCACAAAGCACAGACTGCCATGAAAAATGTGAATTCTGGTATGAAGAGTCACACAACCTAGCTAACACTGCCCTAAGTGAACCCTTATCTGATTCTGTGACTTAGAGTCCTTAATTTAATAAGGGTATGTCTCCTGCCATTACATTTACAAGAATGGTTTGAAGAACAACTTAAGATACACAGGCAAACTTTCAAAACATTAAGCACAACTATGTGCTGTTCTTACAATAAAATATTTTTCATTTAGCTCTTAAAAATGAACACAAGTCAGGCAAAAGATGCTTTTGCTTGCTGACATGAATAAGACCTACAAATGAGTCTCCTAACACAACGCTTCAGAACAATAACCCAATTAGGTAACTCAACAGTGTCACAAGTGATGAAATAATAGCTCGAGATCAACTAGCACCTTCACCTAAGTAAGATAACTTTTTAACATTTGGCTGATAAGGTTTAAAAAAACATAATATTGGATGTCAGAGCCACCAATACATTAGTAATGGATTAAAACGACACCACACAATTAACCAGACAGAATTTCTTCATTTCCATCTATGCTAATGGTATGGTACGACTGAGGGCCGTTACAATTAAACGGTAGGTTAATGTCCTTGTCAGTGAGCACAGGCTCTGTTTAACCCTCACTGCACCTCTTTAAGACAGGTATTAATTATTATCACCATTCTGCAGATGAAGAGGCAGAAGTAAAGTTGGATCTCTCAGGTCATGCAAGTAGCACACAGTAAATGCAATTCTTAGTTTATGTGAAGTAACATGTATCATGGTATCAATTTATTGCTGAATAAAGTCTAGCTGATTAGATATTGTTATGGCTTGTGTCTAGATGTGCTCCTAAAGTCTTGTGTGGTCAGAGGTTGGCTTTTCCAGAGGTGGTTGGACCTACAGAGTGAGACTGATTCACGGTACAATGCTGGGATTAAGGGTATGTAATTACGAAACTGGTCCACCAATGGCTCAGCCCTGCTCTGACCCCAGTAGTCTGGAAGTTTAGGTAACATAAAAGAGGCAGAAAGATGCTGTTTTTTTATTGTTTCTGCTACCTAGTGGGTGCTATGAACTGTTCTCCTCTGGGAAGCCCTTCTGCCATGTCCACTCTGCCTTGGAGCCAGCTGACTATGGACAAAACCCCTATAAACTATGAACTAAATAAACCTCTCCTCCTGTAACTTTGGGTGTTGGGTATTTTGGGTCAGCAACAAGAAAAGTAACTAAGACAGATACAATAAAAGGAAGATGAATTTCTATATACTTTTGTTGGAAATTAGTATCTTTTTCTTTTAAAATTGTATTCTGTTCTTGTAAGATATGTACTTTCTAATGAACTTAATTAGCAGGAAGAACATTTATGTTCAGTTCTCTCCCATGGAGCAATGTATAGGTAAATGCATTTAAAATCCTATCAGAATCTGATTATTCTTTTAAAAACCAATTATTTAATTATTATTACATTTTTGGGGTCAAGGGTTTAGCTCAGCAGCTTCATTTCCAAACAAGTGCCTGCCTGGCAAGAGTGAGGTCAATAGTCTGATCCCCAATACCCCCCAATTACATTTTTAAACAAATTATTTTGCTTCTTTATGTTTTAACTGTATCAGCTACAAAATTAATGTTCATACTTACATGCTTAATAAACTACAAGAATGCCAGGTGTTGCTAAAGATGATAACAGAATGAAGAAAACATTTAAATAAGCTATCCTACTTCACTTAAAAATCTTATAGGATAGGGCTGGGGATTTAGCTCAGTGGCATAAGTGCCTGCCTGGCAAGCACAAGGTTATGAATTTGATCCCCAGTACAAAAAAAAAAATCCTATAGGATAATGTTGACATCTAAAGAAAGTATCTAACTTTAATAAATGGTAGGAATTTCCAGTATCAACTATGGAAAGAAAGAGCAAAACAAAACACCCTTATCTCCCTGATTAAAACGGCTCTATCCAAAGTTGATGCTGGAAAGAAAAAGTACTGCATATGGAAACACTGCTCATAAATGACATTATGCTTCTAAAATCACTTATTTCTTAGAACATACACAAACACTACAATGTGTCAGCATTAGAAAAGTTGACACTTATGTTTGACTACTTTTGATCAGCGACTTAAACTTCTGTAGTCAGAAAGTAAGACAAGATGTGTTGTACAGCTGTTATTCGGATGGGAGTAACTTACTAGTTGAACATTCAACACTGACCTGAAGTAACTTATTAAGGCAGTGACTACTGACACAGACCTATGAAGAGGAGAGGGATACAGGCTGCCTACTTTACAGATGAGAAAATGAAGAAAGTTAATAAAATGATTCATTAAAAAGGTAGATAAACTTCTCAAAGGTTAGAGGTCTCAATAAGATTCATTGTGACGCCCATTCTGGTTGACTATTATCTTCTTTTGTAGTCCTCTAATGTCTTCAATGTTTTGGTTTTATTGGTTTTATTCTTTACTGTTTTGTTCAATTTTATTATAACTGATGATATAGGCAATTCTTTTTAAGATAACAAGAGGCATCATGGTAACCATTGTTGATCACCTTGTATTTTGTTTTTACATTATGTATTATGTCCATCCTTTTGATTTGACTGACTCTGTCCTGGTATGTCACATTTGGTTTTACTTTCTTCAAAGAAAAAAAAGTAATAAGAACTGTGGGAGTAATAAAACCCAAAATGTATAATTGTCATTGTACAAAAGAAAGGGAAAGAAAGTTCTCTAAAAGATATAACTGCATATATATTTAGGTGTATAAGATAGATAACCATATTACAGAGTCTTGTTGGATCATTGAACAAAACTGTTTGCAGTCTCACTGTTTGAAAGTCCTCTCTAAATGCTTTCATTTTGTAACTTCAACAACTATTTCTAAGATGACAATATGTAATTAACTAGTGATTTCCTACTGTTTATTTTTTCTGAAATTCTGTATAACTTGTACCCTTTTTCTGTTTTTTTTTTTCTTTTTTCTCCTTAAATAAAATTAAAAAAAAAAGAGGTTAGAGGTCTCATACTTTGAATTATTGAGTATTTTTATTATCTTCAGATAATATTTTTACTAGAAGAACAGCTATTTTGAAAAAGAATTTACCCTGGATTAAAGCACAATTCTCAACGATCTGATAAAAAGAAAACAGTTACTGTTTCTAAGTCTTAATTCAATCAGTGTGTGCATTCATGTAAAATAGCTCAATCCTACCTGTACCACGGAGGAATTCAGGTATTCTGCACATACACCTAATGGCTGCACCAATGCGGAGACGGCCTGCAAAAAGTGAAGACCACAAAGAAATGTGACCAAGGTTTTTTGCTATCAAAATCAAGCAAATCCTTTTCCTACACTGGAGAAAAATTTGCAGAGTAATTTGATTAAATTATGAATGAATGACTAGTAAAGTGGTGATATGAAGATGTTTATCTGTTTAAATTACAAAATTTAACATGATTAAAACCAGAAGCTGGACAAAAATAATACTAAAGTTCATACTGTAGAACATGACAAATTTTTTTTAAAAGAAAAGAACAGTTGGGAAGAGCATGAAACATGCCTTTAAAAAAAGCTGTGCAAGGTTCATTTGGGAAAATTGTAAAATATTACTAAACAAAGGAGGATCACAATTTTAAATAAGCAGGTTCTATACTCCTAACAGGAAAGTCCCAGTACTGTAAAATTATCAATTCCCAGGCACTGACCTATTGCCATTGATCTATTTAATGCAATTCCAAGCAGGCCCTCAGTGGGACTTCCTGTAGAGGAACCTCACAAATTGACTATATGCCAAAGAATGAAAATAAGAGAAAAATCAAGATGATTTTAGAAAGTAAGGCTATTGGGTGGAAGTGGGGCTACCAGTAATTAACACAACTGAACAACAGTACAGAAAAATGGTTCAAAGCACAAATGACTGGAATGGATGACCAGGAACAAGTTCATATACAAAGTCAGCAAACACAAATGCATTCAGTAGAGGATCTTCCAATAACTGATTTGAATGAAAATAAAACTGGATCTCCACCTCACACAATGTATAAACAATTCTACTTTGACAATAACAATATGCAATATACTAACCACTGTTATTCTCCCACCATCCTGTTTTGAAATTTTGTATCCCCACTGTTTTTTCTTTCCTAATTAAAAAAAAAAAAAAAACTGCTTCTTGGCCTTTTGGCTAAGATCAAGTGTAAAATTTTTTAAAGATCTGTATCTATACATCTATATAGATACAAAAATTTCTAGGGCTGGGGATTTAGCTCAGTGGCATAAGCACCTGCCTGCCAAGCGCAAGGTCGTAAGGTTCAATTCCTGGTCCCCAACCTCCAAATCTAAACACATTCAAGAACTAAGTTGTAAAAAATGTCCTTGAGGTAGAAGAAACAATCTCTAAAATCTAAGCAAATTATAAAATTTTAAATCATTAAATAAAATCTAAACAAAAATGTGTAATTTCTGTATACCAAAACACACGATCAGGAAAAATGAGGAGATGAAACAGTAACAGCCTTCATAGGCTTAATACCAAAAGAATTTCTATAATTTAGTAAGACACTATCTAACAGAGACTCAAATAGCTATGTTAATTTATAGAAAGAATGCAAACAGACATTAATTGTAAGATGAAATGATCAAGTTCACAGGAAATTAGAGTACTATAAATTAACAACAAAATAGTTTTTGTCTCTTATACTGGAAAATTAAAGACTGAAAATTTCAGCACTATTGAGACTGTCATAAAACGGGCTTGGGAAACACATTGGTTGGTGTAAGCTTTTTGAAAACAGATACAATGCTATCAGTTATAATTGCAGAATATATACAGTCTTTAACCCAGAAATTCTATTTTCTAAAGGAACTGGTCCTTCAAAAATAGAAGTACACTGTACCTGACCACTCTGTAAGAGTAAAAATTAGAAATAAAAAAAATTTTAGAAATAACCCAACATCTCTCAATAAGTGACTGCATCATGGTACAGCCTTTCCAGAAACACATTGAAGTTATGAAAGCTCTGCAAGCATCAACCTGGAAAGAAGTCCATGATGAGGTCAGATGGAGATATAGGTAAGGTACATCTCCACGATAATTCAGTTTGCAAGAAAGAGTGGGAAAAGGAGAGGGAGATGCAAAGAGAAACAACACATACAGATTCATGTTAGCTGAGAAGGAAAGGCTGACCAAAATTTAGACCTCATCAAAAGAGGGACCAGGGGAGTTGATGAGTCATGGTACCACAGAAATAACTGCTGCTGTGAAAGCAATCTGCAATATATAGTTATATCATTTTATATCATGCCTTGCATTGATTATGGTGGCCAGTTTAACATACATATATATGTCAAGTGCTGAAGTTTTTAACTGAATGATTAACCTTTTAATGCCCTGTGTTCCATTTTTAAAATACGCATAACAGTGGAACATGATAAAATTTTTTCTCCTCAAATTCTTGTTCCTTGCATCTTTCTAGGTAACATATATGAAGTTCATGCAAAAATTCAAAAAATTCGCAACCTTTGGCATAACAGGTTAATTGGAGATCAAAATAAAGTGCTCTTAGTTACAAACAGGTCAGCAGTCTGAAAAGTCAAAGGTAAAGTTATTTGCCTCACAAAGTTAAACTCTTTAAGAAAATGAAGGTGACCATAAAAGAGTACGCCAGAGAGACGATAAGCCCCTGTGTTTGGGCCCCGTGTTATTTGTACGTCTGTAATACCTAAAAGCGTATTGAATAATGTTGCAAAAATGAAACATTTTTATTTGTGCTTGATCCTATGAAATATATTCTGACTTGTATTAATTTTACTGAGTCACGAAACTGTTATGTATACATATACTTACTGTATTTAAACATTAAAATCATTTCATATAAACATTACAAATGAAGAGAAACTCACCATAAAAAATACTAAGGCAAAAAATAAATGTCCTATGTGGAAATGCGACTGATTAGGAATAAACATTTCTTATCAAGAACTATAAAATCTGATGCTCTAAACATTAATTTTTAACATTTAACTTTATATATCCTCTAGTTGTGTATCAACCTAGATAAAGCAAGCTAAGTAGATATAGATGTTGGGAACTTACTGCAAGTTCTATATCTTCTGAATGGAGCTTGGCTTGGATTGCTGCAAATCCTCCTAATTCTCCAAACTAAGAAGAAAATAGGTTCAAGTTAATTTGAAACATGATACATTAATATTTTAACCAAGAATCTAGAGCTACCGTTTTACTCTGTCATTGTGTTCTGTAACACTGTCTTGCGAAATTCATCATAAAGGAAGTAACAGTGCTCCTGCGGTACAATGCATAGGATATGCTAAGTCCAAAAGCTGAGGTTCGCTTGTACAGACTGCACATGCAGAATGAAGGAACACTAAGACATGTTTCCTTAGGAAAATGTCCTGACTATTGTCGGTACTTGTTACGTGCTTAAACAGCAATTCTGAAAAATCTGATTAAAATTAAAAAACAAAATACAAAACCATATTGATAAAAGTTGTATACCTTATTAACCAGATCCACAACCCATCCATGAGGTTCCTATGAGAAAAGAAAATCAAAACTGAGAAATATGAAAGCTACCTCAGTAATCTTTATCGTTCTCTTATTCTAAATAAGAAGTCAGAGAAAAACATTAAAATCTGAAAAATACTTTAGAATGCTTTTCCAAGGGTCACCTAATACAAATCTTTTATCACCACATACAATTTACGAACTCTGTAAATCTGGGTTTTGATGGAATTGCCATAATATGGAGCATTTCTGCACTTCTGGGTAGCCAAGTTCAGTTGTTTAAGCTCTTCAGGTAAGTGTAACCAGTTTAATTCCCTAACAAAGATGTATTTTAAAATGAAGAATTATTTACCTAAAAGGAGTTAATGAGGAGTCAGAGAGGAAGCTGAGTGCCAGCTGCATCATCACTCAGGGCCCTCACGCCAGCACTCCCTGTCCTCCTTCACTCCCTGACACAGGCCCTGACTGGGAAGAGACGTGGCAACCCGCTTACAGAGGACTCATATTCTAGCAGGCCAACAAAACCAGGGAAGCCACCACATCCCAAGAGGATTCAGACTGTGGTAAGCCTTACTTAAGGAAAACCAAACAGTCTTCGAAAGAAAAGCAGAAAGAGCCTTCTCGTTCAGAGAGTGGGCATGAGAAATCTCTAAGAGGAGTCTTTTAAGATCGAACCTAAAGGATGACATAGACTTAGCATTTAAGGAATAATCCAGCCAGAGAGGCTGAAAAGGCTGTCTGGGGAAGGCAGAAAAGAGTCTACTGTGTTTAAAAACTAACTGAAAACTGTCAGCTCAAACATGATGACCCACGAGAAAGGTTCGGATGAGGAGACAGAAGCAAAGTCACACAAAAGCTCATACGTGTGTGCTTACGAAGAGCAACACACATTTTTTACATAGGAGAGTGGTTCATGTCATAGGAACACCCTTGCAGTTCTACTGAGAATGGAATGGAAGAATGGGTCAGTGAGCAGCGGTCAGACACCACCAACTAGAAGACAGGTGCAATGACCAGACGGGACACAGCAGCATGGAGCAGGGGCGTGGTAAAGGGACATTACAGTGACTGCTCATGGTGTGGCGGCGGGGAGTAAGAAAAGAGAATGAACTGTGGGAGACTCTCAGGTCCTTGGCATGCTGGTGACCCATGGGGACGTTATTTATTGAGAGAAGAATAAAGGCTGGGAGGCAACATGGGTTCAGGCACAGAGGGACAACTCTGGGGCAGCCAAGAGGAGGAGCTGACTTGGCAAATCAAATCTGGTGTGTTCAGGAAAGAGGTCTGGACCACACAGACATACTGGAGAGCCATCAGCATAAGATGATGAGTCTTCACAGAAGGAAAACGCTTCTCAGAAAGCACAGTGAATATAGTGTGGCCTGATAAACTGGGCCAGAGGGAAGGATTCAACAAATGAACTGTGGCTCGGGAGAAAGGTAAAAAAGCAAGACACTACAGCGTCCTGGAAGCCAGAGAAGAAACAGACTTAGGAGAAAGAAGTGTGCCCAATGGTGTGAGCAGAGTGAGATGCTTTCTCCCAACCTGGAAATACAGGGGCCTGGGTGCTTTAACGAGAATGATGCCGACAGAAGGCGGGAAAAAGCAGCAGGGTGGAATGCCTTGGCATTCATGGGATCTGTCTGGCTACCTTAAAACCTCTCTAGCTGCAAAAGCACTTAATCAAAACATTAACGAAATAACCTTCTAAACCAGACAGCCAAATTGGCAACAAAGAGCTCAGAAATTAAAACAAAGAGAAGTAAGAATCCCGTGAGGTAAGCAGACTCGGAAGCTGGCTCTCACTCCGGACATCGGTAAGTCCCGGTGGCCTGAGCATCCACCTTCATGAGGGACATGACACACAGGCAGGATGGGCAGAGACAGAGAACCCAGAGAACAGTGAACCCAAGAGACAGCTGCCTACAGCTGGAACCCGAGGAGCACCACGGGCAGATGACGTGAACGCAAACACACTGCAGAGGCGAAAACAAGGAAGACTGCGTACTTCAGTACACAGTGGAGGGGAGAACGAATTCTCAATGAATCTGCAGCCAAGGAACTGCCACTCAGACGCTGCTCAAGTTCACACTGACTTGACGGTCTGAAAAACTTTACTATGTACACTTTGGAGAATCTGTAAATCTGTATTTTGATGGAAACTAAAAAGTATTCTACTTTTTGGAAACCAAAAGGTCTCAGACTATAGAGCTTCCCAGCACCTAGCAAAAAGTGAATTCTCTTTCTCTTTTCTTTTTGAGACGGGGTTTTGCTATATAGTTCAGGCTGGCCTTGAACTCACTAGGTAGCTTAGGTTGGCCTCTAAACCATGAGGATCCTCCTGCCTCAGCCTCTCAAGAGCTAGGATTACAGGCATGGGCCATCATGCTTGGTTATAAAAGTAAATTCTTTTGAAGGGAAAAGGCTTTGGGGAAAAAAAAAAAAAAATCCCCCTACACTAAATTCTAAGAAACATGAGTTCATGGAAATCAAACAAACATAAGAAAGCATATGCCCTAATCTATACCTCTGTAACATACAAAACAAGTTTGTAGATTTCAGACACAGAATATAAAAGAATAATACAGCACAAGACAAAAAAAGGGAAAATTACAAAGTTGGTTTTATAAAGCACAACATAATCCAGTCAAAACTCCAGAAGAAGTGAGACTATGGAGAAGAGGCAAATTTATAAAAGATAATGATTCAGAAATTGACAGAACTGCTCAATGCATGTAACGTAAAATAAATACAAAAAATAACTCAGTTAATTGCACGATAGTTAAATGGACAAGCACCAAAAAGGAAAGAACCGATCTCAAAATACAGCCAGGGAAGAATGACAGACCTCTTAACAGAAGCAACAGTCAGACCAGCAGCTGTTTTCTCAACAGTAAGGATAAAAGCCAGAGATAATGAGCTGGTATCTTTACTGTTTTGACAGAAATATACATCAATCCAGAATTAAAAATCCAGTGAAAACATTCTTCAAGAAATGGAGTATACAGTTACATTTAGGACACAGAGTGCACCAACTATTTTATGGCAGAAAAAAGACAGGTGAGGACTAGGACAAGCATGGTAAAGATAAGAGAAGTAACAGTTGGGGTCCTATCATGAGACACACGCTCACTCTGACAGAATAAAGACGTTGAATTTTAAGTTTTGTTTGTTTAATACATTAAAATTTTAGGTTAGCCACAGAAAGAGGGACAGGGCAGGAGGAGGCTCTGGAATCCTTCATGAGGTATGGATGGCAGAGGAGCACAAAGCCATGTGAGAGCCAGAGAGGATGTGCTCCACGGGCAGACACCGGCGCACATTGTGCACAAGGGGGACGATAATGGTGAGGAGGAGCCTGAGGGCACCAAAGCAATCAAAAATCTCAGAGCAAAATACAGCACTTGAGAAAGCAAGAATAGAAGGAATCTTGAAGCTCAGCAGAAGAGAGAATTCTTTTACGGTAATGAGAAAAAATACAAAGACTGAACCTTTCTGGTCTCAGTTGTGGCATATAGAAATTGAAGGGAAGACAGCCAATGTCTGCTGAGTGCTTACTACACTGAACCACCGTGTTCAGGGTTCCTAGAGTTCTGAAAGAGGAGAGTAACAGAGAAGAAAAGATATAGCAAAAGAAAGCATGAGTTGTGCTTATAACCTCTGGGGAAGTGCTTGACCTCTGTGTCCAAGTCTGACCAACTCAGAGGGTTAGTGGGTGATTAAATTTTTCCAAAGCACGTATCCAGTGTCCTTTCCTCTCAGATCTTACCTCCTCTCCAGACTACTGCTTGAGCCACCAAGGTGGCAATAACTACTCTTTGCCCTCTATTCTAGGATTATAATACTAATAAGTATTATACTTACTGTTTATTATAGTGTAATTTTTGTTTTCATATTTCTTCTGCTATGCTAAAACTAGAAACCACACTGTAATACTTTATTAAAGACAAGGACTACTGATTTATATTTTACCTCCAAAACCCAGAATAATGCCAAAAACATTGAATAGTCAATAAATAGTTGTTACGCTAAACCCTAAATCAGTAGGTAAGATTCCTATCAACTAAATTTGACTTTTAACTGTTTCTCAAAACTCATTATTTGAACTAGAGGGCTGTGTAGCTTATGTACTCCCTGAGTGGTAGTTACTAACACACTACAGACCTTTCACCAGCAAATAAAGTTACTGGTTCTGGGCCTGAAAAAGCTGAAGTTTCAATGCTTATGGAGTTTAAAACTAAATTATATATGAGGAGATGAATTACAGTTACAATTAGTTATTTCCAAATCATTTCAAATCCTCTGTCTCAAATATCTCTAAGAAAGGGACAAGCCAATTAAACTGAGATTCTGGTAATTCATTATGCAGGACACTGAGGTCATTTCTGATCTCACCAAATACAGTTTCAAACCCCTAAGATTCTTCACATCAGTTAATAGCTACAGCAAACGTATGTAATATCTGCATAAACTTTAAGGCACTTCATATGAGGCATATGGGTATTTGTAATTTTTTATAGACAATCTTTCCATGTAAAAGGTCAATTTTATAGCATAGGAAATATTTTTCTGTTCATTTCTCTATAAAAAGATGAACGAGAACTATGCTTACTTTTTGAAAAGTCGATACAGGTGAAACAGCAAACATATTTCCTTCTCCAAATACTTCTGCCCAGTTCCTTTGTGAGACTTTCATTCTGTTTTTAAAATGGTATTCATTATCTGGATTAAAAGCCTAGATTCAAAGAAAATAGAGAAATGTTATTTTGTATTTCTATAGCAACACATTAGCATTAGAAAAGAAGATAAAAATATAGGTGTGGACTGTCTGTGAATGGAAACTTATTCAAGAATAGCAAGTGCTGGTTAACGCAGAGGAGCAAAGGATGGCCGTGCAGCTGCAGCAGACAGCGGAAGCAGCGGGGTAAGAGCTGAGCAAGTGCTGCCCAGGCTGAGCGGCCGGAAGCAGCCGCAGAGGAAGCCAGGAGGAACCGGCGCGAGCCAGCCAGCGGCCAGGAACCAAGGGCAGAGCACTTCACGTGAGTAGATCAGAGTCAAATGCTGAGGGAGAAAAGCAGACAGCTAACCACTCTATGAGCTGAAAACTCAGCAAAACTACAAGTTTTTGTTTAAAACTAAAACATGGTCTATATTTAAAATAAAAATCCAGGACTCTAAGAACTAAGTATCTTTGATAATAAAAGCAATTTTAATTACAAGTTAGAGAATATCAAATTTGTGAAATAAAATCAAAACACAAGTACTTCATTTACAAGATACTATACCATTGTCAGCACACCCAGGAGACCAATGGGAATTGGATCTTGTTTTATTCTCTCTGCAACTAGCTCTATTAATAGCATCAACATGTTGTAGATTCCTTCATGAATTTCAGTACCCCATTTGTGAACAGCACTTGATGTCAGGAGCTACAAAAACATAAAGGGTGAGGGTTAGATTCAGGAATCTAACTTGAAAAAGGAAAGCAATGGTTCATCAGGTCAACCACAAAAAGAGATTATGATCAAAATACCTATTTTGTGTATATGGCTTGCTTTAAAGGATCTATAACTATAGTCTGTTCATTTCTCTCATTCAAAGTCAGTACAATTTTTTTTCATTTTAATTCCTGTGTTCATGAAGGTAGTTTATGTAAAAGAAAAATTTTACGTGGCTCTCCATTTTTCATTATTAGTACTAGGAAACCTCAAGAGGTACAGAGCAAGTATAACCCTGAGGTCAACTGTGGATGCTACTGTTTTCTAGCTATGTAGACTTTAACAAACTTACCCAAGTTCTCATAGGCTCAGTTCTCTCATCTCAAATCAGACAATTCCTGCCCACTTCACACAGATATTAAAAGGATCAAAAGATGTCACATACATAAAGCATTTTATAAATGGTAAGACATTATTAATGTATCTTGATAGCTGGCTGTCAATGTTAGTTACTTCTAGAACCTGAGAAATAGATACTTTTTTTCATGGATTTTAACATAATATTCTTTCCAAAATTTTAACATCTTGAAAATAAAACTGCACCTTTCCATTTGTTGACCAGATGACATAGGACTCTAAATTTAGTCAACAAGTTATGGAAATGCTCTACTAATTTATTTTGCTTTTATTATTTTTTGACATACAGAAGAAATAATTTTTACATGTTTAAAGAAAACTAAAATATCTCTAAGTGATACGATATTGTAACACTAATATGCAACTATTTTTCTTAAACATAATCAAACATAAAAGAATGGTATATTTTATAATCAGCTTCTTAGACTTGTTAAAAAAAGAGAAAGTGATCGAGAAATGGAAGGTGGGAGGAGGATGGGAAGAGGAAATACAAGGAAATAAGACACGCTATGTGTATGTACAAACTCACCACCATGAATCTAATCATTATTTACTATACTGCAAATATGACTAATAAGACTTTTAAAAATTAAAAAGTACATAAAGTAAAAAAGAAATTGGATTCTGTCAATCTGTTTCTAGTACCCAAGGAAGTCTAATTTAGTAGAAGAGATGAGAAATCAAAGGATTTCACTTCAATTGCTATGGCAGTTTCATTTTTTTGTTAAGATTTTCCTCTAGAAAGAAAATTTTATGCAATAAAAAATCTCATATTGGCCACACTGAGAACTCCTTACACAGAGCAGCCCAGAAGAGCTTGAGCTGCAGTTCCAGATTTTCTAAATACCAATGGCTCCATTTACACTCAAATGAGCAAAAACCTTAAGACTAATTTTATATAAACCATTGTTATTATTCTTGCAAGAATTTTTTGACTATATATTCCTCCTATATTTAAAAACTAGTAAAACAAAGCAGTCATTAATATTGAGCAGCTTCATGTAATTACAAAAGGCAATCCTATGTAGATTAAGCACCACTCCCTCTGGTATCAACTGATTTGTTCACCTTTCACCTTGCAGATGCCGTTCTAAGAGAGATGGAAACAGGAAGCACCTTGCAGGGAAGAGCCACTCAAGGTTTAGACACAACCATGCACTGTACCATGGCCAAGCTGCAATCCTCACTGCCTGAGTATGCAGTAAGGCATCGAGGCTGGCCTGGAGCTGAATAGTGAGAAGTGTGGAAACGACAACAAAGTCCCTCTGCCTACTCTGTTCCTGCAGTCACCTAGCTTAGACCACTACTTCTTTTTTTTGTTTTTTTCCTTTTTATCGGTACCAGGGATCGAACTCACGACTGCCTGCTTGCAAGGCAGGTGCTTATGCCGCTGAGCTAAATCTCCAGCCCCTTAGACCACTACTTCTAAAATAAGCTGAGACAACTTTCAACAAAAACAGAGAAGTAGTACTAATCACACTAACTCTCACTGAGTTTTCTGGCAGCCAAGACTAAAAGCAAGTACAATTTTGTAGCTCTCCTGACTTGATAAACTATGACTAACTGAGGGGGAAAACCTTAGTAGCTCTAAACTGAAAAAGAACTTAAGATTCTTGCATTCACAATTTTGAATCACATAATTCAAGGTACCTTCAAGCTCACAGTTTTACAAAGAAACAATCAACACTTTGACCAGTAATACTGCTAAGTTACAGCTGACGGCAGAGTACAGAAGTAGTGTGAAACACCTCTGAGGACAGAAGCAGAGTATCACAACTCAAATGCACAATGCATTGTGGTGCTGAATAAATCTGGGAATCTTCACCCTAAAGGTTCTTTTTTAAAGACTAACAAGTCCCTCTTCATGACTGATAAACTTGTATTTTTCTTCTTTGTAAATTTATACATATATTAAGATATGAGTCACAGTATGTCACTTCATAACGGTCTGTTATTTTGAATGGATCAAAGATCTTAATATTAAAAATCTACTGGACAATAGAGTAGGTAAAACACTTGAAGACATTGGTGAAGGCAAAGACTTTATGAACAAAGCTCCAACTGCATAGGAACTATCACATAAAAAAAAAAATCAACAAATAGGATCTCATCCTATGGAGAAGTTTTTGCACAGCAAAAGAAACTACCAACAATAAAGAAATAATACTACATGGGAGAAAATGTTTGCCAGCTGTTCCTCAGACAAAGAATTACTACCGAGAACATATAAAGAACTCAAAAAATCAGTCCTCCCAGATTTAAAGACTCAATTCAAAAATGGGCCTCGAAATGAATACACATTTCTCAGATGAAGAAATACAAGAACAAATACACAGGTGAAAAAATGTTCAACATCGCTGGTCATTTGAGAGATGCAAATAAAAACAACACTGAGATTTCACCTCACCCCAGAAAAAATGGTTAGCATTAAGAAATCAACCAATAACAAATGCTGGATGGACTATGGAGAAAAAGGAACCCTTCTCCACCATTGCTAGGCATGTAGAATGGTGCAACCACCGTGGAAATCAGTGTGGAGATTCCTCAAAAAACTAGGATTGGAGGTCCATTGAACCCAGCTATTTCCCTTCTGACTATCTTCCCAAAAGAATTAAAAACATCACACCACAGAGATGTATGTGCACCCATGTTCACAGCAGCACAGTTTGTAATAGTCAGATCTTGAAAGCAACCTAAATGCCCATCGACTTAAGGATGGATAAAAAAATATGTGGTATTTTTATACAATGGAGTACTACTCAGCCATAATGAACGATAAACTTTTATAGGTCAATGGATGTATCTTGAGAACATACTCATTAGTGAAATAAATAAGACACACAAGTGTAAGCATCATATTGTTTCATTAGTATGACAAGCTAAAAGAAAAAACATATGTGTATGTATATGTATATAAAAATAGTTAAGATAGTTTTACTACTGATTTCTTGGAGTTCACTCTGAAGAAAGATTTATGCTGGTATTATCTGGAAAATTGAAGGCGGATGTCTTGTGCTCCGGGTGAATGATTTGGGGACAACAATGTGCAATATATGTACCACTGTTAACCCCGATGGATATGCTTTTTTATTGTAGTTTTTTTTCTTCTTCTTTTTACTTTTGAATAAAACAGATTTTTTAAAAGTCTATTTTTAAAGCTTTTTCTTTCTTTTTTTTTGTCTTTTTCCTTTTTATTGGTACTGGGGATCAAACTCACGACTGCCTACTTGCAGGGCAGGCGCTTATGCCGCTGAGCTAAATCCCCAGCCCCTTTTAAAGCATTTTTAAGAGAGTTTTTAAATTCACCTAAAATGAGGTAAATCCTGATTCCTTATAATCTCTACTTGAATGATAATTTAAAACAATTTCCTCCTGTTTTCAAAGATGAAGATAATTTTGTTTCTGAAATTAACTTTGCTATTTTTTAAGCACTGAATCAAGGGTGTGTATTTACAAAATGCAGATGGAAATAATCATTTGCAAATGTGCAGTTTGTTTTATGAGAAATACAAATTTTACCCATCTGTAGTTCTAGCTACTTACTTGCATTTGGGGTAAAAATGGATGTCAAAATCCAGCAATAAAAGACAGCAAGAGCCTCACTCATTCATTCAACTAAGACTACTGAGCTCATTCTATGAGCTAGGCATCTGGTGACCCGCCGCCAGAAACAGCAGGGTCTAGGATAGGCACAGTCCCTCATCTTTTTTTTTTTTTTTTTTTTTTGTCTTTTTCCTTTTTATCGGTACCGGGGATCGAACTCACGACTGCCTGCTTGCAAGGCAGGCGCTTATGCCGCTGAGCTAAATCCCCAGCCCCACAGTCCCTCATCTTATGAGGATTCAAGACTCAGGTCCTAACAGGGGATCACGCTGAGCCAGACTGCTTTCCGAAACGTGATTCCTGTGATCTTCTATTCCCACTGTGGAGTCAGCAACTGCTGCCTAAGAGTCGTGACCAGGCTGGGAACAAGCACGCATGTCACTCTGGTTCTCGGGAATGCTGCCACTTGTAAGGAAGAATACCTAGCCTCGTGAAACTTCAGGTAGCAACGTCTGCTTCTGCCTCAATGAGGCATAAAGTGATTCACCTTGTGTAAACGGTCACTATCTACCTATTCGCCACAACCCTTGGTTTACGAAGATGCCAATTTCCTAGCATTACTAAGTCTTAATCTATTCTTTAGTAATTAAACAGTAGGAAGTAAAAGTTACATTCAATCAAAGGGAAGTGAAACAATTAAATATAAAGGAAATAAGCCCCAAACTCAGAGCCACTTTTTTTTTAATATTAGAGAATTCATCAGTTGAACAAAGTTTATAAGCTGGCCTTAAATATAAAAAACTAAAATAAAAAGCATATGTATTCTTGCTCCCACTAGAAAGTCTAAAGATAGCCGGAAGTGGTGGTGCACACCTGTAATCCTAGCACTAGGGATGCTGAGGCAGGAGGATTGCTGTGAGTTTGAGACCAGTCTGAGCTACACAGTGAGTTCTGAACTATATAGTGAGACCCTACCCCACAAAAAACCAAACCAAAACAAAACAAAGCAAAAGTTTAAAGATTAGCATCTTTCTTACCTTTTTAAATGCTTCAGGCATGCATCTATCCATAAACCTTTTACAGTTCTCATCAGACTCAGAAAGACCTTGATAAAATAAATGAAAGAATATACTATACTTAGATGTCAGGTAGTTTACAGAAATTGTATAGACTATAAAGTCACACATATGGAACTGCTTTAGAGAGACCTTCATTCTTAAGGTTTAGACATTGTGCTAAAATAACAGCTGAGAACTCACAGCATTAGACTAAAAAGAGAAAATAAAAAGTTAACTTATGTTTCCATGTCAGAATAACTCCAAAGACTTGACTAGGTAATTAAAACACAGTAGCTACTTAATAGCCATTACTTTTTCCTAAATAACTGTAAAAACACAAACATTTTTATAAATGCCAAAGTCACTCTGGAAACAAAGCAACTTTGTCTAATAAAATACACAGAACACTGGCACAATTCACATGGGAAGTGATAAAAACTAAGTGAATGAATGAATTTACTGTCAAATTGTAATTGATAAGAAATGCATTTCCTGCTTAAACCCAATAATCAGTTTTGCTTATCACTGATATACCAGGGATCACATTTTCCTCTTTTTATCCACTGTCCAGCAGAATGCCCACACCCTAAAAGGCACTCACTCAAAAACACTGCTGTGGCTGGGAAGCTGCCAGGGCTAACCCCAAGCCAGTCCTAACATTTCTTTTGGTTGTGTCTTAAGAAAAAAAAAAATAATAATAATAATAAAAAGGTCACAGTCATTTAAAACTAAATATAATATGAACAAATTACTTTCTTTTACAGATTTATAGTACAAATGTTTTCTTATTTTGACATCACCTACTCTTCCAATGTAGTGAGTTTTTAAATCATTCTACTAGCTTTATTTTTGCAAACCATCTAAGACAGGAGATCAGGCAAGAACACACAAAATGAGTGCAGACTGAACACTGCTTGCTTCCCTCTCCCCTCTCTCCCCTTGCTGGAAATGGGCCCACAGCCCCACAACAGAGCAAGTGCTCTAGCTCAGAGCTGTATCCCTAGCCTTTATTTTCTGTTCTTAAAAACAAAACCTGCAGTTTTCAAACTCAAATTTAAGGTATCCCAAGCTTCTGTGGAAAAGTTACTTCTAACTGCTAAAAAGCTTTACAACTATATTTTAAATAATCTTACTCGTGATGCTAGAAGAAAACAGCTGACATAGTTCAAAGCTTTTATTCACAGGGCAATGAACAGAGACAAGAGAATAAACGATCCATCTGAGATCACAGACAATGACCAGTCCTAAGATTAACCCCAGCCATCTATGGAAAATCTCCTTATGCTTTCTGAGTCAGGGAAACTTACCAAGTCTCGCTAGGTAGGTAGATGCCAGGAGGCATTTGCCTAGAGATTCCTCTCGTTTGTATGGAATAGACCAGTGATCAGTCAAAACACGGCTTTCCAGTTCATATAAATTTGTCGTAGGGAATTCAATTCCTTCTCCTGAGCAGTTTCCATTTTCATCATTCTTCTGAGAAAAGGCATTAAAGGAGAAAGCAGATATACTAATTAATGACTACTCTAAAATTAAGGATTTAACACAGAGCAGTTGCTTAGTAGCTATTAATACCAAAAGTGTGAACTCAGTCTCTCTTTATAAAAAAATCACATCTTTCACCAAGAAAACCTCAAAATACTTTCAATTTTCATCATCCTGGCATCTCTACTCTCTTGAAGGTGATCCCTTTTTTCAAAAGGAAACTCAGTTTCTCACCAGAGCTGCCTTCACTTCAGGCCACCTTGTCCTCATCTCTCTTTTCATTGAGGGGGCAAACTTCTTCAGAGGCATCTAATTTGCCATTCCCACCTTCCCAATGACTGCGGGTGCTACCCCAATCTGGTTCCAGGCTCCCCACTCCCCAGAGGGGCTGCTGTCTTGGTTACTCTGAGCTGTATGTCATTAAACACAGCCACCATGTTTCTTTCAGTCCTTACTTTATTCTCAGGACTGCCCTCTGCCCACCCCTGCTAAAGTGACCGATTCTCTTGCCTCACTTCCCAGTTCTCCTCCACCTGGGGTCCACTGCTCCCAGCTAGGCTACTCTTGTGGCGTGCCTGCCCCTTCCCAACCATCACTATTTCCCTCAAATTTGTATGCTGAAGCTCTTACTTCCAATGTGACTAGCAACCTGGCTCTCACTACCCATGAGTGACTGACTCCAAGGAAAAGTGATACCTTCGGAGAATAACAAAATCTGAGGATGTTCAAAGTGCATTATATAAAATGCAATTATTTGTAGTATTTGCACACAAGCATCAAACATCCCCTAATACACTTTAAATTTTCTCTACATTTCTTACAGTACCTAATACAATGTACATGGTATGTAAATAGTTATTATTTAGGGGATAATAACAAGAAAAAACTCTGCACATGTTCAGTACACTCTCCCCTCCCCCAAATATTTTTGATCTATGGTTGGTTGAGCCCTGTTTGCAAAATCTACAGCTGAGACAGGATTTTAAGGAGACACTTAAGGTTAAATGAGGTCCTTAGGGTTGGACCTATATTCTAAGGGGAAGTGTCGGTGACTTTTCTCTCGTTGCTGGGACAAAATATTCAATAGCCAACATGAAGGAAGGAAAGGTTTACTTAGTTCAATGTTTGTGGAGGTTTCCATAATCAACTGGCTCCAAGACAGAGGGTGGCATGGCACCAGAACAACACTTCAAGGCAGTAGCCAGCAAAGCAACAAGAGCAAAAGTGGGGCAAGCCTCTCTTCCTCCCTTATATTGTATGTTGGCCATCAGCTCCTGGACGGGTGCAGCACTCACACCACCAATCCCAGCACTAGCCAACGAACCAATCACAAATGCTAGATTCAGTCACTTTCAAAAGGTCCATTCCCCATGACCACATGAGGCTTTGGGAAACATTTAAACACAACCATAACAGAAAGGGACACGAGAGATTATTGTTTCTGGGAGAGTAGACAGAAGAAAGGGCAGTGGAGACATAGTTAGAAGGCCTGCAAGTCAGGAAAAAAAAATCCTCACCACAAAAGTACCCTACTAACAACCTGACTTTGGACTTCCAGCCTCCAGAACTGTGAGAAATTTCTATAGGTTAAGGCACTTAGCCCGAGGTATTTTACGATGGTAGCCTTGGCAGACTAAATGCTTACATTTACTAAATTAAGGTACATAAAACCCACAAATGGCTGCTTCTAAAGTAGGTATGCGTCCTTATGACAGAATATGTACCAGTTTCTACAGAGGTTAATAAATCTTACCACAAAGGAAGCCATCAAATCATCAAATGACTGTATCTGCTATTAAAGTTGAGAGCAACTTTAGAAGTTGCTCTCAACAAAACACAGTATATACAAACGGAGTATTATTGTCTTCCTGATGGGAAGAGGACCCTTAACACCATCAGTAATGAGGCAAACGTGAGCTTCTGGTTACCATGCACTGTGAAGGGTACAAGTATTACCTCTGTGACATTCCTGCTAAAAGTATATGCCCTCAATCTAATCCTAAAGAAACCCTAGTAAGGAGCACTCTGGAAAATATCTAGCCTCTATTCTTTAAAAAAATGCCAGTCCTAGAGGCCTGAAGGAGACTAGAAAGGTATGACAATATAGAATCCTGGAAGGATATAAAGACAGGAATTTTCATGTATTTTGTTTTCCTTTTGGGGCTCAAAGGACTTTAGTAATGGATTAATGTCTATTTTCTAGTTTTGCTAACTATGTTATATTGAGGCTAGGGAATCTACACAAATATTTGTATGCACTTAATGTAATAAAATAGCTAGTATAATGTAACTTTACAAAAAAAGAGGTTTGTTTAACTGATAGTTGTAGAAGATGGGAATCCAAAGTGAGGTGGCACCACTTGTTTGGCTTCTGGTCAGGGCCTGATAGAGGATGGCCATCATAGTGGAAACATGTGAGAGAGACACAGTCAGACAGGAAGACCAAAGACAGCTCAGGCATGAGGCTCTGGTTCTCAGAACAAGTCAGAACTGACTTAGGGCTCCACTACTACTGTCAGAGGGGAGAGGCCTAGTGGCCCAAGGACCTCCTGCTAGTTCCCTCCACCTCCCACATCACCACACCAAGGCCCACGCCTCTAGCACTTGACCCCTGTGGGGACAAACCACACCACAGCCATGTTTAGGGTAAAGAGACACCATATATGTAGCACTTCTCAAGAATAACAACGGACACATATATGCACACTGTACCCACAGAGAATAAAGCAAATCTGATCAAATGAAATAAAAATAAGTGAATGGATAAACAAAACACAGTATATACAAACGGAGTATTATTGTCTTTAAAGAGGATGGCAGCCTGACACATGCTACAATATGCAGAGTCTTGGGGATACCACACAACTGTAAAAAGATATTATCAATTGCACTTTAAAAAGTACCCCAAGTAGTCATTCACAAAGAAGGTAGGAAGGTGGGTTGGTGGTGTCAAGGCCTGAGGGCGATGTGGGTGGAAGTCAGTGTTTAATGGGTGAGTTTCAGCTAACAAAGATGAAAAGTCCCAGAGGGGGACAGTGGTGATGGGTGCAGAACAACAGAAATGTACTTAACGCCGCAGCACTGTACAAAAGATGGTAAGTTTTTATGCTACTTTTACCATGATTTAAAATAATGTACAAGGGTGGTACTCACACAAGCAAACTCCCAATATCCCTATGAATAGACACAAAAATCCCGAACAGTAAGCTAGCAAACTGAACCTAAGCACATATAAGGATACATTGATCAGGTACAATTTATTCGGTCGCTATGATGCACCACACGTTAGGGTTTAGATGGTGAATGCCCCTCCAAGGCCTCGGGAGCTCACGGTGAGGCTTTCCGAGGAGACTGAATCATGGGAACACCACGGCTGGCCAGGCAGGCTCTGGTCAGACGGGCTGGTCACCCAGGAAGTGTCCAGGAAGGAAGTGCCTCTCTCCTCGGACCTTCCCTCAGACTGCCCCTCTTCCGTCCAGGCCGGCTGACTACGGACTAACATGGGCCAAAGAAATCTCTCCTCTCTGAAGCTGTGGGTTGCGTCCTAGTGACAAGAAAGGAAGACACCACAGTACAAAAAACATGACAGGCCAGCTGATACAGAAAAATATTCATAAAATCCAACAGGCTTCCACAAGTAAAAACACTTGACAAACAAGAAATAAAACACAACTTCTTCAACCCAATGAAAGGTATCTATAAAACCACCTACACTTCACGTCCTACTTAACTGTAAAAGACTGAACGCTTTCCTCTAACATCAAGTCAAGAAAGTCTGCTCTCAGGGCTTCCACTCAACATTTTACTGCTATGTATAGTGGAGACAACTAGGCAAAATAAGAAATCAAAGTTACTCAGAACGGAAAAGATTAAATAAAACTGTTTATTCACTGACAACATGATTTTGAAAACAGAAAACAGGAATTCACTAAAGTAACTTCTAAAACTAACATGAATTTGGCAAAGTTGCAGAATACATTATGTGCACGGAATTCAACTCATTCTTAAACAGTAATGAATAATCTTAGCAGAAAATTAAGAAAATAATTCCATTTGTAACATCAAAAAGAATAAACTACTTAGAAAGTATAAGACATACATTAAAAATTATAAGATATTACTGAAAGAGGGTCAGGGATATAGCTCAGTGGCACAATGCCTGCCTGGGAAGTGCAAGATCCTGAGTTCAATTCCTGGTACAAAAACAAAACAAAGCAAAACAAACAAACAAAAAAAAAAATCACTGAAAGAAATTAAAGAAGGTCTAAATAAATGGAAAGATACCTCATGTTCATGGAACAAAACAACCAGTTTCAAAATTTAAGGTGGCTTCTTTACAAAAACTGACAAACTGACAACACAAACAAGCAAAGAGCCCTCAATAGCCAAATATGAAAAAGTTCAAGGATTCGCATTTTCCAGTTTCAAAACTTATTACACAAAGCTACAATAATCAAAACAAGGCGGTACTACATTATCATATTGGCATAAGGCTTAACAATCAATGAAATAAATTGAGATTCCATAAATGAACCCTTTTATTAATGGTCAATTGATTTTGTTAGAAGGGTGATAAGACAACTTAATCTTTGACAAAGACATAAGGGCAATTCAGTGGAGCACCTTTTCAACAAATGGTATGAAGACAACTAAACATACACTAGCAAAATAACGAGACTACATCCTTATTCCATCCTACACATAAAAATTCACCCAAAAGAGATTCACAAAATAGGAGAAAGTATCTGCAAATCACATACTTGATATAGGACATGAAACTGACATAAAAAAAGAACTCTCATAACTGCAAAATACTCAAAAATGAGCAAAGGATTTGAATGAATATTTCTCTGAAGAAGACATTTAAAAGCTCATAAAACAGTGCTTAGCATCATTATTTTATTTAAACCATAGGATACAATTTCTCACGTGCTAGGATGGCTAAAATGACAAGACAGGCAAAACCTAAGTGGTGTTAAGTATGTAGACAA